CAAAGGCCTCCCCCAAGGTTTTCCACAATGAACGGTCCTGCGCTGCCCGCATCCAGGCTCTTCCCGCGACCTTTACCAGATCGTCGGTCCACCTAGTAGGAGGCCTGCCCACGCTACGTCTTCCAGCCCGTGGTCGCCACTCGAGAACTTACAATACAATCTATTACAGTGTATAAACTTACGTCGCCATTAAGAAGACAAACGTAGTCATCAAAGTCTTGCACCCGTAATTCAGGCCCAATTCTCTGTTCCGCAATCAAATCCGCTACTTTCTTTTTGTAATCATCTACTAAATCGTCGTCTATAATAGGCTGAAAATGTATTCCAAAATTTCATTCTACTTCCTTCTAAGGTTAAAATGTAATTTTGATTTGCATCAGTAATTACCTTCAGCGTTACTCTAGACGTAGCAACATAGTCTTGATACAACATAGTCTCCAACCGAGGTGATTGTCTACAGGCGTCTATTAAGAAATCGTACAGTAAACCGATTTGATCTCTAAACTGTTTGAACGAGGGTTCAAATTCAATGGCATCGTTCTGAAATGCTAGGTTTATCACGAACCCTTGATTCTTTCCCTGTGAAAGGGGAATTAATTGTTATACTTATACTTTAAAGACACCACAGCTGCAAAAAAAGTTAAATTGATTCGTACCCCAACATCCAAAATATAGTCTGTAAATTCTGCCATGGATTTCAAGCATAATGTCTGCAGATTATACGTCATGATACAAGACAAGCAGTTGTAAAAATGTTTCATTTTTGAAGCTTGCTTGGGGTCAGGAATAAGCCGTTTCTTGTTTCCCTGGATAAGACAAAATGAAACTTAAAATAACTTAAGTTCCTCACATCTATAACTTGATGTCGATTGTAGTTCGCAGAACAGTAACAAGAAATTAGTACTGAAAAAGAAACACCTGCAAAAAAACTGCTTGAACAGTCGGTATCCATTGAAGATTTAGCACATTGCCGGCCGCATCAATGTGCCTCTTGCAAACAAAAGAGAAATCTTGCAACTCGTACGCTTCGTTTGTCATCATAATGTCTTTCATACTTATCAATCGCAAATCACTGAAAGGATTTACGAAGAATTTTAATTACATTAGGACTATGCACGAGACAAGATAATGATTTAATTTACGAGTTGACTTAGGTGATTCATTGTCCCGCTAAATAGTATGATTATAAGAAGCCAGCTCTATATTTTTGACTTGCCTAGTAAGTAGTCAGTGAACAATTTATTTGTAAAAGTAAAGGTATTTTAGTTAGCAGGGGTATTTATTAGAACGAACTATAAAAGAATATGTTAATTTACTTGAACTGCTTCCACCAGATCTGCAAGACCTGAGCGATACAAGGGTTCACGCTGTGCAGGTTCTTCGTGAGATACTTCTTGGCCAGCGCGTAGCGATTCCTCCACGCGTCGTCCTTTTTAGCCAGCTCCTGTTTCAGAGGCGTATCTTCCTCTTCTAACGATTCTTCCTGAGCATTACAATGACAACATGTAAACATTAAAATGCGTAACACCTTGCGATACGATTTTTTGAGATGACTCTACCAAATTCGAAAGTCACCGCTATGAATAAGTATTACCACAAAATATTAATAAGTACCTACTACCAGGCCTGTTCATCTTCGCGAGTTTACATCGAAAACAAAACACGCAAGATGGCCCACCTACAGGATACTATTCAACAAGGCCTCACATACGAGCGAACATTGACTCACGCACGCGTATTCTTGTGTATGATGGAAGAAAATAAAGAAAATGGTGTACTAAATACTGTGCAGTATTTAACTGCCTAAATAATAATAAAAACACAGAATGTACTTTTTTAAGTTGCCTCAAGACACTGAGAGGTAAATAAGTAGTTAATATTATTAATGATAATTCATGCTATTATAAATCATCTATTTCCTCCGCCATTTTCCACAGTTTGGCACCTCACGTCATTTTACCAAACACATCATTTTACCGAAGTCAGCCCTATAGCTTCGGCGCAGTGCCGATCACTGACGTTTGTCAACAAAATGGTGCTTGACTCTTGAGACAGGCTAAATTACACCATATGTTAATGACATTGAGCATACATTTTTTTAAATACTTTCGCGAAGTAAAACTTCTGTACGTAGTACTTATTATTATTCTGTGCTACTACGTACAGAAGTTTTACTTCGCAAAGATGTTTTAGTTAGTAATAATATTAACTACTTATTTACCTCTCAGTGTCTTGAGGCAACTTAAAAAGTACATTCTGAGTTTTTATTATTATTTAGGCAGTTAAATACTGCACAGTATTTAGTACACCATTTTCTTTATTTTCTTCCATCATACACAAGAATACGCGTGCGTGAGTCAATGTTCGCTCGTATGTGAGGCCTTTTCGAATAGTATTCTGTAGGTGGGCCATCGTGCGTGTTTTGTTTTCGATGTAAACTCGCGGAGATGAACAGGCCTGGTATTACTTATTCTTAGGAACCATGAAGGTGTCAAGATAATATACTCTATTGACGCTTGATCTTCCTTAATCCTAATTCAAATATCTTGAAACATTAAACAAACCGTATTTGGGTCCTTGAGAACGAAGTCAACGATAGCCTTCTTCATGCTCATCATGAAATCTTCTCGCATCTCGTCGGTGCAAGTAAACAACGTCTCTTTCCACTTCTTTAGTTTAGGCGATATCAAATTATGCACTCTGTAATGTAATTTCCATTAAATAATTATTACCGTCGCCAAAATATCAGTGAACATCTTAACGACTGATTAAGTATGTGGAAGTGAAACTAATGTAGAGTATGAAAACTCTGAACAATCCACTTATAAAAATAGCTTGATACATTTCTACTCTTGGAATCGTCTCTTGAAGGAGTGAAATATGATACATTAAATTTGCATTTTCCTAAAAGTTTTTAAACTTCATACATTTTATTTTTACCCGCTTCACCACATCGATCAATTTGTAGTACCTATATATTATGCTCCGATGCTCCTAAGATTTCAATTCCCACGTGTCTAAACACGGACGATGAAGAAATCATTTGAAGATGGTTTTGTCTTCATATAACTTTTACTGAAGTAGAGCCATTTCGCGCCCATAACGACTAATAAAATATCGATAGAGCGTTATAGGTAGGTATTGTGTACGTAGTAGTGTAGACAACGAAAGTGCTAAAAAAGGTATAATAGAGTCAAACTAACCGAAGTATAATTTTATTATCCAGAGGCGCGACATGTATTGTATCAATGCCGTATCGTAAGTAGTAATAATATCGTAGCATATTTTTCTCCTCTCCTGAAGGAATGGAGTCCCCGTCTTCCCCGGGGGCAGACTGGCAAATAAGCTTCATCAGCTTTGCTCTGAACTCCTCCCTGGCTTTCCTCATTGCTGTAAAGCTTTGCATTACTGAAATAAATGAACCGTCATATCGATACACACATACATCGCAATACGTGTTCCATAAAGATATATACCCCCATGTGCCTCATTAATAACGCCAACATAATATTATACTTGTGAAGATACCTACTTTTTACTAGCTCAGGTAATAAATTTTCAGGTAAGAAAAAGAACATCAAATAACTATCATTACCGCTAGACCTCTTCCGATGTCCACCTCCTCCGCCCGCCTTAGCAGCCTGTATTTTCGCCGCCTTCGACGTTGGAGGAGGCAATTTTAGCACTTCTTCAGGAAGTGAAAATAACGGACGTGTTCTTATTTTGAAGTCCTCTGGCATAGATATCTTAGGTAATTTAGGCAGTTTTGCATCTGATGTGGATGGCTCGGGATGCCCTTTTTTCCGCGATGTACTATTCTTCTTCATGATTCTTATCTCTGAAAATTTATTTAACTGTTTCATTTGCAGTTTTTATTATAAAACTACCTTGACTACCGGCTTGAATCCAGTCTACATATTATAATATAGTACCTAAGTAGTTACAAGATAAGTACATAGTAGGTACACTAGGTACTCTACAAGCAATGCGCTATTCTGTTTTAGTAAAAAAAATATCATAAGTATCTGTACATAATGTGTGCCTGATAAATAAATTATTAGGTATGTGTATGATATCTTTGGGTAAAGCTGCGGGGCGCAACAATACTTTTTCAGCCGCTTTCAGCGAAGCTGAATAAGCAACTACTAGCGACCTCTAGTTTAGTAGTTCGTAAAAGTGTTTATTTATAAATTTCAAAAGATGGCGCTTTGTACGAATTATTAAGAAAATAAACTTTTAGAATATTATTATTTAACACCATTAAACATTTTCATATTAAAAGTTCCAAACAATTAGGAATACTAAATGTAAAAAAATATTAAACTACATTAAATAGCTTGAATATCACAAAACGTAAAACCACAGATAATATGTAAAACGTTAAAATATAACAGCTGATTTGAGAAGTGTCAATTTCCACACCTGTCAATCTCAGTTTAATTTATAATTTCAGGAAAATTTTATATTATAAATTGTAATTAAATGTGTCTCAATACGTTACATGAAATATATTAAAGATAATAATATTTAAAACAGTTGTGCGTTTTTACCTGTCAGTTGCTGAATACAAGGTAAAAGTTTTTTATTTTCTCTAACCTAAAATTTATTCATATTAAGTTCCACTACTTCGCACTTATATTTTCCGCTACAATTAATTAGTCGAACATTATTATCAAACTAAAAAATAAATCTCTTACGGCAAACCGTCACAACAACTCAATATTGATTGATTTTTGCCAAACTGACATAACTATCGTCATTTGTTTTTATGTTTCTATGGTAATTTTATTCAGCCAGGATTGATCAAATAGTTTTCATTCACAATAGAGAAAGTTTATTTATAATTTGCTTGTACTTGTCTATAGGTTTTTAGACTTTTGTCAAATTTTTAGGTTAGATTAGTGACTGATGAAGCAAACGTTTGAATCCTATTCGCAGGTATATGTATATGTCTGTCTGTATTATATTTTTATGTTGTTTATACGCTGCCACTAACCATGACGCACACAGTCGTTCAGTATTTTTTAACTAGAAGACGTAGTATCGCGAGTGAGGGCTTGGTTGGTGTGACCTTGATACTAGGCAATCTAAACCTTGTTTACTGTAATCAAACTGTTCTCTGATGATGTCATGCTCTCATCCCATAGGCTGGAGATTTTGTAAACTGTTTTACTAACAAAGCTTTGATTAGTGGGTGTCCTTTTGTTAAAAAATTGTGTAAGTGTGTCACATAGATGTATGATGAAAATTTTATTTACTTTTTACTCCTTGACAATATTGTGGGTTTCCTATGTGCATCAGGTAAAATTAATAATTCCAGATGATATTCCAGCTGGTGAGGAGGCTTCACTTCAGCCCTGTGTGCCAGGCAGCTGAGTCTTCTCTGCTGGCCAAACTCAGGAAAAAGACTGGATACACCATTGCTAATTGCAAGAAAGCATTAGAAATGCACAACAACAACTCTGACAAGGTACAAACACAAACATTTTATTTTACTGTTACTGTTCAACAACTCTGACAAGGTACAAACACAAACATTTTATTTTACTGTTACTGTTCACAATAAAAATTTGCTTGAAAACATGCAAGCTTCTCTTCGGTTGACTGACAGAGAAAGCTAGTAATTTGTTTTCTAATTCTGAATGCCCATTACAAAAATGTAACAGCTATGATTATTACCTATAAAATGTTATCTTTACAGGCAGAAGCTTGGCTTAATGAGCAAGCCCAGGCAATGGGATGGGCCAAAGCAACAAAACTGGCTGGCCGCACTGCTCTCCAGGGATTAGTGGCTGTAAAATTCAACAAAGATCATGGGGCTCTTGTGGAACTCAACTGTGAAACTGACTTTGTGGCCAAAAATGAAAAATTCCAGAAAATGATTGAAGATGCAACAATCGCTTGCTTCAAGTTTGCTCATACCAACTTGCAATCGAAAGGTCCAGTCACAAAGGTTAGTTGAGTTACTTATGGCAAAAACTACCAACAAATAGATTTATAAATTGCAATCAAAGTCATTTATTTCTTGTTTATATTTTTTATTTTCAGATGGAATTGGATAGTGAACAACTTGGTAATTTGAATGTGGAAGGCAAAAAGCTGTCAGAAGTCTTAGCTCTATTTATCGGGTCTGTTGGAGAAAATGCTGTGTTGAGAAGAGCTGAGTGCTGGAAGGCTAACAGCAAAGACATCAAGATCGCAGGATACACTCATCCAGCTCCAGCCGCCGTTGCCGACTATTCTGCTGGAAAATATGGCGCCCTACTTGCTTACAAGCAATCTGGTGAGACCGAAGATATAGGCAGACAGATCTGCCAACATATTGTAGGCTGTGCTCCAAACAAGATTGGTGCTAAAGATAAAGACAAGCCAGCCAAGAACTCAGATGATGAAAATTGTCTCATTTACCAAGAATATCTATTAGATCCTTCATACACAGTTGAGGAAGTATTGCAGCAGCACCATGTTGAAGTACTTGATTATGTGAGATTCTCATGTGGGGAAATTGTTGAAACAAACATGCCTGGAGTTGAGAAACAGCCATTGGACACTGTACAAACACTGCAGTGAACAACAAAAAGATTTTACTACCTACTGAGTTGGAGATATGCTGAATGAAAGTCACATTATGTTATATTTATAGAGTTTTTATTTAATTTGCATAAGTAATAAAGATTTAGAATACCAATGTATTGTTTTTGCTTTTGGACACTCATTAGGCACCCTAATGATAATTATTTCATACTGTCAAGTGCTTTCTTGCGTGGGTCGGCGACGATCACATTTTTCGCTTTAGCTTTTCCTTTCCATAGGAACATTCTGCAATCTTTTTTCCAAAACATAGCTATTTGACTTGGGTCAAAACTGTATCCATGATGATTCAGTACCTCTGGGGAAACAACATGAAGTGCTAGGGTAGTCTGTTCTCTCGTTCTGAAAGGCCCAGTGGTCGCAGGTCTTAGCAGACAACCGCAAGGGCACACGGTGGCGACTTTGGGGGCTGACATAACGTTCATACGGTTGCACAGGTTTATCCTCTGAAAATTACCACATAATCTTAACTCTTCCACAGCACCCGTAAAAGACTGGGTAGCTCGAAGCGCCAGCGGCCGGGAATTCTGATTATCCGAACTATTTCTAAACCCAACGGTCGACAACGATTTCTTCGTGATATTTGGACTCTCTTGGGGACTTCTATCGTCGCACTCGCTTTCTTTATCGGAATTGTCATCAGTATACATGATTATTTTGTAATTTAATTACAATTTTATTTTAAAAACACCCGTGAAAAACCCTCCCTATTCAAATGACAGCTTTCCGTCATTTGTTTCCCGCGTGCGCGGGCACGTTTTTTTTTTTTAAGTTTCAGAAAACTACCTATCGCATAAAGTTTATATTTTTTTATAAATTATACGATAAGATTAAAAATAGTTGGAATAGTCTGAACTTATTTTTAATAATAAAATACTATAAACTTCCTTTTAGTTTATTTTTACCTCTAAAATTTTCGGAGTTTGTGTGCATAATATCTTCAGGAATTCGAAACCACTTCCGGTGAAAGCCTAGACATTAGCTTCCCACTGAATTTTAAAATATTAATCGATTGGTCGTTTCAACTAACACTATTATCGGATTTAATGCTTAGAGGTATTTTCTTCCAGTCAACCATAGGTTGTAGACTCTACAACCACATGACAATGTAGAGTCAAAATTTACAGAAATATTTACTTACATTATTTCGGGGTTGTTTAATAAGTTTGTTTGCTTTATTTCGCAACAAAAATCAATAATACAAGCGCTATAAAAGTTTGGTTCCCATGTTGTAACCAATTCGTTTTTGTAACATCGAACAAAATAACAACAACAAAAAGTACGACGCATCACAGTCATAGCCTTCGCGACCGCTTCGAATCAATTATTATCATGTTTATTGTAGGCGTACCTAAAAAGCATTGACCGATATACTTAGGTCGCTATTGTATTACGAGTAGTGTTATATTACCTAGCTAGCTAAGGTTAACTGTAAATAAATCTGGGTCAAAATAAAGGAAGATGTTGACCCGACCGGTAATCGAATTTGGAGTACTTACTTACCAACACCGGACATAACGCCTACAATAGTTTGATAAGTGCCTAGACTAAATAAATACAAATTTTTCATTATGACTGAATGATAAATTTGTTGTAATACCTACTTAACTTCTTAACGAAGTCAGAGAATTTAATGATGCGATTGCAAATGTTGTTTGCCCAGTTGGGTGTCTTATGGGCTTGTCTATCTATTTCATAGTAAAGGTACTTAGGTAGGTTTCACCCTATTGATAAACATTAAACATACCCATACTGTGACCTCTAATTAACCGACATCATTCGGAATACTACCGGTGAGTATCACAATGGTCGGTAACATCACGGACATGATGAACATGTCCAAATGACAAACGAAAGTGAACGCGATAATCATGTCGACACAAACAAAAAGTGCGGCCGAGCGTGGATCCTGTGGCAGATGTGCAGAATGCGGATTAGTTGCCGCGCAGTCCAGCCTCCGACTCTTGCGCAGCTCGTTCCGTGCGACGCATCCGTGATCTACCCGAAATAGTGACCTAACCGCAGCGGCGCTCGTTCATGATCGACTATCAGGTTTAGATTATTTTAAACCTTCTTCATCGTTTTTTCATACAACTCATCCACTTGAAGAGTTCTGGGTCTTTCAAAAATTTCAAGTTATAACATCCTCCTAATACCAGCGTGACATCGATTGTAAGTAAGAAAATCCTGTAAGTAGACGAGGAAGAGGTTCCAGAAGTTATCGTTTTTTGAATGTGGTCTTATATTGCCAGTTTTCTCAAGTAGGTATCTAATCACCACCATTAAAGATCTTGCAGGCTACTCACCCTGATCGAGATCGCTCTGCTGCGTGCTACAAATATGAAAGTGTGATAAAGCAGGCGCACTGCAGTGACCGTTTGAGAAAACATCGGGTAGCACATCTTGAATTCCGCGCATACCAGCAAACATTGATGTTATCTACTTTGCAAATACTTAGATCTTACTGATTTCTATTTGTAATCGATCCTTTTTAGTTCTTGGAAAATATCTTCAGATAGAACCTAGGTACAATAGTGTTAATCCAATGAAAGTAGGAAATCTAGATTGCTATAATTGCTAATACAAGTAGCGGGAGCACGTTCTAAGAAAGTCATTTCTCTCAGTCTCGAAATCATTGATAGTTGCGACTTGCTATGACTATCGAAGCCGTGAATTAAGACGCACGAAGAGCAAACATTGATTATTCCATTACGCCAATAATTGGTGCCTGTAATTAAGCCGTTAAGAGTCAGTAGCCAATGTAGATGAAAATGTGATAGTCCGGCACGCGCCACGCCACCCATCAATCGGCATACGAAGCCGCCCAGACTTTCGCGAGAATTAATTTATTCGTCTCTGTCTTATTAAAATATGTAAGCGCAAGTAGCGTGAAACAATTTTCTTTTTTGCATCGTTTCGAACGGCCTGTAGTTAGTCTGTGGAGAGTGTATGGACGTCGCGGTCGCCTCGCTGATCTACTGGCGATAGTGTGGTGCCGACTGCGAGCTGCGGCAGAGCTATTCGCGCGAACGCTTCTATGGGGCCAGTTCGCGCCTGACCGTCACTTCGAAAATGCACATTCTGGAGATAGGAGCTGATCAAGTAAACATAACGATATTTGTATACAAACAGTGTTTGAAACTGAAAGTGTGATGTTTTGTTTCTGTGAATGATTTCGAAGATATTTCATATATTGTGGAAGTGCTTTACCTACACCTCTTTAGGCTTTAGAGTTATTTATAAAGCTTACAAATAAGAGGTAACATAGAAGAAGAAATTAGTGAAGCGCAAGAACACAAGTGCAGTCACTTCAAGTGTTCAAACAATGCGCCTCTTATTAATTTAGGATTCTTGCGGAATAATTAGCTTTTTCAAACTTTTTAAAACATAATACCTACCTACACTAAAGTAACTGAAATGCATGTTTTCAGGTCATTGAGTGGTTAATAATGCACTCTTTAATTAAGGTATTAAAATGTTAAATTTTCTTTTCGTTTTAATTATTCCGAAGTGGGTAGGTTCATAATAAATGATGACAGTCACTATTAAAAATGCCGTAATCAAACTTTTACTTGCAAGTGTAAAAGTGTGCACAAACTAATTAAGTTTAGAAATTCAACACTGCCCATTTATTAATATTTACAAATATTAACATTACGCCTTCATCAGCATGACAACATTAATTAATTTTAAAACCAAATAAAGTGGCTTGTATGTAGAAACTGCAATTACAAACGTTTGTAGAAAATTCATTTGCACAATCTACTATTTTAACAGAAGACAATTTTAGTTATTTATTACAATATAAAATACTTAACTAGATTAATGAAATACAAAAATAACGAATTGAAATGACAAAAAAATATTGATTTAATTGTGTTGTAATCGAAGACTTATCAACAATTTATTGCTGAAGCCAATACTTAAAATAGGACTTCGTGTTTATAAATTTTAATAACAGTTTAATCTGAAAATGTTAAGCCATTTATAACTAAGTAATTAATGTTTGCTTGTGCTAAAGAAGGCGCAATAGCAATTTTTATAGTCGTTCTCATGATTAAGTAACGTTACCTTTGGTCCTTTGACAAAAATCTACGTGATTTCTTGAATTGAATGGAACCGCACCTTGCATTGTACCTAGTGGACTATGGCTAACCTAGGAATGTGACATCATTCATTTGTGCCATTATGTCCACTCTAGACCGCGAACGGCTCCCAAACCACAATAAATAATAGCCCAAACGCACCCTCGGCCTTGCCTTGGCGCACCCTTTGATACACCGCATTCAATCGTTTTTCATCACTAACAATTTATACCTATACCTACTTCCTAGGAAATGTATTGGCACCTAATTGGGCACTCGAAAGTAACGACTTGAAGTCGTTAAATTATATTATGAACACTTGAATGAATAAAACTTACTAGGTACTGAAAATACATCCTTATTATATTTCATTATTATTTTAAAATCATAACAGGTAATTGCAAAAAAATTATGAATTAAAAGTGAAAAAATTCAACGTGCTCAGTCAATCAACCCAATAGCATTTTCCCGGAAGGGCATCGGGCACACGCAAAATGGTCAATTACTTAATGCTGTGGAGCTATAACCGACCGGTGAACTAAATAATCCTATTGAAATTCTAATTGATCTATACTCAATTATAGGTAAACTGAAACAATTAAGAGTGTAAACATACATTAAATCAATCAATCATTCTAATAATGTTTTCCTGGCGTGTTGATCGCGCCAATATATTTTTTTTCATTAGATAACTTTTCATCGCCGTATATTCATACTAATGAGCTGCAACGAAGACGAGAGTACTAATTGGCGATAGCAGCTGTAGCGTTTTGTAATTAGTGTGTTTTGATTAAAGAAATGCTAAATAAGTGTGTGTGCACGACAGGAGGATGAGGGTGGCAGAGCGCGCGCCGCCGAAGCCGCGTTCCGCACCGTGCCGCGCGACCACACTGCTTTCCTCGTCTGGAGGATATCGGTGAGTAATTCAACAAGCAGTTAACTCAATCCCATGGTTTCCTGAAAGTATGAGTTCTTTACGACCTTATGTTATATCGCTCGTGTTTTCGTAGACAGCCTAGATAGAGCCAACGACACTGCCCAAATTACATTTACAGAACTGAAATTTTTGAATTGTCTATAACACAAAATAGACGCATTTTTTTTAAATGAAGGATAAGACTATGATATTGCGCTGCTAATATCTATTTAACTACCTGTTCCAATATTAGTGTCCTAGCTCTACATACCTTGGTATTTTTCTAAAATGGAAATAAGGTAGAGTCACGGTAATGTTATCTATAGTAACGTGGTAGAGTACTGAAGAATTATCATTTGAAATAAGATGAATCTCGAGCGATCGTGACTTCGTTTAATGCTAACAACACTAATGTGGCCCGCAAATAAGCCGCGTTTTCTCCAAATGCGAACTTTATATTGACCTATCACGGAACATAACGCTCACGGAGACGTTACTGCTCACGGATACGTGTATAATTATGTCTGACACAACACCTTACATTAGTCTATTACGAGTAGGTACGATTTCACTTTCATTAGAATTAAGATGAAAAACAATAATAAAGGCTTTTATGAAGACGTGGTCTTCCTATTTACTATTTTTGAAACTTCTGTAAAATGGCTATTTCTGCATTAGGTACTAAGTAATTAGGTGTTTAAGGTTGCATTAAGCTTGAACCTTTATTGAAAAAGGTGCACGTTCACATTTATATAAAGTTTGATTTGGTGACTACAGACTGATGAATGTGTTAGGTTTTCGATATGGATCACATTTCCTACAAAAGTTTAATTACCTTTTTCCACCGTCTTTTTTTTCGAAGAATTTTCAGTGAACGGTTATTTCAAGCCGATGCTCCAAAAGCGATTATTTTTTAATAAATAACAGTTCCAATTTCTAAAGAAACGACAAGTACAATTGGTAATAAAATTTTATTTCAGACGCTTTTTCTTGAGGTAATCACAATGTTCGTGACCATTTTTAGTAAAAAGTTATATTTTGTTACAAAATCTTCAATCGGAGACGGTCTTTTTAGGCTGCAAAGGAAAATGATTTCTTAGTTAATACGGCTTGATGGGTAAATTCGAGTTTGATTAGTGTCATCATTATTTAATTTTAAGGTCCAATGATTTTATTTTTCTTTTAATCGTAATTTCAAAAGTATGTCCTAGTTCAGTATCGTGAAATGGTTCACTTGAACGCATACTAATTTTAGTGACAACTAGCGGCCGCTCGCGACTTCGTACGCGTGAATCCCGTTTTTCCCGCTAATTCCCGTTCCCGTGGGAATTGCGGGAATTCCTTTCTTAGTGCACCTCTACGGTACCTAAGCTACGTCCCTTCCAAATTTCAAGTGCCTACGTTTAGCCGTTTAGGCTGTGCGTTGATCTGTCTGTCAGTCAGTCAGTTTCTCCTTTTATATATTTAGATTTAAATAGTTCTCGGCTGTAAAATGTTATTTAAAAAAACAACAGTAGGTTAGGTACATACAATACAACATCGACTCCACCTAAATTCGTGAGAATGCCTTTACTCAAGACATTGTCTAAGATGTACGCAGATCCCTCTGTTTCGGAGGTTCATGTGAAAGGTCAAATGTAGGTAAATCTTTCCCACCAGAGTTGATAAACAATCACCCACAGCGTTTTGTGCGAACGCCAAAATTTGCGACCAAACCAATGTTGGTTAGGTACGTGGGAGTAAGTAAGAATAGGTTAACAGTTAATTAATCTCTTGAAAAATTAATCCGTCTTTTGTAGCGTTAATAGTTAAATGTTCATTATATTAGTCTCCTCTGTATTGCTATTGCTTTGGGTTGAATGACACAAAACAAATTGAATTTCATAAATCTTTTAACTCGCTGAAAAATCGATTTCAAGAGTCTTTAAGTTCGGGTAAATTTCAGTGACTATTACGGTGCATTTTGTTCCTTTGTCTGAGTGATTTCATTTTTATGCAATGACAGTATATTTAAGTAATTATTGTGTAAGTGGCGAATAGATTGTAAACATTAAATTACGTGGAGGCTAATGCACGTCACAATGAAATCGTGTAACTTTTGCAGTTTTTATATTCAATTATGAGTGATTAATTATGCTGTTGCAATACTTGCAATCATATTGTGCATTATAAAAGAATAATTATAAGCCTGGAGCTACGCATCAAAAGCAATAAATCAATTCGCATAGCTAGCGATGTCAGGGCATAAATTTTCGCTTGTCTTCCATAAATAACGACCAAAGAGAAAGTTAGACCAACGGAAAGCACTAAATTGCATATCTCAGAGATGCATGCTGAGTGGGCTGCATCTATTTCTGAGCCGCTTACACGTAATTGAATAAAATACCTTAGCTTAACTTAACTGTGAATTGGTAACCAACTGCTAAGTGTTCCAAACATTACTTTATCCTCATATCATTATGTAGAGACTTAGTAGAGTCCCAACTCTGTCCATTGCTCTACCATCATCTTTAGAAGTTTCGTTTCATGAATACCTACATAGTTTTTTCATCAACTTATGGCAGAAATTTCAGTACGAGTAGTAACTTAAAATTTGAACCAGTTCAGGCCATTCGAGCCCAATTGTTACACGTTGCGTAACAACGCGATATTGTGTCAATCACGAAAGTTCGCGGATATCTCGTGACATGGCGCGATATTAGATTGCATAAGATAAAGGCTGTTCGGTTTTATTGATCACTCACGTGTGGATATCCCATGTGAAGCTTTATTTTTAACAACCTCTTTACACCGATACGGTTTCACGCCTATTGTTTAGATTAGGTAATCTGCATGATTAGATTCCGTGAAGCTCTATTGTAATAGTAAGTAGGTGAGTAATGGTCAATTCTGACCGTATGAATATGTATGACCAACTCATCTGGAGTTTTCTATTACGTAGTAGGTACCGTACTTCATATATTTAACAGCTTCGATAAGCTTCAACATCAAATATTTTTCAGGGACTTTTTTGTTTTTCATAAAATTGAAGTTTATTAAATCAATGCAAATCAATACCTATTTGCTACCACATAGCACGAGCGATCTTTCGATTTCCGTCACCTATTCTATAAAACTTCTCACACTTCGCAGAATCTTCTAAATGATAGATCATTACAGTTTTTCAACGTCCTCAACAAAAACCAGACATGAGTGCAGATCCAGTTCACTCTTGGCTGGTTCAGTTGAATGGGCTCACGAACGCTGTGTTTGCGCTAAATAATTGGACTGCATGAAATGAAACAAATAATGACTGCAGCCGATAATACATTTGTAACGGCAGAATCCGAGATGATTCATTGTGCGTCGTACCGCTACTCGAGGATCCGGCGGCAACGGACCGCGACAGTCTGGGAGAACAGCTATTTCAGTTGTTTAAGTTTCCTGGGAATTAGGTTAAAGAAAATACCGATTGTGTTACAATACTCAATACTATAATAATATTAAGGACCTGCTCCGACTTCCAAACAAATGTAAAAAAAACTTCGACAATGTCTGACTACCAAAGTAGAGCACTTTTAAGTTTTCAGAAGCTATAAATTACACAGTAACATCATAAATATTGTAAAACTCAAAGCAAATAAAAAGACTACGTCTCAATTTTCACCACGAAACAAAAGGATTAACTCTACCTTTCCAAAGTTAGGCTAGTAAAAAGTGGCATAAATCGAGGCTCTACTTAAAATACGTGGTAAGGTGACAGAAGCTTGCAAGAATGATTCATTACTTCTAAGTAGGTACGCTCCACTTACCGTTGTTTACAAACCAAAATATAGTGCTCTTAAAAAGACAGGTTTTTACATTTGCTAGACATTCTCAAAAGACTGCTCTCCTTTATGTAAATGCACGCACTTACTTAATAGTCACTGAAAAAGTTTTGTCCTCATTTTAAAAAGCCACTTAGGTATGCTTACTTTCCAGGTCTATTGTTACAACAAACTGCATCTAACTACCTATTCAAACCCTGATTACATCTGCGAGACAAAGGCAGACCTAAGGAAAACCCATGCAATGCATCACTGCAACACAAATCGTCCAGAGGCCTATGCACCTACTTTCTCCCAACTATCTCATTATACGTCTGCACTCTGCTCATAGCTTAGAAACCTAAACATGATATGACTGCAATAAAAGCTGGAAAGCTAAATTATTGTAAGTAAGTAGATAAACGTCCGCTTTCTTCGTTCGAGATTACATGAACGGTTAAGCTGCAACTTTAGCAGCGGATACAACAGTCTGAATTATGAATTTCTGATTCTGATATACTTACCCACATAACTACAATGATAACTAGTGGATTAATACGGACTTCTCATTATTCACAATAATTTATTATCGCGTTACTGTAAATTGGATCTGTACATAACATTGAAGTCATTTAATTGATATTGATCGGAGTAATATTCCAAATCACCAGTAATGACGTAGAATAGGTAGTTTTAATGACTCAAAGAACACTCAAATGTTGATTTAAACTGACCGTCACTATAATTGATACTTTCTTTTTAAGACTAAAGTTTAAATAATGAAATACAAGTTGTCATACTAAATACGCAATATTAGACTACTTACAAGACGAATGCGCACGCGCCGACGCGGTCCACTGCAGATGTGATTATACGAATGAGATAACCATTTCTCGAAACTGAGACGAGTTACATGAAAACTAACAATTATTGCACTTTCCATCACCTGTGATTACATGAACATTTGGAATAAAAAAGACAGGCAGTAATTATAAACAAAAGTAAGCTAGCTTGAGCCGCCCCGAACACTATAGTTCATTAGTTATTTTTATATTTTGCTTCAATAAAAAACAACAAGTTTTCTTTAAAAACAACCAACGGGACTTTAAAAATAAAGCAACTGCCGCCTTCCTTTTTATTAAATACTTACTAACTTAAATCCAGTTCAATGGTAAATCAAAATAATTAAATGTTTTTAGAAATATACAGTTAAGTAGGAAACTAAGATGCAGACGAAGAGAAAAAGAACGGAAAAAGACTTCAATACTTTCGTGACCGTAAAATTTTCAACTTCTGAAGAAAATACTCGGCTGATGAAAAGAAAAATTCCTAAAAAGTCAAAGATAATGTTGAAAGCGTTTTGTACACAAAAAATCTTATCGTGATTAGACTCACAAGTAATAATCGAGCGGTGTCGTGTGATATACCGTCACTGAGATGCGTCAGGACTTTTCTTACTTCTTGCATGCTTTGGTAATTGCACCATGCACGAACGAGTGCGCGTGTAACACAGACGTTACTCGCTAGCTGGTATTTGTCTCTCATGTGTGTGTTTCCATTATTACAGGAGTCGGGAACGGAGATGCTGCCTCGCACCCACTACGGCACATTCTACGATGGAGAAGCTTACCTCATCTACTCCTCATCGCTTTCTGGACAACCGGCTGGGCCGGATGTCATTGTAAGATTGATCTAACCTAAAACAAACCATTAATGGCAATTTGAACAGTACAATATCACTGTAGAATTGATTATCTAAAAGTTCAGTGACCACACGGTTTCTGTGTCTAAAATCTGTAGAGGCTCTACTTATAAGAGCGAGCTAATTAGTAATAGATGCATGATATTCTTATCTCTACCATAAAAATTTATCCAACCTACCTGAGATGTTTTATAGAGTATTACCACAGTATTACCATCATCACATCTTAACACAAGTAGATAAAAGATCTCGGTACGCTCAGAGGGGTCCGTAATGTAATCTTGAAGAAGCATCGAATTGATTTATCCATCATACAATGTCTAACAGCGTCGCGAAATAAAAGAAAACGGCAGCGGCGAGTTCGCCGAGCGCCACATCCACGCTTGGGCCGGCGAGCGCAGCGGCGCACTGGCCGCGCTGGCGCTGCGCCGCGGCACGCAGCTCGCGGCACACCTCGGCGGGCCCGTCGTCGTGCACCGCGAGACCTCCACCAAGGAGACGCCCAGACTCCTTTCCTACTTCCGAGATGGGATTCGGTAAGTCGCTGAAAATCTGTAGTTAATTATAGGCGGTACGAGTAATGGATATTTCATGGTGTACCTATGTATTTTATAGTGCTTTTTTGTAACCATTTAAAACGCTGCTGTCCAATATCGGCCACAGGGTATTTATTTGACTCTACATTTAGATAGTCCATGGTGCATCGGTAGACAGGTAGGATCGAGGTTTGTCATTTGAGTCAAAAGTTGACTTCCTTTACGCCCCTGAGATAGCTGCGTCTCTGCTTCTTCAGCTGGATGAAAAAGTAGTATGTCGTGATTTATGACGTTCCCTAGGGAGACTTTCCTTCGATAGTAGAAAGTCATTGACTGATGATCTTGAAATAACGCTGCCCCCAGGATCCTACGCAGCGGCAGCGGCATTCTCAACGGCGGCGCGCGGCTGTACCGCGTGCGCGGGCGCCGGCCGGTGCTGCTGCAGCTGGAGCCGGTGTCGTGGGCGCAGCTGGCGGCTGACGGCGTGTTCGTGCTGGACACAGCCGCGCTGCTCGTGCTGTGGCTGGGCCGCGCGGCTAACCTGGTGGAGAAGATCTTTGGGGCTAAGGTACGTAGCGATAAAAGCGAAATATAGACTAGCGAAAATCTACGGAAGAACTATTGCCGATGTGATGAAAACTGAAATAGCAAAGTAAATCCCTAAAATCGCGGGGATTAGCAGAAAGGTTCATAATCTAGTGTGATGATGTCTATGGGAGAACTATCTGAAATTTAATTGGTGGAGTAATAACGCTGCAACCACTGCTTAGGAACAATAAAGAGTTCAGCAGTGGACCATTCTGCACTCGCTGTGAAACTAAGGCAAGCTAAATTCTTTTGTCTGCAGATAGCTTACCGCATGGCCCGCGGCTCTGAAAAGGGCATAACGGCTCGTCGCATCGCGATCGCGCACGACGGCTACGAGCAAACACTACCACTTGGGGACCGCACTCTCCTAGACACTTTGTTAGAGCTGCGCTCGCGCTCCGTCCGCCCCGCCGCGCCCCCCGCTGACCCCCCGCGCCCCGCACGTCTCTACCGCGTCACGCAACCGCAGCGCGTCTCGCCCGTCACTATGCCCTCGCAGAGGCCCGCTGCTCGCTTGGAAGAGGTCAAGAGAGCGCCGTTGTACAGAGCTGACATGGCTGATGATGTGAGTACTCTACTACCCGTTCGCGCTAAGTTTGCCGGTCCGTGGAATGCGCGTCCCCTTCTCCAACCGCGGTTAAACGCAATTAGTTAGTGATTAAACGCAATTAATGTGTCTTATTTTACGGAAATACGTAATTTTTATCAATATTATCAAATAAAAAATATATTTTTTTTAGTTTGCCATAGTTATAGACGCTTCCCTTCGCGTGACGTCATATCGCCAGCGGCAAACTTATCGCGAACGGATAGTTTACAGGTGTAGAATTAAGTTCGACACAAAGTAATCTAAGCAATTCTTCTTCATGATTTCAGGGCGTTTACGTAGTGGACAGCGGCGTCCGCGGCGTATGGGCCTGGGTTGGGCCTAACGTGACCGGCAGCGGGGTGGCGCGTGGGGCCTTAGCCGCGGCCCGAGGCCTCGCCCGCGCCCGACGCTACTCGGGCCCGGTGTCGCTGGTGCCGGCGGGCAGGGAGCCGTTGGAGTTTGCTGCTATGTTCCGCGCATGGCGCTGGTGTGACGCTCGCCGTGATATCCGCTTGAGAGCTGCGCGGTCTGCTACCACGCGCTTGGATGCTGTCAGCCTCGCTACTAACTCTTGGCTTGCTGCTGAGGTAAGGAATTAAAGTTCATTTACGAAAATCCACTACTTCACGCAGTTCGTCAGTGTAAAATTATTAAATGGATGTGTTACTTTTTTTGCCCGCACTGAGATTCGCAATCCTAGGTCCTGGACACTGAGAGGTCTTACCAGGCGGTGGTTTTACCATTCTGTGGTTTTACCAATAGACCATAGAGACGGCCCAATCACGGGACAGAAAGATGATCGAAATTCCTTGCCAATTTACTATCGATTTTTAAGACTAGAGCACTTGGCCATGAATAGCAAGAAACTCTCACTTCGTCTCCAGGCCCAGCTGCCAGACGACGGGTCCGGCGCTCTTCGGGTCTGGCGTGTACGCGGGGAAGACGAGGCGGGCGCGGGCGCAGCCCTGGCCGAGGTGGAGCGCCCGCAGGCCGCCGCCTTCTATGACCAGGACTGCTACATCGCGCTTTACACGTATCACGCGCCCACGGGGGACCAGTCCATACTTTACTACTGGATGGTGAGTTTTTGAGGACCACGGCTTTGAATGTAGCTAGCTGATATAACCTTGAAAAAGGTTTAGAATTTAGGCCAAGAGATTTTTGCGAAGCGTGGGATGATGAGTTGCCTCACGAAGTATCCTAATGAACTGTTTTCAATGGGAAAGAATAGAAACTTATTTAAGCTGGTTTTCATTTATTTTGCAGGGTGGCTCTTCTCCAAATGATTTGAGGAATTTGGGCGCAAAAGAAGCCAAAGACCTCTACGTGAAGTTGGGGCGTCTTCCCGTCCAAGTGAGTTCAAAATCTTGCTTATACACTCACAGTGTGTTTATTTTATAATGTAATTATTTCATTTTGTGTCTTCCACCAGGCTTGGATTTATCAAGGCAAGGAACCGGCACACTTCCTTCAAATATTCAAAGGCCGGATGATCACTTACGTTGGTAGCGCCACTGATTACGATCGTAAGTTACATTACCTACTTATATTTAAAAGTTTATGTACCGTAGTCTCATTGCCAGATTAATGATTTTATTAAATAATTTGTGCATAGTTTCGATAGTTTTGTCTAGTCGCTGGGCGAGTGGGTAGTCCCATAGCAGGCGCTAAAGCGCGCCTAAGTATTCACCTCGTTCTCGCTCAATAGATAGACATGTTTCTTAGCAAAGAAACAGATGACAGCTACAGAGCCCCGATTACGGTAACTTTTAACGTTTCCAATCCAGACGCGCTTCTGATTCTGCGATACGATTGGTCAAAACAGCTGACGTACGCTGTTGAACGACCAATCGTATCGCAGAATCGAGAAGCGTGTCTGGATTGGAGACGTTAAAAAGTACCGTAATCGGGGCTCTGGACTTTTCACTCGTTTAGAATGATTCACCTGTATATTTGGCCTATTCCGCTTTGATCACTTAGATCAGATCACCCAAGTGATTAAAGTGAAATCCAGGCGACACTTTGATGTCCTTTGATCACCCATGGATAAAATCACCTGCATGAAGAAGTTTACTTTGATCACCTAGGTGATCCATGGGTGATCAAAGGACACCAAAGTGTCGCCTGAATAGACCGTATAATCACAGAATCATTATTTTTCAGCAACCGGTCGTCGAGTGGTAGCGCCTTCCCGCGCTTTGATCCGCGTGTCAGGCCAGTACGCGCGCGAGGCCCGCGGGGTGGAAGTCCGCGGGGGCGGCGGCGCGGGGGGGCGCGGCGCGTGCTACGTGCTGCGGGAGGGCGCGCGCGCGTGGGTTTGGTGTGCCGCTTGCGCTACTGGCGACGAGAGGGAGGTCGCGAAGAACATGGCTGCGGCTGATCACACGCTTGTTATGCAAGGNAGCACCATGCACGAACGAGTGCGCGTGTAACACAGACGTTACTCGCTAGCTGGTATTTGTCTCTCATACGTGTGTGTGTTTCCATTATTACAGGAGTCGGGGACGGAGATGCTGCCTCGCACCCACTACGGCACATTCTACGATGGAGAAGCTTACCTCATCTACTCCTCTTCGCTTTCTGGACAACCTGCTGGGCCGGATGTCATTGTAAGATTAAACTAACCCAATCATTAAAATGCGATTTGAACAGTAGAATATCACAGTAGATTTTTATTATCTAAAGGTGCAGTGACCCCCACGGTTTTAGAGGCTCTACCTAAAGAGCGAGTTATTTAGTAATAGTTTAAGCATGTTTTCTTTTCTCTACCTTAAAAAAATATTGACGTGAGATGTTTTTAAGGAGTATTGCCACCTTATTACCATCATCATATCATATAACACAAGTTGATATACCTAAAGATCTCATCTCAGGTACGCTCAGTGGGGTTCCGTACATAGCAGTGCAATCTTGAAGAAGCATCAACTTGATTTATCCATCATACAATGTCTAACAGCGTCGCGAAATAAAAGAAAACGGCAGCGGCGAGTTCGCCGAGCGCCACATCCACGCTTGGGCCGGCGAGCGCAGCGGCGCACTGGCCGCGCTGGCGCTGCGCCGCGGCACGCAGCTCGCGGCGCACCTCGGCGGGCCCGTCGTCGTGCACCGCGAGACCTCCACCAAGGAGACGCCCAGACTCCTTTCCTACTTCCGAGATGGGATTCGGTAAGTTCGTAACACAATCGCTGAAATCTGTAGCTACGGGTAGGTAAGTTAGCAGAGAGAGATCTTAATATTTCCATAACCAAAATTAAATGCAATACTGTGTATTTTACATGCTCGTTTGTGACCATTCATGAGGTGTATGCCCATATTCACGACTGGGCAGCACTTGACTCTACATTTGCAATAGTTACCTATACCTCCTCTGAAGTCTGTCTGTCAGTGTAGGGCACATTGAAGGTGGGGTCGAAGTTTGACTAGCCGCCCCTTTACGTCCTAAAATAGCTGCCACCGCAGCTGTATGGAAAGGGAGGAGGAGAGGCTTACCTCTAGTAGTAGAATGTCACTGGCTGATGATGATCTTGGGAGTATCCTGTAGGTATGTAATCTATTATAAAAATATTTCACTCTAAAATGCACCTTAATTCCAGGATCCTACGCAGCGGCAGCGGCATTCTCAACGGCGGCGCGCGGCTGTACCGCGTGCGCGGGCGCCGGCCGGTGCTGCTGCAGCTGGAGCCGGTGTCGTGGGCGCAGTTGGCGGCTGACGGCGTATTTGTGCTGGATACAGCCGCGCTGCTCGTGCTGTGGCTGGGACGCGCGGCTAACTTGGTGGAGAAGATCTTTGGGGCTAAGGTACGTAGCGATAAAAGCGAAATATAGACTAGCGAAAATCTACCGAAGAACGATTGCCGGGATGTGATGAAAACTGAAATAGCAAAGTATATCCCCAAAATGGCGGGGATAGCAGAAAGTTTTAATCTAAAGCCTGGTCCGTGAGCACGTAGAATTTTGTCCAATGACCCCAAGCTACCACACTCGCTCGCACACTCACACAGTCGCGACAGCAATATAATTACGCGCGAGCGATAAGGATGGGTAGCTTGGGGTCATTGGACAAAATCCTACGTGCTCATGGACCAGGCGATAGTGTGATGATGTCTATGGGAGAACTGGCTGAAATTTAATTGGTAGAGTCATAACGCTGCAACCACTGCTTAGGAACAATAAAGAGTTCAGCAGTGGACCATTCTGCACTCGCTGTGAAACTAAGGCAAGCTAAATTATTTTGTCTGCAGATAGCTTACCGCATGGCCCGCGGCTCTGAAAAGGGCATAACGGCTCGTCGCATCGCGATCGCGCACGACGGCTACGAGCAGACACTACCACTTGGGGACCGCACTCTCCTAGACACTTTGTTAGAGCTGCGCTCGCGCTCCGTCCGCCCCGCCGCGCCCCCCGCCGACCCCCCGCGTCCTGCCCGCCTCTACCGCGTCACGCAACCGCAACGCGTGTCACCCGTCACCATGCCCTCGCAGAGGCCCGCTGCTCGCTTGGAAGAGGTCAAGAGAGCGCCGTTGTACAGAGCTGACATGGCTGATGATGTGAGTACGATTCTCTATACAGGTGTAAAATTAAGTTCGACACAAAGTAATCTAAGCAACTCTTCTTCATGTTTTCAGGGCGTTTACGTAGTGGACAGCGGCGTCCGCGGCGTATGGGCGTGGGTGGGGCCTAACGTGACCGGCAGCGGGGCTGCGCGTGGGGCCTTGGCCGCGGCCCGAGGCCTCGCCCGCGCCCGACGCTACTCGGGCCCAGTATCCCTAGTGCCTGCTGGCAGGGAACCTTTGGAGTTTGCTGCTATGTTCCGCGCATGGCGCTGGTGTGACGCTCGCCGTGATATCCGCCTGAGAGCTGCGCGGTCTGCTACCACGCGCTTGGATGCTGTCAGCCTCGCTACTAACTCTTGGCTTGCTGCTGAGGTAAGGAACTAAAGTGCATTTATGAAAATCTACTACATACGTCACGCAGTTGATCAGTGTAAAATTATTGAATGGATGTGATCATAGTTACCTTTTTTGCCCGCACTGAGAATCGCAACCCTAGGTCCTGGACTCTGAGAGGTCTTACCAGGCGGTGGTTTTACCATTCTGTGGTTTTACCAATAGACCATAGAGACGGCCCAATCACGGGACAGAAAGATGATCGAAATTCCTTGCCAATTTACTCCCTTGGCCATGAATAGCAAGAAACTTTCACTTCGTCTCCAGGCCCAGCTGCCAGACGACGGGTCCGGCGCTCTTCGGGTCTGGCGTGTACGCGGGGAAGACGAGGCAGGCGCGGGCGCAGCCCTGGCCGAGGTGGAGCGCCCGCAGGCCGCCGCCTTCTACGATCAAGACTGCTACATCGCGCTCTACACGTATCACGCACCCACGGGGGACCAGTCTATACTATACTACTGGATGGTGAGTCGTTTTGGCACTGCGTCAATATGAGGTCTGTTGTCTTGAATGAAGCCTGCCAGACGACGGGTGCGGCGCGTGGCGAGGACGAGGCGGGCGCAGGCGCTGCCCTGGCCGAGGTGGAGCGCCCGTAGGCCGCCGCTTTCTACGATCAAGACTGTTACATCGCGCTCTACACGTATCATGCGGCCACGGGGGACCAGTCCATACTTTACTACTGGATGGTGAGTCGTTTTGGCACTGCGTCAATATGAGGTCTGTTGCCTTGAATGGAGCCTGCCAGACGACAGGTGCGGCGCATGGCGAGGACGAGGCGGGCGCAGGCGCTGCCCTGGCCGAGGTGGAGCGCCCGTAGGCCGCCGCTTTCTACGATCAAGACTGTTACATCGCGCTCTACACGTATCATGCTATGCGGCCACGGGGGACCAGTCCATACTTTACTACTGGATGGTGAGTCGTTTTGGCACTGCGTCAATATGAGGTCTGTTGCCTTGAATGAAGCCTGCCAGACGACGGGTGCGGCGCGTGGCGAGGACGAGGCGGGCGCAGGCGCTGCCCTGGCCGAGGTGGAGCGCCCGTAGGCCGCCGCTTTCTACGATCAAGACTGTTACATCGCGCTCTACACGTATCATGCGCCCACGGGGGACCAGTCTATACTCTACTACTGGATGATGAGATGTTATGGCATTATGTCATATGACTACGTTTTTTGGTTAGAATTGAGCTAGCTGATGTACGCTTAATAAATGATTTCGATAATTTTAGATTTCCTAAGATATTCTTGGGAAGCGTGGGATGACTACCTGCCTCATGAAGCGCTAATAGGCTAAAAGTTATAAAATAATTTCAATAGGGAAGAACAGGAACTTACCTGCTGTAATTTCATTTGCAGGGTGGCTCTTCTCCAAATGATTTGAGGAATTTGGGCGCAAAAGAAGCCAAAGACCTCTACGTGAAGTTGGGGCGTCTTCCCGTCCAAGTAAGTTCAAGATCTTGCATATACCCATTCGAAGTGTTTATTGTTTTCATATTGTAATTATTTCATTTTGTGTCTTCCATCAGGCTTGGATTTATCAAGGCAAGGAACCGGCACACTTCCTTCAAATATTCAAAGGCCGGATGATCACTTATGTGGGCAGCGCCACTGATTACGATCGTAAGTTAAATTGCAACTTCAACAGTTTAGGTAGTAGTTTCGATTCCAAATTAAGGTAATATTTATTGAATAATCTGCTCATAGTTTCAATAGATTGTGTGACCTTCGACTATGTATTGTCATTTACCTAACCATATGTTCTCGCTCAAGGAACTTGCAATAGATGTATTGTAAACACGTTTCAGAAAGGAAACAGTTGACAGCTAGGTACTAGGTTTTCGCACGTTTATGACGATTTGCATGTGTATTTGGTCTATTCCACTTTGATCACCTGGATCACCTAGCTAGGTGATCAAAGCGGACTTCTTATTCATGGGTGATCAAAGGACACCAAAGTGTCGCCTGAATAGACCGTATATTTATCATTTTTAGCAACCGGTCGTCGAGTGGTAGCACCGTCCCGCGCCTTGATCCGCGTGTCAGGGCAGTACGCGCGCGAGGCCCGCGGGGTGGAAGTCCGCGGGGGCGGGGGTAGCGGCGCGGGGGGGCGCGGCGCGTGCTACGTGCTGCGGGAGGGCGCGCGCGCGTGGGTGTGGTGCGCTGCTTGTGCTACTGGCGACGAGAGGGAGGTCGCGAAGAACATGGCTGCGGCTGACCACACGCTTGTCATGCAAGGTATGGACATACTAAAGCCCGGTCTGTGAGCACAATGACCCCAAGCTCTTTATCGCTCGCGCGTAATTATATTGCTATCGCGTCTGGGCGATGGGCGCCCGCAGTGAGTGTGCGAGCGCGACAGTTGGCGGCCGTGACGTCACATTACCGCTCTGGTACAAACGGCGACGAGCGGGAGGACGCGAAGAATATGGCTGCGGCTGACCACACGCTTGTTATGCAAGGTATGGAGACTTACTTATCATTATTGAGTACTTAAAACCAGGTCAGTACGCGCGCGAGGCCCGCGGCGTGGAAGTCCGCGGGGGCGGCGGCGCGGGGGGGCGCGGCGCGTGCTACGTGCTGCGGGAGGGCGCGCGCGCGTGGGTTTGGTGCGCCGCCTGCGCTACTGGCGACGAGAGGGAGGTCGCGAAAAATATGGCAGCTGCTGATCATACGCTTGTTATGCAAGGTATGACCACACGCTAGTTATGCCCGGTCTGAGAGCACGTAGAATTTTGTCGCGCTCGCACACTCACTGCGGGCGCCCGTCGCACAGACGTGACAGCAACATAATTACGCGCGAGCGATAAGGATGAGTAGCTTGGGGTCATTGGACAAAATTCTACGTGCTCGCAGACCAGACTATAATCATTATTGAGCACTTACAACCCGGTCGAGTTAACTGCGGCTCTGGCGGCCGTGACGTCACATTAACGCTCTGGTACAAACGGCGACGAGCGGGAGGTCGCGAAGAATATGGCTGCGGCTGACCACACGCTTGTTATGCAAGGTATGGAGACTTACTTATCATTATTGAGTACTTAAAACCAGGGCGGTACGCGCGCGAGGCCCGCGGCGTGGAAGTCCGCGGGGGCGGCGGCGCGTGCTACGTGCTGCGGGAGGGCGCGCGCGCGTGGGTTTGGTGCGCTGCTTGCGCTACTGGCGACGAGAGGGAGGTCGCGAAGAACATGGCTGCGGCTGACCATACGCTTGTTATGCAAGGTATGGAGACTTACTAATCATTATTGAGTACTTAAAACCCGGTCGGTTTATTGCGCACCTGGCGGCCGTGACGTCACATTGACGCTCTGGTACGAACGAGGCGATAGCGGGAAGATGTGTGGGTGAGAACGAGAGAGAGTCGCATTCCATCGAGGTGCGAAGTTAACGCGGGAGGGCGCGCGCGCGTCGGTGTGGTGCGCCGCCTGGGCTACTGGCGACGAGCGAGAGGTCGCGAAAAATATGGCAGCTGCTGATCACACGCTTGTCATGCAAGGTATGGACATACTAAAGCCCGGTCTGTGAGCACGTAGAATTTCGTCCAATGACCCCAAGCTCTTTATCGCTCGCGCGTAATTATATTGCTGTCGCGTCTGGGCGACGGGCGCCCGCAGTGAGTGTGCGAGCGCGACAGTTGGCGGCCGTGACGTCACATTACCGCTCTGGTACAAACGGCGACGAGCGGGAGGTCGCGAAGAATATGGCTGCGGCTGACCACACGCTTGTTATGCAAGGTATGGAGACTTACTTATCATTATTGAGTACTTAAAACCAGGGCAGTACGCGCGCAAGGCCCGCGGCGTGGAAGTCCGCGGGGGCGGGGGCGGCGCGGGGGGGCGCGGCGCGTGCTACGTGCTGCGGGAGGGCGCGCGCGCGTGGGTTTGGTGCGCTGCTTGCGCTACTGGCGACGAGAGGGAGGTCGCGAAGAACATGGCTGCGGCTGACCACACGCTTGTTATGCAAGGTATGGAGACTTACTACTTAATCATTATTGATTGAGTGCTTACAACTCGGTCGAGTTAAAGGCGCATCTGGCGGCTGTAACGTCAAATTGACGCTCTGGTACCTACGAACGGGGCGATAGCGGGAAGATGTGTGGGTGAGTACGAAAGAATCGCATTCCAGAGGGCGCGCGCGCGTGGGTGTGGTGCGCTGCCTGCGCTACTGGCGACGAGAGGGAGGTCGCGAAGAACATGGCTGCGGCTGATCATACGCTTGTCATGCAAGGTATGGACATACTAAAGCCCGGTCTGTGAGCACGTAGAATTTCGTCCAATGACCCCAAGCTCTTTATCGCTCGCGCGTAATTATATTGCTGTCGCGTCTGGGCGACGGGCGCCCGCAGTGAGTGTGCGAGCGCGACAGTTGGCGGCCGTGACGTCACATTAACGTTCTGGTACAAACGGCGACGAGCGGGAGGTCGCGAAGAATATGGCTGCGGCTGACCACACGCTTGTTATGCAAGGTATGGAGACTTACTTATCATTATTGAGTACTTAAAACCAGGGCAGTACGCGCGCAAGGCCCACGGCGTGGAAGTCCGCGGGGGTGGCGGCGCGGGGGGGCGCGGAGAACATGACTGCGGCTGATCACACGCTTGTCATGCAAGGTACGGAGACTAATCATTTTATTCGAGCGGGAGGTCGCGAAGAATATGGCGGCGGCAGACCACACGCTTGTCATGAAAGGTACGGAGAGAATAATCATTTTATTCGAGCGGGAGGTCGCGATGAACATGGCTGCGGCTGATCATACGCTTGTTATGCAAGGTATTATCATCATCATCTCAGCCATAGGACGTCCACTGCTGAACATAGGCCTCCCCCAATGCTTTCCATGTTACCCGGTTGGTAGCGTCCTGCGTCCAGCGCTTTCCTGCTACCTTTATGATGTCGTCGGTCCACCTTGTGGGTGGACGTCACACGCTGCGTTTTCCGGTACGCGACCTTCACTCCAGAACCTTGCAGCCCCATCGGCCGTCAGTTCTGCGTACTAAGTATGTGCCCTTCCCATTGCCACTTCAGCTTGCTAATCCGTCGGGCTATGTCAGCGACTGCAAGGTATGGAGACTTACTAATCATTATTGAGTAATTACAACCCGGTCGAATTAACCGTGCATCTGGCGACCGTGACGTCACATTGACGCTCTGGTGCGAACGGGGCAAACGCGGGAAAATGTGTGGGTGAGTACCAGAGAGTCGCATTCCATCGAAGTGCGCAGTTAACTCGACCTTATTGTAATAACTTCGTAGATAATAATAAAAATTCAAAGGCATAATACTTATAACTGTCTCAATAAGCGTCACTGTCCACGGCACGTACAATGTACATGTCTTTGCAAGCTTGGTATACTACGTCTACTTGCAGCTTACAATACAAACAACGCTAAATAAAATGTTGTACTTTTTGACAAATGAAATTCTGATAAAATGTTGTAGTTAAAACTGTGTTATAAAACTTACCAATATATTGTTTGTAGGCAAAGAAAAGCCAGATTTCTGGGCAGCTCTAGGCGAACGCCGGCAACTTCTGGTGGCGTCGCCGCTGAAAGAAGTTGAGAAACCCCTCCCGCCTCGTCTCTTCTACGTCTCCCTTGGAGTGCCAGGACAATACTCTTGTAAGTGTAACTGTAAATCGACCCCACTTTCTAGTTAAGCATCGTATCACGTCATGCATTTAAAGACTAAAATGACACACCCTGCAGCAATATCATTAAGTTAATGAAGGATAATTTTGTTTTTCGCTTATTCGTAAGCCTAAAAAATCGGGAATCCATAATTGTATCTTACCTTACCATACCAACTTTTGTAAACATTATGGATGCAATAAATTATTAAGTATTGAGTATCCTTTAACCGCCTCTGTGGTCTAGTGGTAAGACCACCTGCTTCAGACGTAGAGGTCCCGGGTTCGATTCCCAGTGGGGACAGATTTTTCTGTTCGGTTTGGTTGGTGGTAGGGCTTGTTCTAAGTTAGCCTGGCTAGCTACCACCATCTTACCTAAGTCTGTCGCCATAACAACAAAGTTAACAGCATTGTTGTGTTCCGGCAGTTAGAGGTAAGATAGCCAGTTCCTCCGTGGTTGAGGATTCCGGGTGAAGCTCGCTTCGACCTTCGGCCTGATCATCACTTTACCATCAGGTGAGATTCAGGCTAAGAGCATCCTCGTTGTGGATATAAAAAAAAACCTGCTAATAAGGATCCTGCAGCCAACATTCTTGTACTCTTTTAAAAGGTTGCTGGTCGTTAAAATTGAGAGGCAGAACAGCTTGAACTCCAGTAATCAGTTAGCTAAAGCAGTTTCTGTAAAGAAAAAGGTCTCGTCACATTAAAATCTTTTTTCCAGTCGAGGAGATAATCCCGGTGTCGCAGTACGAGCTGGCGCCGGAAATGGCGGCGCTTGTAGACGCGCACTGCGCGCTGTTCGTGTGGCTGGGCGCGCACGCCTGCCCGCGCGCCAAGGACGACGCGCGCGCGCTCGCTAAGGCCTACCTCGCGCAGGGTATGACACATGATTGTCCTAAATATCTACCAGTTTTGCCAACCTCTGAACCAGTACCAGTAGTGAATGACAAAACCCACATCTTCTCAATATTACATTCATGACAAAGGGGTCGCGGTAGTCATCACTACAGTCATGAGTTGTATTTGGTTGTGGGCGGATATTGCTAACCTTACGCTATCTCATCTGGTTGGTGGTGAACTTAGTGCACTCCTGCCTCCTGCAGAAGGGGACTCACAGCTGTCTTGAACTGGTCTGTCCATCGCACTTCTTACTTCTTATCGCCCATAAGAAAGTTACCTACTTACTATTTGGGTTGTTATTGTTTATAATTTGTGCTTACTTAATTAATTTAAGTCTATTCTATTCTAACCAGAATCAAAGATACTATTGCCAAACAAGATAAGTAGACAGGCGACAGTTTAAATGCAACAACTTGGTGTCTTTTCAGATCCTGCTGCTAGAGACCCTGAAACCCCCATTATCGTACTGAGCCAAGGCAGAGAACCACCAAACTTCACTGGTTTCTTCCCGCATTGGAAACAGACTATGTGGAAGGTATACTATTGAATTTTGTTTTTTCGTGTAACTTAACAGAGCTAATTTTCCTTTGAAAAATCAGAGCTTCTCTCTTTGGTAAACAATATAATTTCGTTCTTTTCTCTTTCTCAGGGCCATAAAACGTTTAGTGCAATAATCAGTGCGCTGGAAGGCAAGTCGATAGTGCAATGCGGCAACAGCGCATTGCAGAGCGGCAACAGCGCCAACCGGTTCGATCAGTATGAGAAGTACCCTCTGGCAGTACTGAGGGGGCCGAAAGAACACCTGCCTCCTGACGTAGATCCTTTGGTTAAAGAAGTAAGTTTATGTTGCTCAACATTATGTTTTGAAAGTACCTATTTATTCACAAAGACACATAGCGACACATGATAATATTCATCTTGAAAAATAATGAAAATTTCGTTGAGTATTTTTATTTTTAGGTCCACAAAACGTTCGTTATCGCTATGTAAATCAATTATCACATAAATGCAAGATGTTAAAAGTTTTGTTATACCTAACAACTTTCGTGTCCAAAATTAAATCACCAATGAAAATTATAAAGGTCAAAGCAGACTTATCAACTCGGAAAGGGATCAACACCGTATCGCCTTTCGAGCTGTCATTGCCTTTCTCGCACTGTCAACCGCGAGGCGAGGTGCAGTGTTGCCAACTCGGATTTTGAAAAAGTCGTAGAACAGATTAGAAAATTACGTAGAAATGGTACAATTTCCATGTAGAAAATACGTAGATCTACGTACTTTTTTTTCTGAGTGAAATGAAGAGAGTAGGGGTAGGTAAAAGTAATAAAACGACAATTTATATTACCCTAAAAGTTGTAAAGTACACTTTTATTGTGTATCATTTTCAGTCAAATTTTTATACATTTATATTATTATATTTGTTGGAAAGAAGGAAGGAAGTTGAAAAATATCGAAATACAACAACACCTTCGAAATCTTAGCACAATCTTAGTTCGAAATATTTTTATAGTGAAGATTCACTTTGACCGTTTGACGGTTTACTACACACACTGTCACGTCATGACACATTTCAAATTTCATATCAGTGGGTCTAGACAAAGTGCACATTTTAATCGCAAACCAGTCGAAAAGCCTTTTTTTTGTATGGAGTTTTGACGGATTCGATTTTCGATTCGATCAAAAAGTGCACTTTTTATCTAGACCCACAGATCAAGGCTCTTCAGTGAGATTTATAGGGGGGCGCTGTACAGCATTTTTTCTATGGGGAAATGTCAAAATAACATTAGTTCCGACTTTTGCCACATGCCAAATAACCGTGATCGGAACCATGATCGAACTTTTTCGCGAAAGTAAAGGAAACGATGCCCATTCAGCCTATTTTGCAAATTTGATAGAAAATACGTAGATTCTGGGACTAAAGTTCGTAGGTTTGCAAGGAAGGCTTAAAATACGTAGATCTACGTAAAAATACGTAGAGTTGGCAACCCTGGCGAGGTGTTTACGTTACGGTGCGGGTGCGTGCGATGCAGTATGGAGATTCATAGAAACAATACTGACCACCTCGAGTTGATACGGTTACTATCCCTTTGCGGGTTAATAAGTGTGCTACGTTCTTAATAGACATGCAAGAGCAATTTAAACAACGAGTATCACTTTGAAAATGTATTGTAACAGCCATTTAGAAAACACTATGTGTTCTGGTTTTCAGCTATACTTGACCCACGACGACTTCGTGGCGACTTTCGGCATGCCCTACAGCGAGTTCCGAGCCCTGCCCGCTTGGAAACAGAAGGACATGAAGAAAGCTGTCGGCTTATTCTAATCTAACCGTTAGCTTGCCTCTCAACAAACAATATAACCTAAACGGTCAAATATATTCCTCGTTACCTAGAAGTACTTGTCTATGTAAGATAATAAATATAGGGCAAATAGTAATAAAGTGAAGTGTACGCGTTCATATCCACTCGCATTACATAGCAGATTTTAATTATAATGTCAAACAGGACAATAATTATATTTTTCGTCATAATACTCATATAATAATATCAAGGTAGTGTAAAAGTTATTTCAACTTGTGGAGAAATATATGAAATATCGATATTCTCGTGTACTTTTTACTGAGGTATAGAAACATTTGTTATCATTAGGTAAGCATTACGAGTAAAACAAATAAAACGTCTGAAAAATACCCACATGTAGAGTTTAGTAGTCCAATGAACGCATTTTATCGCAAAAAAAAATCTGCATTGCACAGACTGTAGTTTTATTAACAGTATTTTGAATGGATATAAATAATAATTATTAATTAGTTTTAATCTTATTAATAACAATCAAATAAATAAATTATTTTTGTTTACATATTCCACGAAACCTTTATAGACCAAAAGCATTTTGTTACATTTTGGAACATTAATTTATATTCAAAATGAAATTGTTGTTAATTTAATAAAGCATTTAAAGTGTTAATTAATTTTAATGTAGTAGTGTAATGTGTTAAGCGGTTTTAAAAATAAAACAGTGAGCTTTTAAAATGTTATTTATTTTTCACAAATGTAGCACTTATTCGCTAGGCATTAATTTTATGATAAAATTAATAATCTTTACAATATACAAATTCCTTAAAAAATCTATAAAATATTAGTTTATTTCAAAACATATGTACATCATAATAATATTACTATCGATACATATAATATAATATGCCTACTAGGTGATATGGGAGTGGGCCGTAGCTAAGGCACGTGGTATTAGTTAGTATTGCATGACACGGGAGTCGGGCGCCCCCTACAATGATTCCATACCTAACCATTAATGTATGAAATAATAAGATTCATCAATTACCTTAAAAGAGTACATATCTAATGTTTAACTGTTATTCCAAATGAACTACATGAGCGCGCAGCTACTCGTGATGTTTGTCTTTACATGAAGAGCTAGCTAGTTAGGAACTTACAATTTTAGCATGATAAATAAAAAAATATTATAAGAAATGATGTAATTTAATAATAAATAATTTACATAATTATGATTTTACATTGTCCATTATTTAATGTATACCATAAGACAATTTGGGAGTATTTCTACATAGTATTATAACCGCTTATAACGTTAACGCGGAATAAAAATACTCCCTAGAAGTGTCATATCATAAAATCAGGTTTAAAATTATGCATAGTAGTAATAGAAGATAACAATATTTTAATTATTAATAATACATTAATTTATTAATGAAAATCGCGCAAAGAATAACGTAGACTAAAATAACTTCAAATAAACTGAAAACATTTTGTTAAGTCTGATTTTTGTTTCTTTGGCAATTAACCATTTTCGAACACTTGCAACACAATTAGAAGTCACGTATGATACAATATGGAATGAAATAACACGAACAATGCAATAGCTGCCCTAATAAAAATATAATTTAAAAATGCATCTCAAAAATAAGCATAAAGCTATGATGATTGCAAAACACTTAAGTACGTAGTTTTGAAATTCGTATGTCAGTACATGGATGAAAAGAGATTGTTTGAACTTACATCTAAACATATTAAAAGCGACAACTGGGCAAGCCACAGAGCTGAACCTGAGTCAATATAAAACTAACATAAACAAAATCAACATAGCTTTCATTGTAGGAATGTAAACAGTGTTGTAGAGCAATAATAAACAGCATTATGTATATGATAATAACAAGAACCACTAAAACAATGCGTCTGAGGCCTGCTTCCCTTTAGCACCACGGGTGTTGTAAACACGTCTATATCACAGCTATCCAGAGCCTTCGCGTATACGAACCGGTCATCTGCCCCTCACATCATGATAGAGTTTATCCAGAAGCACCTACAAGCCACGGTCCGTACATCAATCTTTTGTGATTTTCAAAACGTTCGCATGAGGACGTTACAGGATAACTTTGGCTTGTAGAAGCATCCATAGACGTCTTTATAATTCCAACAGAATATCATTATAGAATGATCTTTGTAAGATCACGTCTTCATGAATTTAGGATTGATACATTATTTGACTTACAAGATTATCTGTTCCTTTCTCTTCCAACAGGCTAGAAGAGAATGGCTCCAGAAGTGTTCACTTCACGGACAGACATTTTATTCGCATAAGGCCCTACACTTTATTAACTCGATAAGCATTTAGCTTTCTTCAGCTAACGTTATGTGTAAAGTAAATGTTGAAACACAAATTCAAGTGCTACGTTTGTCCTAACTGACATGTATATTAAACATTTCAAGATGTGTAGTAGCAAAATGTGAGACTATTTGTTATAATATCGAGTCCGTGAACCGTGCATTGGATATAAAAGTTTAAAGTTGTGAAACGGAATGAACTCACAACACGTTTTGTACTTCAAAATCACAACTTAAATGTCTTATTGTACATAACTTTACAAGATTTCTAGTAAAAATGGTGTTTTTGACATTAAATATGTACATTATAACCTATAGGTAGTACATTTACATAGATTAAGCTCTCTAATATTGGTTATTGACACAACCATTGAAGCAGAGGAATTTATCCGAACGACAGTTGTACAATTTAAAATGTAACAGCAGATACTGAACTGTAGTTGATGAATAAGCAATTTGGCACCAATATTGTGAGGTTGACAAATACAAACACAATAATTTACTATCACAATGATATTAGAGAGTATAATAATAACAAGACGGATATCATCTTATTGCTTCAAATGCTTGCATTCCACGAGGGTTCATAATATGTACATTTTAAAGGTTTTATTATCAACGGCGACACTATTAAGCTCTTTACTCAATGACTAAATAATGCAGATACATAAGGCTGCTTAACTTCATATAATTGATCATGAGTAATTGAGATATAATTATACGCTCAAATCTAACGTATATTCGAATTCATTAGAGATAATTGATCATGAGAAACAAGGAAGCCCTTCCGAGTCTTATTTGATTAAGTAACATGCGGATGATTTATCATTTGAGCAACTATAGGAGGTCTACTACAAAAAAAATATGGCACTGTTCTTCGTTAGTTTGCAAACAAAAACGCGTCATGCACTGTACTTATAACTAGTAAGTTCCCGGGAAACTGAATAACAGTTGCAGTGGTATACATTTAGTAAGATTTTTTTTTACATAAGAAACAACAAGTGCCGACGTGAAACCCCTGAACTAGTGCAGTTGTGTAAATATCATTTAAATATTCTTAAATTCAATTCCTGAACGATTGCATTAACTACAAATCTATCTATTGACGTTAAACGTGTAAAACAGTGCATGTAGTAGAAAAAGTGTTTAAATTCATAGGTACATAATATTGTTTTAATTAGGTCCCTTTCTCGCACAAACTTTTTCTTGTTGCTATAAAATGTCTTTTTTCTCTCTCTATCTTTTGCTGAGCAAATTGTACTGTGATATGACATTCAATTCCATTTCAATATCTAGCAACAGATTTTATTATAACTGGGGTTTATTGCAAGTAAATCGCTCATGTATTTATCATTGAGAAATGCTTAACTTGTTAATAAAAAAATAAATTCAAGTAAATCATAAAAAACATACCTACCAAAATAATTTTCATGGGAAATGCTCGCCTGGCTACTAAATGTTTGTAAAAAATTATAATTCCACTTTACCATAACATTTAAATTCTAACAGTCTAATGCGGTTACAGAAGCTGCTTCTAAAGCACAGTGTCGCAGACTAAACTTACATAACGTGCGTAAAAAAAAGAAATAAAGTATTCGTTAACATTTCGGGATATAAAAGCTATTAATTTGACAAGTGTATAACCTAGTTTCGTTCGTTCGTGTCGCGCTCGTCACCAGAATGCGCATGCGCATGAAAGAAGCCTGTTTTAACACGCCTACCGCCCCACGCAAACAAAAGCACTCCGCCAGTGGCAAAACAAGTCGCGTCTTCGGCACGCGCATATTACCGTACAAGCGAACAAACTATAATATCAACATTATTAATGTAACTAATATTTACACGATTCATTCAACATTTATGTTATATGTTTTAGTGCTCACACAAAACGTAACCATGTGATACAGTAACTTCATATTTGAACCAAATAGAAGTACGATAAATTTTCAATTACAACAATCAAATAACTTCTCGAAAAAAATATATGACAATTCCTTTAAAATATCACTACGTTCAAGTCACTTCGCATTTCAATAAAACTATTATTACCTAACATTGACTGTTCTTAGGTAATATCAGGCCATAGGTTATGACTCATAGGCAGAAATCTATTACATAAATATTTTCTATAACTTATGATTTCAATGTAATGGGCTGAAATCACAAAAAGAATTCTCATAAGCAAAGGTACGTCATCATGATGTGGTTGATGTCGTATAAATTAGCCTTATCCAATTTTTACTGGTTTCAACAAGACATTGTCAAATTTTACACGATAAAACTGGTAAGTCTTTACAGAATATCAAGTTTCATAATCTCAAAATAAGAAATGACGATTCTAGCATCTGCTTTCCATGTTCCACTGATAAGTGAAATTTTCCTTGTAAGTCCATAATATCAACAATTCCGTATATTACAACAATTCCAATTCCAATAAACACACGCAAAGAAGGGATCTCAAAAAGCGTTCAATGGTACCTACCTTTAATAGGCAAATTATGTATTAGATCCAAAAATAAAACATTAAACTATGCACCACACGTTGCTCTGACGCTTGTAACGTCTGAGTTGAACTAAAGCTGATAAAAATGATCGCGAACTCAGGTCGATCTCATGCTCATTCGTTATTGTAAGAGCAAGAGAAAAAAACAGCCGACTCGATTGGCGATNTACGCGATCCGATTCTTAACCGGCGTAGATCGTGTTAATCAAACTCCATGCGACTGATAGCGTTAGTACAAAGTAGCTAAACTATCAAAAATAATGTGGCAACGAAATGAATCGGTGTGTAAATCACGCGGGTGTGATGGGCGTTATTGCGAGCGTCGTAGAGAACAGAGTCGCGTGTCCCGGAGCGGGTGTCTGGTACCTGGTAGGTGTCTGGTACCTGGTGGGTGTCTGGTACCTGGTGGGTGTCTGGTACCTGGTGGGTGTCTGGTACCTGGCGGGTGTCTGGTACCTGGCGGGTGTCTGGTACCTGGCGGGTGTCTGGTACCTGGTGGCTGGTCACTGGCGCGGGATGGACGCGTTGGCGGGCAACGTGGAGCTCCGCTGGGACGCGTTCATGTACGCCGCCTTTAAGTTCGACCGCATCGAATCTCTGTAAGTGAATAAACATTTATTAGCACATTGTTTTGCTAAAATGTTCAGTTTAATTTTAGAATATTTACAAATTAATTGCAATTTGTGAGTTTCGAATTCGATAGAACCCATTAGAAACATTTTTTTTTTTGTTGTGTTTGTAATTATTTTCAATACGAGATTGTAAGAAAATAGAAAGTAGACTGAAAATTCCTATTGTAAAAATACTTATTATTTATAAATTCCGAGTCGTGAAAATGGAAAATAGAGGGTCGAGCGAGAGGGTCAGGAATTTCTGGACAAAAAATTTGCATGTTAATGTAGGATTTTAGCAGAATAGATTACTTTGTATTTACTATTTACAAGACTATCTGTATGAAACCTATTCTTTGCAAATAAATGTCTTTGTCTTAAAAAAAGAGAGAACATCGATTTTTCGTTGAGAAAAGAATGTAGCTTTCTTAGTGGTCAGTGTTACGTACCTAGGAGGCGGGTCTCATATGGTGACGTATTTAGTTTTTTCTAGCTAGAGTAATTTGTGGTTCAAATATTACGTCACTCACCGGGGCGACAGCTTGGTGTGGTCGTGGTTGGTGTGGTGCGCGGCGCGGTACCCGTAGCGCTGCACGCGGCGCGCGAGGCGGGCCACCCAGCGGCGCTGCTCGGGCGCGGCGGGCGCCAGTAGTAACAGCTCGCGCGCGCGGTTCGCGTGCAGCTTGCACGCCGCCACGCCCTCGCCCTCGTTGATGTGCTCCACGTGGATCTTCATACGGCACCCTGAATAATACACGTGTTTTAAACCATTCGATTTGATCACAATAGTGAAGTGGAGACCAGAGACGAGCATTGATAGGACAAGGTCGGGATAAAACTAGACGTCGGCTCCTGCCTTTGCTAACAAGCCGGAGATTAGGCTACTCTCTTCTAAAGAGGGGTCCCACATAACACGCCGCTTGCCTGACTACATTGGCACTCAGTATTGACGTCACCGGCGCTGCGCAGACGCTGGCGAGACGACGTTGCTCGAAAGAAGCTAGTGTAGGAAAGTAGTATTTCATATTTCTATATTAAAACAAAGCATATAATCTTCTTCATTGCTATATCCAGTATCAAAGGCTTCCCATCACACAATTGATTTCTAAACAACCACGTAAAGCTCTTTTTATCACGCATGCCGCATGCGTCAGCGCATCTCAAAGCCACGTACACTACATGATCAATATTGATCATACTTAGGCCTGCGGCGGGCGGAACATGTGCCACAGCGGGCGCGGGCATACCGCGCACGCCGTCGGGATGTGGTACGTGAACGTGATGTTCACTCATTTTTTTTTTTATTTTTTTTTTATCCACAACGAGGAAGCTCTTGGCCTGTATCTCACCTGATGGTAAGTGACGATCAGGCCGAAGGTGGAAGCGAGCTTCACCCGGAATCCTCAACCACGGAGGAACTGGCTATATTACTCAACTCAAAGCCAGACGGACACATTACATGACCATTATATGACCATACTCACGCCTGCACTCGTAGGCCTGCGGCGGGCGGAACATGTGCCACAGCGGGCGCGGGCACACCTCGCACGCCGTCGGGATGTGGTACGTGATGTTCACCAGGTCGTGCCCTTTATGCTGCACCGTGTTGCCTGAGGACAATAATATCGTCAGTTGGTCTGTTCAGTTACATCGACTCCCAACGAGAAGTACAGTTTTTGTGGATTCCTTACTAAGCGGAGGCGGCACTACCTCATTCTCCTCAGATAGGGGAAAATGAGCGCTACCGTATTTGAGGCACTGTTTTAACCACTAAAGAAGGACAGGAACTTACTTTCCAGTAGCACTAAGTGAGCTCAAATATGGTAATCCTAATTGACTATTGTAAGGGAACATAAATAATGTGTACGGATCGAACCTCCACCATCGCGCTCTCCCAAGATTCGATTCGAATGACGCGCGGCAGATATTTTTTTTTAATTTTACCGCAATCGCATCTGGTGTTAAGTTGGTTGGAAGCGTGGGTAAAATAATAGACAATTTGACACCATTCCCCAATAATTTGAAATCACAACATATTTAAACGACACTTCATTCTGGTCTTCAAAACTTAATCAATTTTAAATTATCTGTTAATCAGGATTTTTGGTCGCGTTGTAATTGAAAAAAGTAGTTTGAGTTGACAAAATAGTGACGTCACTTGCTTGTATTGCCATAAAAATAATATGGGAGAGTTTCGTTTTGACTGTTTTAAAAAGTACGTGAATGAGGGCTATCCTGTCACTTGCTAGTAGCGAAGACAGTGGCACCAACGGGTGAGCGCTAAAGTGGTAGGAGGACTATCGCATTTGCACTCATCAAGATGGCGCCACTGTAGAGTAAGGTCCTGTCAATCGCCAGGGGTGCCAACTGTTAAGTATAAAAACGATAGCCCTCATTGATTGGTGGTTTCAACACGTCTATTAGACATAATCGACAAAAGTGACAAGATTTGTGCAGCTTTATACTGGGCATTCCATTCCAGTGCAGTTTCAGTGCACCGTTCGGGAAATCTAGAACTTTCTATCACATACCGGCGTGGTCCTGAGCATCAGGCGGCGCATCTTGCGGGTCCCCTGGGCGGCGTGCTTCGCCCTCGCCCGCATATAGCAGCTGGAATATGCGCGGGATGTCCTTCGCGTCGGCGCGGATCACGTCGCCCTGCGTCACCGAGCGCACGTGGAACACTTTGCTGCGGGAGGAAATAGTGACGTCATTGTTAGGGCCCATGGATATTTTGAGTATTTACACATAATTATGACACGTCGCGTCACTCATCTGCAGCAAAATATTTTGCATGGAATACTTGTTATTGAATGGGGTCGCAAACCTTTTTGCAATAACTAAGCGTGTAGGGGTTCACATTCATTCACATTCGTTCTCATTCATTTATGTCATTCTGTTGGTACAATAAACAGTCGCATTTAGATCGCACTCGAAAACGGTTGTTTCATTCCGCCTCCTCACACTGGCTAATCACACACACACGCCCGCGGCTTTGCCTGAATAGTGTAGAACTGTAGAATTTTGAAAGCCTTTCTTCGACGATATTTTCATTAAGTATAAGAAAAATAAAATACAAGGAGAAGGTATGTTGAGTGTGTTGACGCGGAAACATTGCTACACGAAAAGTTTAACATCACGCCCACTGGCTGTAGTGACAAAAGACTGCAAAGCGAAGTAAGGCTTTCAACTGATGCGACGTAACGTGACGCTACATTCAAACACTGCTGACTTTTATGTATCTGTATGAAATTATTTTCAAGAGGCCTTTCAGTCAATTCGAAACGATGAGTGTTTAATTGTAGATTGACAACTCACACACCAATGCAGTATTTATTTGTAGAAATTAATAGCAATTACTATTGACAGGCGCTAAAAATACATTAATCAAACTTTACGACTACGATTTACCAATCGATGTTTGGTTTACTTTGAAATAACGCATCTTATTCATTTTCTAATATTTTAACGCTATTACACTAACCTCAAATCCAATATCATGACAGGATCCGTGGTATTCTGCTTGTCATTCTCCGAGTTGTAGAATATGATCTTCTTGGAGGAAACCACGACGTACTGCTTCTTCCAGCCATGGCGGCGAATGTTCTGCTTGAAGGGCACAGACAGCCAGCCCTCGAGGGTCTGTTCAGTTTCGCCGTCTTCCGCGTCGGCCGACGATTGGGAAGCCGTTTCGCTGGTCAGCGCCGCNAGTCATATCCAGCTTATGCTTATGGCCTGGGGGTAGGGGCAAGCCTTACCTAGCTTCTGGCCTCGGGGGAGGGGGAGGGGTCAAGTCATACCCAGTTTCGGGCCGGGGGGGTAAATCATACCCAACTTCTGGCCGAGGGGGAAGTCATGCCCAGCTTATGACTTGGGGAGAGGAGAGGGGCGGGGTAGTCATACCCAGCTTCTAGGCTAAGATTAAATAGATTTCCAGCACGGAGCGGCTATCCTTTCCTGCAGCAGCTGGCCCGCCCATGGGAACGGCGAATAGGTAGGTAGGTGCGTAGGTTTAACTCAGAAAAACTAAAAAACAGGTAGGTATTAAGCTATTAAGTGTACATCGAAATGATTTTCATAGCAATGTCTTGTAGTTGTAGCCTAGGCAGAGTGTATCTGCCTCAGCTATACCTTATTGTTAGAAGTAAATTAATTAATACTTATACATTTTTATATTTTACTTGGAAGAAGATATGACCCTAACGACACTTATGTACACTTTATTTGAATAAATCGCCAAATATACCACCGCGGAGACCCCAATCGCGTCTCTGCGTGCCATTGAATCGTATGAGCGTATGGATTTTTTGCGTTATTTTTCACAATTTCCATTTTTAAAAATTACCTATCGATAGCTTACTTTATTCTGATGAATAAATATCATTACAAATTTTTCTCTAAAACTGATAATTTGGCTAGAAAAAAATATTTTCCCTCCACGCAGTACGCCGGCAGCGTTCGGATCGGATATAATGACGTCATCGTCCCCGCGCCGGGCGGACAGTGAACTTTTTTAGTAATTTGGCCATAACTTCGTCAATTTATGTCGTAGAACAAAAATTTTTGCACTGTGTATTAAGGATTTCTTAGCCCTATAAATCTGCATTCACAGCTAAAAATCGAAATGATCCTCATTATTCTTCATACTCCTGGGCAGGTTATAGGATACTCAGGAATTCCCACGCGAACGGGAATTAGCGGGAAAATCATTTTGCATGAAAAATCTAAACCGCTTAAGTTAGACGCTTAAAATTTGGCATGCAGGTACCTTAGTAAACTTAAAGCTTAGTTACAACAGGATATTGCAAATTTCCCACAGGAACGGGAGTTAGCGGGAAAAAACATTTGTATGAAAAAATCTAAACCGCGTAAGATAAACGCTTGAAATTTGGCATGCAGGTACCTTAGTAAATTTAAAGCTTAGTTACAACAGGATATTGCAAAATTCCCATGGGAACGGGAGTTAGCGGGAAAAAAAATTGTATGAAAAAATCTGAACCGCGTAAGATAGATGAAGGGGGGGTAAAACGAGATCCACGCGTTCGAAGTCGCGGGCGGCCGCTAGTAAATAATAAATTGTCGATCATACTCACGCCTGCACTCGTAGGCCTGCGGCGGGCGGAACATGTGCCACAGCGGGCGCGGGCACACCTCGCACGCCGTCGGGATGTGGTACGTAATGTTCACCAGGTCGTGGCCTTTATGCTGCACCGTGTTGCCTGCGGGAAAACGATCAGTTACATTGTGAAGTTAAAAAATAATACTGACGCATGAACGAAAGTCAGCAACTCCAGTTTGTTACTTCTATCCAAAGAGAATGGTTAAAAAAATCTAATGGCGACTATTCTGCGGTTAATGCCGGTAGAACTGTGGTAGGTATTACGAGCGAACGAGAGACGTATGGAGGCGGCAGAGGGGTCACGATGAGCTTTTGATACACTCGCTAACCACTCCTTGAATCGTTTGCAAAGTACTCCAAAAATTTCAAAAAGACAATGTAGCCGTAATGCGCGGACGCGTTTGAAAATTATACACACTCTTGCTTACTCCCGTCGCGCTAGAAGTCTCATAATCACTACTAAAAATGACACAAAATATGTGCGTTTCCTTTCACGCCCATCATCGCAACCTTCCATAGAGCTTAGCGCAAGCTCGCCGTTACAATATGGAAGATGCGCATCAACCCTGGAATATCTAAATAATATTATATAACTCAAAGGTGACTGACTGACAGTGATCTATCAACGCACAGCCCAAAACCACTGGACGGATCGGACTGAAAATTGGCATGCAGGTAGATGTTATGACGTAGGCATCCGCTAAGAAAGGATTTTACGAAACAGGGGGTAAAACGGGATCCACGGGTACGAAGATGCGGGCGGCCGCTAGTTCTAGAATATTTTTCACATACCGGCGTGGTCCTGGGCATCGGGCGGCGCATCTTGCGGGTCCCCTGGGCGGCGTGCTTCGCCCTCGCCCGCATATAGCAGCTGGAATATGCGCGGGATGTCCTTCGCGTCGGCGCGGATCACGTCGCCCTGCGTCACCGAGCGCACGTGGAACACTTTGCTGTGGGGATAGTGACGTCATTGTTAGGGCCCATGGATATTTTGAGTATTAACACATAATTATGACACGTCGCGTCACTCATCTGCAGCAAAATATTTTGCATGGAATACTTGTTATTGAATGGGGTCGCAAACCTTTTTGCAATAACTAAGCGTTTTACCCGCGGCGATATTTTCATTAAGTATAAGAAAAATAAAATACAAGGAGAAGGTATGTTGAGTGTGTTGACGCGGAAACATTGCTACACTAAAAGTTTAACATGACGCCAACTGGCTGAAGTGACAAAAGACTGCAAAGCGAAGTAAGGCTTTCAACTGATGTGACGTAACGTGACGCTACATTCAAACATTACTGACTTTTATGTATCTGTATGAAATTATTTTCAAGAGGCCTTTCAGTCAATTCGAAACGATGAGTGTTTAATTGTAGATTGACAACTCACACACCAATACAGTATTTATTTGTAGAAAATAGAAATTACTTTTGAATCAAACTTTACGATTACGATTTCCACCAATCGATGTTTGGTTGACTCTGAAATAACGAATCTTATTCATTTTCTAATATTTTAACGCCATTACACTAACCTCAAGTCCAATATCATGACAGGATCCGTAGTATTCTGCTTGTCATTCTCCGAGTTGTAGAATATGATCTTCTTGGAGGAAACCACGACGTATTGCTTCTTCCATCCATGGCGGCGGATGTTCTGCTTGAAGGGCACAGACAGCCAGCCCTCGAGGGTCTGTTCCGTTTCGCCGTCTTCCGCGTCGGCCGACGATTGAGAAGCCGTTTCGCTGGTCAGCGCCGCGAGTTTCTCTTTTAGCTGCTCGATTTCTACGTCTTTGCTGTCCACCTGGTGATTTTAATGATTGTAAATAAGTTTTATTGTTTTTCTTATGTTATGAAAAACAGTGAGAGGGGTAAGCGGAATTATTTTAGTAGGTTCACCACAATAATGTAGCTAGTGACGCAGCAGGGTTCGAACTTATAGACCACAACTGTAATGCGCGAATAGGAGCGTTTAAAAACTAAGCTCGCTATCTCACCCAGTTCTGTCGCACTAGGCTTACCTAATCGCTGCACAATATTATAGTGTACGCAATCATGTCCGCTACTATGTCAGGGAACTCCGACACTAGCGTTTTTCGAACGTCGTCGTCTTTCCAGCGCCTACACAGCTGTCCCAGTGTCACTACGACGACAACGCTGAGCGATTGCCGAACGCTAGATCTATCTAGGCAGTACTGAGATCACGTTATTTATTTATTTAGTATAAAGAGAATTTGTGCGCCACTTCGATGCTGCGCAGGCGCTGGCAAGACGACCACGTAACGACGACGTTTGAAAGACGCTAGCGTGTAGGAGGCTTTAGGTCTGACTGACTACTGACCTCCATGGCAAGGCGCAGTCGCGTCTGCTGCTCCTCAAGCAGCTGCTGCTGCGAGTCCTGCAAATCACGCTGTAGTTTCGACGTGTGCTGGTCGAACTTCTCCTTTTCACGCGTCAGCTCTTGCTGTAGTTTGCGGTAGTCCTTGTCCTTGCGCACCGACATCTTGCTCTTGTTCTTTGTAGTGGCCGGGTTCATGTCTTTCCTGTAATAATAATGAAGTGTGAGTGCTTAACACACGTAGCTGGTTAATTGTATTTCGTCCATACTCAATAATTTATGCATCCAGAATGTTACAAGGGCGAATAAAAAGTCGACAAGTTCGACCATGTTTATAGCTTCACTTAGAGCCTGTGAAGAGCCTATAACCGAAAAATGAATTAAATTCAAAGATGACATTAATATTTCCGGGCGAGGATTTACAGCTCACAGAGAAGTACTTAGTTTGTTCCCTTCAAATCCTTACAGGAATTACTGGAAATACTTATCCCTCAACTATTTCACAGTACATCACTTAGAGCTCTTTCAAATTAGACGTTTTGAGACGGACGTATGTCGTCCGTTCGCAGGACCGCACACTGAAAATTGAATGACAACTGCGTTGGAATAAAAATTACAGTCAATTACCAACAGAGTGAGGGGTCTTGCAAACGGACGACAAACGTCCGTCTCAAAACGTCTAATTTGAGAGAACCCTTATAGCCTTGTGGGAAAGTGACAAATTTGCATATGTCTTTGTTTTTTTATGCATAACAAAGCAGATATTTGACCACAATCGCACCTGATGTTAAGTGGGATGCAGTCTAGCATGGTACATATCTGGCCTGTAAGTGCCTAGTCACTCTCGCTTTGTCACTTCGTAAAAGAACATAGGAACATACCTGTTCATGATCTCAGCGAGCTTGTTGACGGCCTGCTGCTTGAGCATGATCTCGGAGTTGAGCTTCTTGTTGAGCCGGTCCACCTCCTCCTGCAGGTGCTGCATTGTGGCCACGCGCTCGGCCAACGCCGTGCCGCTGCGGCGTAGTTCGTCAACCTCCTGATAAGCAGAATTGAACTTTATTACTAGGATGATAAGTTTTATTTTTAAAAAATGTATGTGTCTGTTGTTGACAGGAAGTGCTGCATCGTAGCCACGCGCTCGGCCAGCGCCGTGCCGCCTGGCAAGTAGAATGCAACTTTATTACTACAGCGATAAGGCCTGTTTTTAAATAATGTGCTCATTGTAAGGATTCATCGTAGCCACGCCCTCGGCCAGGGCCGTGCCGCTGCGGCGTAACTCGTCAACCTCCTGACGAGCAGAATTTAATGTAATGTAATGTGGAAAGTGATCAGAGTTCGGCGCCAATCCACAATAATGGCCACGTTGGGCATAGCTACAACCCTAATAGACTAGTGACGTCACACTTTCACGGTCTGCGCCTGACTAGAGTACTTCCTCATTTCACGCCCGGCGCCCCTGTGCTATTGCTGACTACAGCTGGCGACCTTAATGTTGTAACGCTCCGGTCTAGTAGGATGCGACTAAGGTAAAGCCAACCGCACCTTAGACTAAACATTTTTATTGCAAAATAGCTCTTATTACAACATCATAAGGTACTTCACCTTCCGCTGCAGGTCGATGGTGGCGCGGTTCTCGTGGTCGCGGTCGCGCAGCCCCTGCACGAGCGCGTCCCGCGCGCCCAGCTCGCTGCGGTGCTGGCATTAATAAATGAGTCTCCCAATACTCCACTACTAACCCTGTTGACTACTACGGTTCGGTTTTTTTCGGCGATTATAATCAGCACGAATGGGCATAGCTACAAGTTACAACCCTAATAGACTAGTGAAGTCACACATTCATGGTCTGCGCTTGACCAGAGTACTTCGCCATCTCACGCCCGGGGCCTCTGTGCTATTGCTGACTACAGCTGGCGACCTTAGTGTTGTAACGCTCCGGTCTAGTAGGATGCGACTAAGGTAAAGCCAACCGCACCTTAGACTAAACATTTTTGTTGCAAAATAGCTCTTATTACAACACCACAAGGCACTTCACCTTCCGCTGCAGGTCGATGGTGGCGCGGTTCTCGTGGTCGCGGTCGCGCAGCCCCTGCACGAGCGCGTCCCGCGCGCCCAGCTCGCTACGATGTTGGCATTAATAACTACTCTATTGACTACTACTGACAACCATAGCATTGATGCTGCGGCCTCGGCCTCGTGATATTACGGTCAACCGCACCTTCAACTAAACATTTTTGTAGCCAGCTCGCTACGGTGCTTATTAAGAACCGAGTCTCCCAGTAACCTACTAGTGTTGTTGGTGCTGCGTGCGGCCTCGTGAGACGCGACCATAGTACAGTCGACAGAATACAAGAATTTTTGTTGCAAAATAGCTCCTATTACAACACCACAAGGTACATCACCTTCCGCTGCAGGTCGATGGTGGCGCGGTTCTCGTGGTCGCGGTCGCGCAGCCCCTGCACGAGCGCGTCCCGCGCGCCCAGCTCGCTGCGGTGCTGGCATTAATAAATGAGTCTCCCACTATTATTGACTACTACTGACAACCATAGCATTGATGCTGCGGCCTCGGCTTCGTGATGTTACGGTCAACCGCACCTTCGACTAAACATTTTTGTAGCCAGCTCGCTGCGATGCTTATTAAGAACCGAGTCTCCCAGTAACCTACTAGTGTTGTTGGCGCTGCGGCCTCGTGAGACGCGACTAGAGTACAGTCGACAGCACACAAAAACTTTTACTGCAAAAAAGCTCCTATTACAACACCACAAGGTACTTCACCTTCCGCTGCAGGTCGATGGTGGCGCGGTTCTCGTGGTCGCGGTCGCGCAGCCCCTGCACGAGCGCGTCCCGCGCGCCCAGCTCGCTGCGGTGCTGCGCAAGCGCGTCNCACGACCACGTAACGACGACGTTTGAAAGACGCTAGCGTGTAGAAGGCTTTAGGTCCGACTAACTACTGACCTCCATGGCAAGGCGCAGGCGCGTCTGCTGCTCCTCAAGCAGCTGCTGCTGCGAGTCCTGCAAATCGCGCTGTAGTTTCGACGTGTGCTGGTCGAACTTCTCTTTCTCGCGCGTCAGCTCCTGCTGCAGTTTGCGGTAGTCCTTGTCCTTGCGCACCGACATCTTGCTCTTGTTCTTTGTAGTGGCCGGGTTCATGTCTTTCCTGTAACAATAATGAAGTGTGAGTGCCTATCACGTGCCTGGTGGATTGTATTTCGTCCATACTCAATACTAATTTATTACTACCAAAATTTAAAGATGACATTAATATTTCCGGGCGAGGAATTACAGCTCACAGAGAAGTACTTAGTTCGTTCCCTTAAAATTTTTACAGAAATTACTGGGAATGTTTATCCCTCAACTATTTCACAGTACATCACTTAGAGCTCTTTCAAATTAAGACGTTTTGAGACGGACGTTAGCAGGAAGGCGCTGGATGCAGGCCGCTACCAACCGTGCGATGTGGAAGTCATTGGGGGAGACCTATGTTCAGCAGTGGACGTCCTGTGGCTGAAATGATGATGATGATGAGACGGATGTTTGTCGTCCGTTCGCTGGACCACACACTGAAAATTGTATGACAACTGCGTTGGAATAAAAATTACAATTACCAATAATTAATGTGCGCTCCTACAAACGCACGACAGACGTCCGTCTCAAAACGTCTAATTTGAAAGAGCCCTTAGCCTTGTGGGAAAGTGTCAAAGCATTATGTCTGCCGTTGTTTCCTAAAAGAGCATAAGAACACACCTGTTCATGATCTCAGCGAGCTTGTTGACGGCCTGCTGCTTGAGCATGATCTCAGAGTTGAGCTTCTTGTTGAGCCGGTCCACCTCCTCCTGCAGGTGCTGCATTGTGGCCACGCGCTCGGCCAACGCCGTGCCGCTGCGGCGTAGTTCGTCAACCTCCTGATAAGCAGAATTGAACTTTATTACTAGGATGATAAGTTTTATTTTTAAAAAATGTATGTGTCTGTTGTTGACGTGAAGTGCTGCATCGTAGCCACGCGCTCGGCCAGCGCCGTGCCGCCTGGCATGTAGAATTGAACTTTATTACTACGGCGATAAGGCCTTTTTTAAATAATGTGCCCATTGTAAGGATTCATCGTGGCCACGCGCTCGGCCAGCGCCGTGCCGCTGCGGCGTAACTCGTCAACCTCCTGACAAGCAGAATACAACTTTATTACTAGTTTGATAAGGTTTATATTATTTGTAGATTCATCGTGGCCATGAGCTTGGCCAGTCTCGACCGTCAACCTCCTGACAAGCACAATGCAACTTTATAACTAGGGTGATAAGTATTATTACTGACGGGATTGCTACCATGTACCTTAATTTTGAGTTTCCGATATTTCGGCACTGTTGCAAAAGCAAATAAAACTTACAACACTACGAGAAACTCACTCCGTTATTGAGATTCACTCTCACGGGAAAGTTCGGATCTGTCAAAATCAGCTGTAATTTCCACCTTTTCAAATTTTGGTATCCACCGCGCGTGTTTTGACTTGGAACTGACGTCGAATACGAAATTCTTTAGCAGTAATTTCAAAGGTCCGGACTTTACTCGATCCGGTCTTACGCCAACACACCTTATCTAGCTTTGAGGGGAACTTTTTTCACCAACGATAAACAAAGATATGTGTGTGAAAGAGACGCACCTCTTTTCAGTATGATCGTAGCAAAATCATCATTAAAAATGTGTAAATGTTTTCCAAATAATATTTTTCTAGGCTATACTAATGCATAAACAGGCCATTACATGGCATTATCCTGGTCATTAGCAAAAACACATTAACGTTAAATAATGTTAAGAACAAAATAGCCTTAAAAAGTCTGGATAAAAATCTTACTGCCTTATCTGTTATTGACCACTATTTACGTGCCATAAATAGCTTGTTGATTATTAAATGTGATAATAATGAGATTTAGTTTAATCTTTGACGATTAGTGGATGAGTCTGTAGTTAAATATTATTAATATTTGAAATGCGTGAATCGAAACACGTAAACGTACGTATTTAACGCATGATGAAATCATATTCTTATTTCTAAGTAAACCTATATTAATGTAAATCAACAACGTATGTACAAGTACAAGTGAAGTACATTTAAGAGCTTAGATAAATAATATTTAAGGGCATTGCCCTTAAATGTCCCCAAAGATGCGAGCCTAAGCTGCTGGCGACAGTAGTCGACGCTGTGGTCTGGTGGGATGTGAGTAACGAACAGAATCGGGCGCGAAACCACTATAATGGACACGATGGAAATGGCTACAACCCTAACAGAGTTGTGACGTCACACTTTCAAGGTCTGCGCCTGACTAGAGTACTTCCTCATCTCATGCCCGGCGCCCCTGTGCTATTGCTGACTACAGCTGTGTTGTGTTGTTGGCGCTGCGGCCTCGTGAGTCGCGACTAGAGTACAGTTGACAGCACACAAAAACTTATTGCAAAACAGCAACTATTACAACACCGCAAGGTACATCACCTTCCGTTGCAGGTCGATGGTGGCGCGGTTCATAGTCGGCTCGTGATTACAGTCGACCTTATACTAAACATTTTTGTTGCAAAAAAGCACCTATTACAACACCACAAGGTACATCACCTTCCGCTGCAGGTCGATGGTGGCGCGGTTCTCGTGGTCGCGGTCGCGCAGCCCCTGCACGAGCGCGTCCCGCGCGCCCAGCTCGCTGCGGTGCTGGCATTAATAAACGAGTCTCCCAATACTCCACTACTAACCGAGTTGACTACTACTAAAGACCGTAGTAATGTGGAAAGTGATCAGAGTTTGGCGCGGATCCACTATAATGGCCACGTTGGGTATACCTACAACCCTAATAGACTAGTGACGTCACACTTTCACGGTCTGCGCCTGACTAAAGTATTTCCTTATCTCACGCCCGGCGCCCCTGTGTTATTGTTGACTTCAGCTGGCGACCTTAGTGTTGTGATGCTACGGCCTAGTAGGATGCGACTAGAGTACAGTCAACCGCACCTTCGACTAAACATTTGTGTTGCAAATAGCACCAATTACCACTATACAGAGTGGAATTTTGTAATGCCACCTGCAGGGAAAGTACTCTTAATACTGTAGATAGAAAATTTTACTCAAAGGAAACATTCCTTTATTTTTGAAGAGAAATAGAACTGCATTCAAAGATTTTCAAAAATTTGCTTTCCATATCCAAGAATCGAACCAACTAAAATCTGTTAAAAATTACACCCTGTATTTTTATTGCATCGATCATTAGGGTGAGGTATAAGGATGAAATCTCTCTAACAAACTCGATTAATCAAGTGAAAGGAAAACCATGAAATCTTACATTATTTTAACTATTTACAGAAAATTGTATGGCATGGTAGAGAATTTTCGAAAAACTTTCGGAAATCTTTGAATGCGGTTCTATTTCTTTTCAAAAATAAAGGAATGTTTTCTTTGAGTAGAATTTTCTATCTACATTATTAAGAGTGCTTTTCCTCCAGGTGGCATTACAAAATTCCACCCTGTATAAGATGCTAGGGTGTTTATCTTGACGTGCGTCCTTACCTTCCGCTGCAGGTCGATGGTGGCGCGGTTCTCGTGGTCGCGGTCGCGCAGCCCCTGCACGAGCGCGTCCCGCGCGCCCAGCTCGCTGCGGTGCTGCGCGAGCGCGTCACGCATCTCGAGCTCTTTCATCGTCTTCTCTTTCTCTAGCTCGCCGACCGTCTCCTCGGCGATTGATCTGAGTGGAAAAGAGAGGTTTTGAGAATAAAACTCATTTATTTCTGCAAATAGGTTTTAAAAAAACACTTTTACACGTCCCAGTATTAACCCTACTACTTGACTTGACTTATGGTCCTATGTCCCCTAAATGGGGCAGAGGGCGTCCACAACAGTCCTCCATCGCGTTCGGTCTTGAGCTATGTGTTTGATCTCGCTCCAAGTCTTGCCGATCTTCTTCGCCTCGTCTGCCACAGTGCGCCGCCAAGTTTGCTTGGGGCGACCACGTTTGCGTTTTCCTTGGGGGTTCCAATCCAGAGCCTGCTTGGGGATGTGATCGGGATCCCTTCGGAGAGTGTGGCCAATCCAGTTCCACTTGCGGCGCTTGATCTGCTGGTCGATCGGAATTTCGTGGCAGCGTTAACCCTACCACTGCTTCAGGACAATAAATGGACCAGAACTGAGAAGAAGCAGCGCAAGAAACTCAAGTCACTATTGTCAGCCGCTTTTTCAAAGGTTTACAGGCTTTAAAATATACATAGTTATAAATATTTATGCGAGCTAGGCAGTTACGCATCCCAAACATTTTTATCTTTTAAATAATCATCGACTTTATAGTAGCCCTTTTTCATTAAGGTACTTTTAATCAAGGAATGTTCGATTACGACGTTAACGTCACCAAGTAGCCAGTTGTATGATAGAGTACTCAAACATAATTTTTTAATAGACCATTTTTATCGATACGTTTTCACATGTCGGGGACTTGCGAAAGGTCGCCGGCAGAAGCTGGATGCGACAGCTGAAAACTGGCCATATTGTTGGCATTCTTTTAGGGAGGTATATTTCTGGACAAAGCTACTGGCAGTCAACTGCTAGAGGCTAATGATGATGTCAATTTTTTTGTGCAACTTTTACCTTTAGACAGACTAAAAATTTACCTATTTTCAAAGGGTCAAGTGATGCTGAAGGTGGTATGCTTTTTAAATCGGCTCTTTAGCGCTATACAGCTCATAAAGCACATACCTGGCGATAGCCTCAGAGTCAGCACGCGCTATAGCCAGCTGCAGCTGGTGCATCAGGCTCGCCCGCTCCTGCTCCAAGTCACGAGCGGCGCGCGAACTCTCCTCCGCTTGCGAACGAAGCTCATTCACTTGCAAGCGATACACAGCTGTAATATATCTCACAATGCACATACCTGGCGATGGCCTCAGAGTCAGCACGTGCTATAGCCAGCTGCAGCTGGTGCATCAGGCTCGCCCGCTCCTGCTCCAAGTCACGAGCGGCGCGCGAACTTTCCTCCGTTTGCGAACGAAGCTCGTTCACTTGCGAGCGATACACCATGCTGTAGTGTTGTTCGTTCTCCAGCTGAGAACGGAGTTCTTCGCTCTGCAGGGAAAAAAAACAATTATGTATAAGCATTTATCCAAAATAAACAAAATTATTACATCCGTAATTTCATAACCTCTTTTCTCATTTCAGCCGTAACTCTGCCTGTATGTGTTGCCTTTCACGCTTAAGCTGAACTGAACAGATTTAGATGAAAATCATAGAGATCGTTTGAGACCCTGGGGAAAACATAGTATAGCTTTTATTCCGGTTTTTGAAAGAAAGATACGCGCACGATAGTCTTTCTGTGACAGACCGAAATTCACGCGAGAGAAGCCGCATGCGAAAGCTAGTTGAACATAAATTCATTAATTAAAAACTTTCACGTTGCATGATTATTATTAATTAGGGAATTCATTAGCAACCCGGTCGAACCGTCAGTAAAAAGTAATGTTTTGGTGCCTAAGCATGATCGAATCACGTCAACGCCCGTGTGTGTTTACTTATTGTTAAACATAATAATGTTCGTTAAAATTTTACTCAATATAAAATATTAAATCTTTGATGGATTTTATCTAATTCGGCATATCTAATATTATTGTTGTAAACTTATTACAATCATATTTATTCACATCTCTGTTTACATTAAATAGAAGTCGAAATATGTAATATCATTCCATCCATTGTTCTATAGGTCGTCATTTTGTAATCACAGCAATAGATTTTGATGTGTGTGTCTTCACTAATTTAGGCAGCTATGGTTCGTTAAGAGTTTGATACTCATAATTAATTCTGATACCCCAAATATCACAGCCGCGAGACACTACACTCGGAATTGATTGGAGATATGCGTGAGCACTTTGACATTTTGTAAATTATAAACTTTATAGGATATTTTATTGCTCTATAAAATGTAATTAATTTAATTTTACTATTCATCCATAAGTAAATAATTTGTAATAGGTACTAATTACGTTTGAATAATTAACATGTTAATCAACAAAATGTAAACATTGAAATGTTAATGTTCCTTTATACACGCCGCCGCAAGATGCTTGAATAGAAAATACATGTTTAATAAGTACGAGTTTGTTGTAAGTAAGGCGTGATATACAATAAGCGGCTCGGCACATTTGTTTCGGAGGAATTTGATGAACGACAATGTCTCCAATGACCTGGATTTTTGTCTCTCTACTATTGGAAGCTCAAAAAATGGAAATCTATTTTCGTATATACGAGTGGTATGATGGAAAGTATTTACCTACATCATCAATTGGTCAGCCAAAAGAAAAGATTTTTGTAGAAATTGTATTATTTTCATCCAAAATCTGTAAATGCAAAAGTTAGAATATCTCCAAGAGTTAAACAAACTGAAAATAATATTCGACTTATTTGACTTTAACGGATGCACCTATCCTCAATAGCCCGGCTCAAAAATCAACTCAATAATATTATTGAATATTACCGACGATTGATGTCGACCTGCAATATGTATATCGCCCCTTAGAGACTGCTTTGACGCACAAGATGCACATCATCTTTGGTTATAGCGCCAGATGCCAATAATATGCAATTGCAAGAGACGCCAAGAAAAATAATTGATTTTAATTATTATTTCTAATGATCTAGCCATGTTGCAATTTTTAAGACGATTGGATACAATGCAATTATTTACCTTTGTTAGAAAATGCGCAATAATATCGTACAAATTGTCATTGGTCACCATACGAATAGAAGATGAGCAGGAAATTATACAAGACATTCCTGTATATTAACGCGAGTGTAATGTAAGTGTTTTATAGGCTGGTCCTCAATGCCAAACCGCTGTTTGATCAGCATTCGTATTAAATTCATATCTGCACAACGACTTTGTTTGCTATTGTAGCTCTTTACATAACTCGCGTTTCTAGGTATTTACTACCGTTTACAACTTTTTGCATTACCAATTTTTTAGGAGTACTTCAATACTGTGATAAGTATTCCCATTATTTTTTACACCTTCTAAAATGTTAAATAATTAATATTGTTATTTAATAATATTTTTTATCATTAAAACACTATATTGCATAATGGATGGATTGGAAATTAATAGAAGGAATAGATATTAACCGACGGAAATGTCTTTAAACATTAATATCTACCGTAATAGGGAAATACATGTTTTATAAATTAGATGCCTAATAGCGTAGGTAAACAAGATACGACTTTTTACTTTAAATCTTACGCCATTCAATATCTAAATCACCTTGTGGTTTGCAAAATTACTAATCTAAATTAGTTCAATTTATTTAAATATAGGATTAAAGCATGCCCATTCGAAAACTTGCTTTTACGTTGCAGTCGATAATATACATATCGATTTTGATTCCTCGAACGAGTTATCAAATAGCTAGCAGACATTTCCTAGGAATTACAAAGGCCGCACCATCGGTTTGCTTGCATTGCTTTCTATGTAACTCAACACATAAAGACCTTAGTATAGACTGCAGGCGAGAATTTTTAAACAAGACACAACTGCAGTGAATGACTTACACAACGGCAATCTAGAGAATCAATCTCCAAAGTTCATGTCATAAATATCAAGGCTATTACAGAATACCTAATAGAGATCGTAAAATATTCATGCAACGTCTGGCTTAGAATGAAAACGTGAGTTTTGACGAGTGTTGTAGTGACACTTATGTATGATATACCTAAATATGTTCGGGACGCATCCTCACTTAACATACATGCAATTCTCGCACATTATGCAAATGTCGTAACCTATCAATAACAATTTATCACAGAAACTTTACCAATCTGCTTTGTAATTAATTACAATAATGTTTCTTGTCACAAACATGTATTTTATTGGGCCGTAATAGGAATGTTAGGCCCAAAATGGACTCTGTTCATATATGGCTTGAGATTCTATTGTGAAACTAAAATGTCTAGTGTGAAAGTACTATTGACTATCCGATCTGCGAGTTCCAAACAAAATAAATCGGTTTATAGGTTCTTATGACCATATACTAGCATTTTGACTGTCCTGTAAAGGACTAAATAGCAAACATAACCCAGTTTAAGTATCAATTGTGCAGTTCCCCCTTCCGAAGTTGCCTATAAACGCGTGTAAACGCACTGTGAAGAGTCATTATTCCCATTTGGGTGATATCGCGAGAAATTGTTACGTTCCCAACACAGATAAACTGACAGTAAGCTTTAATCAAACTCGGTCGGCGCATTGGGTCAACGGCACATTCACTGCAAAATTTGCATGTGCAAAATACAACATCTTATAGAGATGTGGAGCATTCCAAATCAGACTAGGGAACCAGACAAGCTGTAGGCGATTAACCTATTTGACAACAATCCGACGAAAATAAACGTAGCTGTGACTTCTGACATTTGTATTAAAATCTGAAGTGGAACATAAAATTATTGTCATAGAACTTGCACTTGCAGTAGTAAATAAGTTGATATGTGGGCTGACAGTTAACATGTCGTTATTCCATTCGTTATTCGACTTAAGTATAACGTTTTGATCGTTACATACTTGTATAATGTCACTATTTATAATACAATGAGCCTATTAACAAGGTTCTGTGAAATCAAATGAATAAATATACTATTAATTTTGCAGATCGCATCATAATCAATGACTAAGGCATTCGAGTGTAGAAAAACCGCTGTCTACGTAATCGAGTGTTTATTTATTTGGCGGCGGCACACGCAAGCGCAGGTAAGGCGTATAAGGCAAAAGCTGCGAGTGTGTTCTCTCGACAATGACTCACTATGTCGTAATGTCAGAGGACAGTCTATTTCGGCATGGAAAGATTATTATTAATAATTCAGAGAACACAGTAAAAGATTAGTGTTCGTCTAAAGAACAATCCACTGTTGATTGGGAACAAATGATTCTGTGAAAATTCAATAACAACCGATTTGTCTCTATCACATGCTTCACTTCACTTGTTTGATTTCGAATGCGATATTATGTATAATCTATAGAATATTACCCTTGGTAATAGAAAGTCTTTGATTTATTTTGATAGTCCTCAAAGGTTGTTCATACAGTTTTATTTGAAAATTCAGAACTCTTCTTAGTCATATATGATCGTCATTCTGATTGTGGTAGGCAAGTAGTTACACTGAACTCTGAAGCATTATTATTTTCATAACTTCTTCGATAAATAAGAGCTGGAGCATTAGACTTAGGAATCTGCTTCATTTCACTATTACTTTTGTTTCTGTTTACTATAAGTACATACAATGCAAAATTAAAAACAAAAATATTGACACTGTGCCTGATTTCGTTCCGTAGCTAACATTTCAGAGAACATCAAAACAGACTGGCTAACTTACAAATTTGCTTTCATAAAATTGTTAATTAAATGTTTGTTGTTTTCATTCATTAGTCAAATTAAATGACTCATTAAATGTCCATGCATAAAGGCTGGTGGAACTGAAAACAAAAGAATGTCGCGCCACAGACATGATGGCTGAGGCGTTTCGATGTTGACACGTTTTTACCAAACTTACTCATTGTAACCTTTTTTTCCTCAGACATTTCCTCAAATCGTCCTAATTTTAGTTCCTAATATTTAAATGAATTAATATTTCTTACTCAGATGTAACCACAATATTAATCATAATAAATCTGTAATGTATTAGGTGCTAATGCCACTTTTAGGTAAGTAATTAATTTGGTTACTGTTTCCTCCTTGTTTGTTTTCTCTACGTCGGAAAAGAATCAAGAATAAAAGATCATATTGAAAGCTATAACTTAAAAACAATAAGTAACAGATTCCCGTAATGTGATTCTGTTGCAGCAACTTTTAGCAACAGAGTGCCTATAGCCTAATGCGAAAGCCAGTTAAGTATACAGGCTGCTTAGTCGAAGGTGTTAACCAACAGGGCTCTAGCTTCTGCTCACGGCATCGTTTGGGTGGATTTCTGACGTATTTTGTTGACAATTTCATGGGTTAAGTTACTTTCCCGTATATTACGATATAGGTACTAATTTTTAACAACATCAGTAATCTCAAGCGAGTCTCATCAAAATCGGTTCAGCCACCCCGGATATAAGTCGAAACAAACGGACAAAGTACTTACATAGTGTTCTCTTTTAAGTACCGTATACTTCATATGCCATAAAAATAAAAATCCGTTATTTTGACAACCAAGACATTCGTCTCGTCTACCTAAGGGATAAGTCCCAGACTAGGGTAGTGAGAGCCAACTTCGCCTGGAAAGTAAACACAGTAAAGGCACGCTCGCACTGGTGACTTTTGTCACCGTGATAGTATGTCTCTCCACAGCTACAGATAAGAATAAGTACTACATTCTCTCTTTTTTCTTTATAAAAGTGTATCTTATCTCTTTTTTCTCCGTCTCTCTTTTTTCTTTATAAGAAAAACATATAGTCTTAGCCTAGGCGCAGACCATCAACTTTTAGTTGGCCGATAGTTGGGCCCGATTTTGATATGTATGATGAATCGGCAGGTACCAAATCGGTGTAATGTGTGCACTTCCATACATACTGATTAACTGTCCGACTAAATTATCAACCGACGAAAAATCGGTGGTCTGCGCCTAGGCTTAAAGAGCTGCAAACAAAACACAAAAGCACATACCCTCGCATAATGCATGTCTCTTTCAGCCGCCGCCGCCGCCAGTTTCTCAGACGCGTCGTGCAGCGCAGCGCGCACGGCGTGCAAGTCGCGTGCGCGTGCGTCGCGCTCGGCCTGCGCGGCGCGCGCGTGCGCCTCCGCCGCGGCCGCTTCACCGCCAGCCGCCACGCGTGCCGCGCGCTCTTGCTCCAAAGCTGCTGCCAGGCCCACCACCTGAAAACAATGCTTGGTTTAACATCTACAGCCACCACCTAGAGAAAATGGTTGTTATAGCCACGATAACCGAATGGTGAATGGGTCGGACTGGAGGACGCGAGATCCGAGGAACGCGGGTTCGAATCCCACCGCCCCACGACACAAGCTTATCTAGCTTAACACGAGTCGTCAAAAATTAGTGAAGTATACCAAAGTGGTCATTACGATTTATATTACCATGTAGCAAAAAGTGTCAAATGTAACATGGTGTGGTTTGGATCCTTAGTGCTAAACTGCGTCCATTTGTGAAATACAAATTTCTAATAATCTTTTAAAAAAATGCTGCAGACTGTGAAGTAACAATACCTCCTAGTTTACACAAAACTGAACCTAAATTGTTAGATGAAATTACTGTCAGTTGGGAGGTATTGACTCTTCAANGATATTTAAATGAATGAAATATTTCTTACTCAGTGGTAACCACAACATTAATCATAATAAATCTGTAATGAATTAGGTGCAAATGCCACTTTTAGGTAAGTTAATTTGGTTACTGTTTCCTCCTTGTTTGTTTTCTATACGTCGGAAAAGTATCAAGAACAGATCACATTGAAAACTATAATTTACAAAAACAAGTTACATGTTCCCGTAATGTGATGATTCTGTTCTGCAACTATAACAACAGAGTGCCTGAATGCCTAATGTCATTTAAGTCTACGGGCTGCTTAGTCGGAGGTGTTTACCAACCGGGTTCTAGCTTCTGCTCAGGACATCGCTTGCGTGGATTTCTGACGTATTTTGTTGACAATTTCATGGGTTAAGTTACTTTCCCTTATATTACGATATAGGTACTAATTTTTAATAACATCAATAATCTCAAGCGAGTCTCATCAAAATCGGTTCAGCCGCCCCGGAGATAAGTCGAAACAAACAGACAAAGTACCTAGTACTTACATAGTGTTCTCTTTTAAGTGCCGCATACTTCATGTGCCTTTAAAAACAAAAATCTGTTATTTTGTCTTTCGTCTACCTAAGGGATAAGTCCCAGACTTGGGTTGCGAGAGCCAAGAACGTTTCAGTCTGAAAAGTAAACAGTAAAGGCGCGCGCGCATTAGTTATATCTCTTTTTCTCTTTATAAAAGTGTGAAAGAGAAAGATATAAATGTACTGTCGCGGTGACAAAATCACTCGTGCGCGCAGACTTACAAGGCTGCAAACAAAAGACAAAAGCACATACCCTCGCATAATGCATGTCTCTTTCAGCCGCCGCCGCCGCCAGTTTCTCAGAGGCGTCGTGCAGGGCAGCGCGCACGGCGTGCAAGTCGCGTGCGCGTGCGTCGCGCTCAGCCTGCGCGGCGCGCGCGTGCGCCTCTGCCGCGGCCGCTTCACCGCCAGCCGCCACGCGTGCCGCGCGCTCTTGCTCCAAAGCTGCTGCTAGGCCCACCACCTGGAAACAATGCTTGGTTGAACATCTACAGCCACCACTTAGAGCAGTGGTTCTTAACCGGTGGACCGCGGACCACTGGTGGTCCCTGGAGGCATTCCAAGTGGTCCACGAAGACATTGTAATAAACAAGTGACGTGAAGTGATGAGTCGAGTCAACACAACGCAAACGGCGCACAGTGGGCGAGAAATCGACATCCCTACCATAGGATTTGAAAAAAAAAGTGGTCCCTGACAAGACAGAAATTTGGTAAAATGGTCCCTCGTGACTTAAAGGTTAAGAACCACTGACCTAGAGAAAATGGTTGATATTTATGTCCACGATAGCCGAACGGTGAATGTGTTGGACTGGCCGACTCGGGATCCGAGGAACGCGGGTTTTAATCCCACCGCCGCACGACACAAGCTTATTTAGCTTATCACGAGGGGCTAACGGGACTATTAGTAATTTGTGCAAAACAAATTGCTAATAATCTTTAAAAAAAAATTGCTGCAGACTGTGAAGTAACAATACCTCCTAGTTTACACAAAACTGAACCTAAATTGATATGTGAAATTACTGTCAGTTGGGAGGTATTGACTCTTCAAAAAAATTTAACTAAATAAAGGAAAACTCATGAACTTTTTTTAATGGACTGTCCCGCATTTCGTGAACTTTAAATATTAGACTAATCACCATTATTAAATTGATTGTATTGAGCTGAAACTACACCACTTTTATTCAAAACAAAATAGTTTTTAAGGTAATAATGTACAATATCACTTTGTGGGTCCTACTTTTTAAAGTTAACTGACGTAATTATTAGGTGATTCATTTCAAAGGCCGTAAAAATCCAATAAAAAGAACGTAGGAAGCACCTAGGAGGAGCTAGCTAGACAAAGTAATTTATAATAGATTTGATTAACCCTGCAGTTCGTAATTATATAGGGCTTCGGCACGTAGCGAGACCGGCGCACGTATACCATTTTGCACTAAGTGAATATAATAATGTGTCACAAATATAGATTTGAATACCTTAATAAAATTAATATTTTTAGTGATCTAACATTTGTTAAGATCTACATTGTCTGAATTTCAGTACAATTTAATAATTAATCTACAATAAAAAGTCAATATAAATTACATATCTTATTTTAACATGATAACTTGTGAAGGATTGTTAACAAGTGAGAAATTGTACGCATTATTTATTATTTTATTTCATCGTACCACACTCTTTGCTACGCCCGATAAGTTTGATATGTAATCATTTCATAATGCACATACTGGAGAGCTCGAGAGCTATGCATTAACATGACTCAGTGAATTTACATAGCTCACTCATTACTCCACGAGGTTAGGGCTGGAGTCACGACGTCACTCTTGTGGAAAAAACCTGTTTGCTACACCCGAATTTGAGTTCTATTACTATTGAAAAATGACTAAGAAATTATTCTGATTAAGTAGAACGTCAGTTTTAAGTTTACAACTTTAATTAAATATAATGTTACTAATGTGATGACCCTATTGGGTGACACGACACGACGCATGGATATTTTAGCAAAATAATTAAAAGTAAATTATTATAATTAATGACTTGACCATTAAAAACTCTAAACAAAGGCCATGTAGAACGCGTCATACTTGTCTAATATTTCTTTGGTTAAATTAAATATTGAAATGGGTTTGTTACCTTTTCACTTTCCTGGCGATGTTCGCCTTCGAGTTTCTGTAACCGCTGCTGCATCTGGCGGTAGTCGACACTCAGCATCGACATTTGTCGGTCCTTCTCCTGGCACGCGGCTTCGGACCGCTGTCGAGCGGTCTTCTCCTCGTTCAGCTTTCCTTGCAGAGCTGTTTGACGACACAGTGCATTTTTATATCCAAAAGATCATCCACATAAAATCCAATTATAAAAAAAAAACAAATGGATATGGGCACGACGGTGGATCAAAAACTAATTTCAACTAATGAATGTGAAAGGTTACAGAAAATGAAATGTTTATCACCTACGAGGAATATTAGCAAACTCAACAGTACCTTTAAAAATTTTTTCCAATGTCCCTGAGGCATGCAAAAAGTGAAGTTTTGGTACATAATTTATTTTTGGGATAGTTCATCACACGTAGCTATGCTCAAAACGGAAGGACAATAGCGTGAGTCGACAACACAGGAAGGGTAAAATTGTGGGCGAAACTTACTTTTGACTAGCTCCAGGTTGGCCTCCTGCCGCGAGAGCAGCTGCGAGCGCTGCGTGTCCTGGTGCGCGCGCAGCTCCTGCTGGTACAGGTGCTGCGCCGCGCGAAGCTCGTGCGACAGCGACGCGCACTCCTTCTCCAGCGCCGACACGCGCTCCGACAGCTGGCGGTTGTCCGCCGACACCTGCCCCATCCGAGTCGACGACCTCTCCAGCTCGGCGTGAGCTGCGTTCAGTCTGCCGGTCGTTTCGGTCAGAGCGGCCTCCGAGCGTTGTTTAGCTGCCTTCACGGAGCCGAGCTCCTCGGAGAGCGCGCTGCAGTCCCTCTCGAGCGCGTCCCGCTGCGCGCGCAGGCTGGCCACGGTCCCGTCGCTCACGGCGGCCGCCGCGGCCTGCGCTGCGCTCAGCTCTGCCGCTTGCTTCCTCGACTTGGCCGCGGCTTCCGATTCCTGTTTTAACTTCTCGCGTAACTCGGTCAGCTGCTTCTCCAATGCATTAATTTTGTCATTATAGGTTTGTAGATTGCTAAACTCTTTAGCTCTTTTATTTTGCTCATCTTCGAGGCGACGTTTCATATCGTGGTAGTTTGCTTCGACTTTCCTTTTGGTCTCAGATTCGACCTCAGCTTTACGCTGCATTTCTTTTAAATCATGTTTTAGTAAGGCCACTTCTTTATCTGTATCGGCGATGATTTTCTTGTTCCGAGTATCTCTCTGTGACAGTTCTTCTAATTGAGCACAAAGCATCACTTGCCTATCCTCTAGTTTTCTCCGACTATCTCTTTCCCTTTCTAAAAGCTTTTCTAATTGGAGTATTGCTTCAGATCCAACATTATTGATATGGTTGTTAGAGATTGTATCGACTACATCAACAGGTTTCGGTTTTCCGGCACACAGCTGGTAGTCCCCGTTGTAAGTGAAACCAACAAATGGCAAGTGATTTCCAACAAAAGCTTTTGGCACAGGGAAGGACTCGTCTAATGCATCCGACTTTTCAATGTCATCAAAGTTTCTGGTGTCATCATCACTAGATAGTTCAGGGACCACAGGTGGCACAGAGTCCCTTAGATTCTCAAAACTCCATTGATCATTTTTAAAAAATGGATGCTGTTTTATTTCATCAACGCTTATCCTGCCCAGTCTTTTTGTTCTGTCTGTTAGCAGACCCCTTATAAGAGATTTAGCTTCCTTTGATATTTCTACATCATCAGGAAATTGTAAAGAATTCCTATGATCCATAATTTTTCCATATGTACCTACTAAACTATCAGCATAAAAAGGTGGATCACCTATTAACATTTCATATAAAAATATACCTACAGCCCACCAATCACATTCACGGCCATATACTCCTTCACCATTCTGGGATTGTAACACCTCAGGGGAAATGTAGTCTGGTGTTCCAACAGCATTGCTGGCTCTCACTAGGCCATCGGGTCCCATTCTCATACAAGTTCCAAAGTCAGCCAACTTAAGATGTCCATACTTGTCAATCAACATATTATCTGGCTTCACATCCCTGTGCACAAACCCCATACCATGAATAACATCCAGTGCTAAGACAATTTCCATAGTATAAAATTTTGCCCATTTTTCTGGTATATCAAAGTTAGACATCAGACTAACAAGATCACCACCAGGCATGTAATCCATCACCATGTACAGATATTTATGGTCTTGAAAAGCAAAGTGTAGTTTTAAAATCCATTCGGAATTTGCATGAGCCATAATATGTCTTTCCTCCCAGAAGAAAGTGGAATCTGATCTCTTTATCATTTCTACTTTACTAAGAAGCTTCATGGCATACACCTGTCGTGTGGACTTATGTCTGACTAGTTGTACTTCACCAAATGCACCACGACCAATCACTTTGATCAAATCAAAGTCAGCTGCCTTCAAGCGCAGATCAACTACTTCTGAAGCAAAGGCTTCATCTACAACAAAGAAAATATTCATTTATTTTCTTTAATGAGCATAGAGTTACTTAACTGAAAAGNTTGAAAAGGAATATCAACATATAGCCATATCTCAACTTAATGTCTATCCTAATCAAATAATAGTCACATAATTTGTTAAATTAAATCCTATGATTAGCTAGTGTGTAATAAAGATGATCAAAAAACAAGCAGCAAGTATAATTACATGCAGTAGTCATGTTTGAACAATTTGTTAGTTGTTTACCAATATTGCAAGTTTTCATTTAATGCTAATATTGTTATTATTTCATGTTTTTATTGAATTAAATAAGTATTTCACTGTTAAATTACTTAAAGTTGGAAAATAAATGGTAATTAATTTATTATTTGCTCATATAAACAGTAGTTTTAAAATCTTGATAGTTTCTATTAGTCACAGGTACATATGTAAAAAAATAATTAATAGAAATAAAATTGATGATTGACCTAATCATATTAGATTTAATAGTACTGAGTGCTGCAGCAATTATTGAAGTGTTATTTCATTATTAATCAAATAATTATTTTTGTCCATGGGAAATATTGTATCCTAGATTCCTGGCAATGAAATAATAACATACATTTTGCATGCACCTTTACCCAAATATTCTAAGTTCCATTGATACAATAATGAATGTCTGCTGTTTTACAAAAAGATTACTTGGTGTTATTTGTTTACAAAAAGATTACTTGGTGTTATTTGGAGTTTCAAGCAGGGTTCGAAAATATCNCTGAAAAGGAATATCAACCTATAGCCATTTCTCAACTCAATGTCTATCCTAATCAAATAGTAGTCACATAATTTGTTAAATGAAATCATATGATTAGCTTATGTGTAATAAAGATGATCAAAAAACAAGCAGCAAGTATAATTACATGCAATAGTCATGTTTGAACAATATGTTAGGTGTTTACCAATATTGCAAGTATTCATTTAACACTAATATTGTTATTAATTCATGTTTTTATTGAATTAAATAAGTGTTTTTTCACTGTTAAATTACTTAAAATTGGAAAATAAATGGTAATTAATTTATTTGCTCATATAAACAGTAGCTTTAAATCTTGATAGTTTCTATTAGTCACAGGTATGTAAAAAATTGAATTAATCAATAGAAATAAAATTGATGTTTGACCTAATCATATTTGATTTAATAGTACTGAAAGTGCTGCAGCAACATCATCATTATTTCATTATTAATCAAATAATTATTTTTGTCCATGGGAAATACTGTATCCTGGATTTCTGGCAATGAAAATATAACTTATATTTTGCACCTTTACCCAAATATTCTAAGTTCCATTGATACAATAATGAATGTCTGCTGTTTTACAAAAAGATTACTTGGTGTTATTTGGAGTTTCAAGTAAGATATTCAGAATACTTACATCTGCTGGTGTAGGCCTCGACATTTTTCATGCGCCGAATGGCCGGATGGTCGCAGTCGGAGATTAGCGCTGTGACCGTGTCTAGTAAGCAGTCCACGTTGCCAGTGGAGCGAGGGTCGCACAGTCGCTCCTCCAGCGCGCGGAGCCGCCGTAGGCGCTCCTCGTCCTTCACAGCCTCCATGCTCAACCGTATCTGACGTCCTCTGCCACTGAGGCTAAACGCCACCGCACATTCTCCCGATTGCTGCTCCGAGTATTAACACCACTCTCATCACGATACATTAACAATTGGATACTGTTTTGTTACCCGCACTATCACCGGGGCAATAACCTACCATTCAACAGCTAACATAGGTTTCATTATCAAAAATTTTAGTTGCTAAAGCTCAGAATGACAGCAGATAAAGGTGGTTCTCACAACAAAGCATATGTCCGTTTGCAAACTTATAGGTTCAATACATAACATTTACACCTTTCTGTTGACTTTTAATAGTGTATGAACGCATAATTATAACTATTATTGGCACAACATTGAAAATAATAAGTAAAATTACGAAATTTATAACCGCTTGATTGATGAACGATGGGTGATCGAACAATAATGTGAAGTTAGCGGCATATTGAAAGTTCGCAATGGCGACGATTGCAAGTATCGTAACTTTTTAAATGTTGACTGGCAAGAAAATAAATCAATTAATGCTACGGTTATATTTACGACTATTAACAACAAATAAACAAAAACAATGGCTGCCTGCACAATGGCCAAATGGCCACTATTGTTGCTATGTGAATAATGGGAAACTTTATGAAATTTAATTCAAAACACTTCATCATTAGCGCAGCATTTACCTGCATGCAGCTCTCATTTTTAATGTACACTTTATTATAACCTTGAAGCTAAACTACATGATTATAACGCAAAATTTACGGAATCGATATTTTAATACCCCTGCAGTTTGTAACTTCAGTGTTTATAAATTAAAATCACTTTATTTGATAATTGTTTCAATTGAAATATTCAATGGATTCCTGCAAAAAAAATTGTATATCTGTATTATTTTCATAGACAATAAATATCCAACAAAAGGATCGTTTCGCAGTTCGCTCATTCCATCCATATGGCTCATTCATTCATTTCATTCGTCCAAATGGAACATGGCGGTGCTAGGCAGGATGTGCATAAGTCTGTAATTTTTGCATTTATCAACGAGTTGCAGATTCAAGATTAATTTTAGTTTCTTTTTGTTCTACTTTGTGTATTGATTACCTAATTAGTGAAAAATATATCCCTGCCAAAGGGATTGTCGTTGGACTTATAATTTTTGCGATGATAATTATTACTTCATTGGTGGTGTAAAAATAATTGTGACAAATATACCTCATTATCTCAGGTAAACTGTTGTTTTTATCAATAATATACCAGTTAATTTATTATTAACCCTTCGTGTTAACACCTAAAGTTGACAGCATCCGCCGATTAGTCGCAATTTAAGTCCTGAGTGTGCCCCATTTTTGTTCAAGATCACTCTCGTATTAATTTACTTATTTATAGTTCAGCTATTGTTTTCATTACCCTGGCTGATACTTTATTCTTATTTTATAATTTGCATATTGAATCCATCTGTCTTATCGTGCCGTAGAATGACAGATTCATTTCTTTGTGCCCCCAACAATCACGTGTGATCCCAGGTCGTTATAGGGTCAATAACTGCTGAGTATGACTTTATTTCGGATGCTTAACCTCTGAACAAGTATGTAAATATGTCTGGGTAGGTACTAAAGTATGTATTCCAGTAGTAACCGATGTAGACGTAGAATTAACAAGAGGTTGTGCTGTATGAGCATAGTTTATTTTCGCTGTGTGTATCCTGTAGATGAGCTTGTAGCATGTGCTTGGGCAAGTGCATAGCCCGCAAGGCAGCAGGCGGCCAGGGTGTGGGGTGTATAGTGTTGCAGGGGGGGCGGGGCGGGGGCGGGGACAGTCAGCTGTGCGAGTGTCAAGTCACTGCACCCCGCGCCCGCCGCGCCGTGGGAAGTGCTCTAAATTGTAGCCCCCCTGCTCAATTCACCTCCAAAATTCCTAAGTTACAGTTAGATTCTCAGCACTGAGCATGGATTTCCTGTGATTCTTCTTCATTTAGGTAACTCATTTATTAATATAATTCAATTTATAGGCTCATGTGGCAATTTTACCATAGTAGTGCTAGCATTTGGAACCTAAACAGAGTGATGTGCCAAGGTATAATGATTTTACTCTTTTTATTTTATGGCTGACTCGTGTATCCAGCCATTGAATTAAAAATAATTACAAATTAATTAATAAAATTGTTAAAATTAAATTAAATTGTTAATAGTAGTCATTAATTTCAAAACATGCATTATAAGTAAAGGCTACATATTTTTCTTATTTCATATCAATATAATTTCCCAGAAGTAATTTAACATTTTTACTGTATACATTTTTTTATTTCAAATGCTCATTAGCTGTAGATTTATGAACTAAAAATGTTTTTTGAAGATTAGATTAACTTAGTAAACAAATTAATGACGAAATACAGTGTATTATGTGGCAGTCATGCATTATGGAACATGTTTTCATTGTTTCACGTGTGTTTGGCATTGCCATTGTTGCGCAATCAACAATTTTCAATAAACTCTTTATGGTTTGTGGAGCTTACGATAACCAGTCTGCTTGCACTTTACTTCCATACAATGTTTTTATCAATGGTTGATTAAAATTGTGATTCATTTCCTGTTGTAAGTATTCTTTTGCTAAAATTAAATGGCACAGTTTTAAATATCCGTACACTACAGGGATTACTTATTTTAACTTATTCCTATAAAATGTGTAATTACGGCATACTTTTATCAGACAATATTATGATCTGTCTATCAAATTGTTTAAGAATTTGCAAACCTTTCTTATATTAAACATATTAGAATGATTTAAACTCACTCTTTCGTATCATTGCAGCAAGGCGTGGTGGTCATGGCTACGCTCATCCAAGAGAATGGCATCAAGGAGTTGAGCAAAGGCACCCACGGCGTGGTGTCGAACCATGGCATCACCGCGCACAGCGTCGCCAGCCACATGGTGCCCGACCACGAGTACTGCGAGGCGGGCGCCGCGGCCGCGCCTCAGCCCGCGCCCGCGCCCGCCGCCGACGACGACGACACGCCCGAAATAGACATCATGATAAACAATGTCGTGTGCAGTTTTAGTGTTAAGTGCCACCTCAATCTGAGACAGATCGCGTTGAACGGTGTTAACGTCGAGTTCCGCCGCGAGAACGGCATGGTGACGATGAAGCTGCGGCGGCCCTACACCACGGCGTCGATCTGGTCGTCGGGCCGCATCACGTGCACGGGCGCCACGAGCGAGGACCAGGCCAAGGTGGCGGCCCGGCGGTACGCGCGCGCGCTGCAGAAGCTCGGCTTCCAGGTCCGCTTCCAGAACTTCCGCGTCGTCAACGTCCTAGGCACCTGCCGAATGCCCTTCGGCATCCGCATCATAGCCTTCTCCAATAAATACAAAGAAGCAGAGTGAGTATTTTTGTATTTTATGTTCATATTTTTATCATACTATATTTTTCTGTATCAATAGCACAATGAACTTGAGATATCAATTTAAACTACTTACATTTTTATTTACGTTAGTTCGTTTACCTCTGATAATGATATGCTCGATTTAATCCTTTTTCGGAATTCAATTAACGCTTATGCTAATGTTGTCATACTATGACGAACACTTTTCGATTAAGGGATCTATTGATTCAAGTTATTTTTGATCCAAGTCGAACCTAAAGCTTTATTCAAGTTAAATATTTTGTTTCAAATTAGTAATATTACTTTCCTAAACATTCCTTTCATTCCATTTCAGTTATGAACCAGAGCTACATCCAGGTGTTACGTATAAACTATACAATCCTAAAGCTACATTGAAAATATTTTCTACGGGTGGTGTCACAATTACAGGTATGCTATAAAGAATTTTAATTTATGATATAAAACTACAAATAATATTTATTAAATAACAAATCAAAACAATAAGGTCAAAGTTAACATTTTTTATATTATGAAAAGGCAGATTGTGTTAACAAATGTAGCGAAGCAGAGATTAAACTGTGCCACACACACAAACAATTATTATATCATTTTACAATCTGTATGTCAGATAATGTAGAACCACAAAAAAGAAGCTCAATAGATAGGACTTTCTTGATCATTTTAACATAATAATAATCTACTAAAACATGTTTGATTATTTTAACAATGTCAATGTAGATAACAGAATAACAATGAGTGAGATAGTATATTTTTGGCTATTTACAACTAATTTTATATAGAAACAAAACAATAATTATTGTGAAAACTAGTGAAAAGAAAACAATCATGTACAAAAATGTACATTTTATGTTCACATTTTAACAGAAATAAATTCAGTTAATTTACACAAACGGCTGTTAATAATGATCATATTCGTTCTGTGCAGTGAATTATTATAAAGATACAGTAACGTAAACATAATGCCGAGTTATTTAACTGCGGTTTTATTGTTAAGGTCGCGCAATGAAGGTCTCCTTAGACATTTGAGATATGCTTGTGGTCGATTCTGCTTTTGGGGATGATATAGCAAAAGCCTTATTTAATAAGTGCTAATATACCAGATGATGATGAAAACTAAGCTAACTTATGATTTGAAAACTGTCGTTTTACTTCCGACACCAAAGTAATTCGCTCTCCTTCCAAAATAATTAGCGCCTAACTAATCGCAAAGGTCAGTCAGTCACGATTTATCTATTGAACTCGTTTTTCAATAATATTACGTTATATCTGGTTTAACAAATTTTTATTGCTTTTCATTTCCGTTTTTTTTTACCTAATTTTATATAAAAAAGTACATTTATATCTATGTACTTAGTATCCGATTTCGTCACTTACGGGTCAGTGCGTAAACTTAGGCTGACTTGCACCAACTTACTTTAACTATAACCAGTGTTTTTATATGGAGTTAGACAGATTTTTAAGTTTGTTAAAGTTAAAGTAAGATGGTGCAACTCAGCCTTAGTAAATAATTGTTTCTGCCCCTAGATCTTTACGTATTCTTTCAAGTTTGTACTACGTAGGTACTCATCTTTGAACTGAACTAAAGTCGGCAAAACATTACAATTTGGTCCAAATTCGCTGCCACACTTCAGATTAGTCCGAAGAAGTAAGATGAACCTACAGAATTCGGCAAAGATACCACCTGTATATTTACAAAGAAGAAATTAGTAGTCTATTTACGCTTATGTGCTTCATCTTTGTCATGTTCAGTTATAAGAAAAGCAAACAATCGTCTGTCCATCTTAGTTAGAGCTTTGTCTCTGTCATGTTTACAAAGAGGAAATACCAATGATCAGACGTCTTCGCTTAGAGGAGATATGTCTTTGTCGTGTTTACAAGGAACCAGAGCCAGGGATTAGAAGTCTTTAATTAAACTATCACTTCAAAGATTTTAATAGCTGTTCAAAACCATGTAACAATACTGAGACTTAATACTTACTCATTTATTGATTATAAGGATTGTATGTGTTATGCCGGCTCTCCAGCGCATGTTTTGCCCTACACAATCAACAAGTACATGTCAACATTAAAAAAATGCCTACAAATAATGTTTCGTGAATGTTTGTTGATTGTGTAGGGCAAAACACGCACTGGAGACTCGGCTTTATAAGGCTTGATTTCCTCCTACGCTGACGACGGTCGCGTACATCGGTCGAGCGTACGAATAAACACAATGTTCTATGAAGCACCGCACTGCAACGCCGTCGTCAGCGGCAGATGATTACATAGAACTAGTGTGTAATCGTGCGCGCCGCTGACGTCGGTCACCGATGTCAGCCTAAAAGGAAATCAAGCCTAATATGCCGGATACGGATGTTTTGTTCCTGCTTTAAAATAGGTTATCAGTGAGAAGTTTATTATAATTTGGCAAGCTTTTGATGGGATGTTGTTTCAGATTAATACTTATTAAATAATTGTCTTGAGGAGTTTAGCTTTATCCTTAAAAAATCTGGATTATAATCGCTACAAGTGACATCCTTAATATTTTTTATGACCTCTGCCCCTAGGATGCTACTTGTCGACTAATAACCTCGTACGTAAGAGAAATGCCAACGTCAAGCCGGAAGCATACGACATTGTCTCGTGCGTACGACAAGCATCCGGAATTCATATAGATCCGCCAACTAGCAGGCACGGATTCAATCTGTTCGCTGAAATGCTGCTTCTTAGATTAACATACACACCAATTTCGGTGTATATTCCCAAATGATTCCTGACTGATTGACCGACGAACCAGGGAGCGAAAGACAGACTGTTGATCTATTATTTTTATATCGGCTTATCTGGTCTTGGTCAAGGAATTATCGGAAAATCGTTTTAAGTAATTTAGTTCCGAACTTGCTAAAAGAACTAGGAACATGTACTCAAGGGTTTATTTTGCTTTGTATGTTTTCCAAGATCACCTCATCTTTAATCTAAACATTCGTCCATGGACCCGCCCCATCTCGATGGGTTTAACATGTAATGTAACGTGTGGATTTCCCTTGCCGCAGCGCGCAGCGTGAACGACGTGCAGTCGGCGGTGGAGCGCATCTTCCCGCTGGTGTACGAGTTCCGCAAGCCGCGCTCGGCGGCCGACGAGGAGGCGCTGCGGCAGAAGCGCGCGGGCCGCGCCGGCGCCGCGCCCGCCGCCGCGCCGCCGCCGCCGCCCGCCGACCCCATGCACCTCGTCACGCTGTCCGACGACGACAACGACGCCTGGGAGTGACCGGCGCCGCCCGCCCAGTGATGCACGGACCATGACGCCGTTCCATACCAGACTCTCGGTTGTCAGTGCGCGCGTGTGATGTCGGCGAGCCACTCGGTTCATGCCAAAGATATTTATTAGGGGTGGTGCTTCGCGCTCGGCGCCCGCGCTTTGGTACCGGTTCGCTCCCGCGGACCCACCGTTTTCGTGATGCTCCTGTGACCTCTTGTGACCTCTAGTATGCGTAGGTGAAGTCGTTTGCGTCTAAACCAAAATTGTCATGAATTCTACTAAAAATAATGTTCAGAGAATAAATCTCGGTAACGATACTCAGTCTCGTTTTTCATTTGCTGTTATGATTGAAGAAGAAGTAGTGATAATAGTGTTCAATAAGATTTGTTCTAAGAAAGATGACTGAATGATTAGTTAGATGTTAGTGATTGTAAATATGAAAAGCTTGGACATTATATGTTTAAATAAAAACAACTTGTTTTATTCGTTTCATCACACTTTACTCATTAACGTTTCATAAAGTTAATTAAGTACAGTCGACAGCACATTAGACTAATTTTTTATGGCTTATTACACCATACAACATTCTATGCCACAGTTGACATTGATGTGCTGTCGTATGTACCTAATAATCTACCAAAAATCATGCACTTACAATCAGTCGATATTGTAGTTTTTGTAAGAGTACTTATTAATTTTGTGCGCGTAAAATGTTGACAGTCTTAAAAGAGTTAAAATCCAGTGGATACATTGGAAATAAGTGCACATAGCAAAAGAGGAAGAGTTAAAAATCGTTTGCCGCTACATTTTGGCACTTATCCCTTAGACTATCGATTGGTCTAGGAGTCAGACTCGTGCGTGTCGTACTCGTCACTAGTGAACCGAGGGTGGGAGGGGCGCGGGGGNTTTTTTATGGCTTATTACACCATACAACATTCTATGCCACAGTTGACATTGATGTGCTGTCGTATGTACCTAATAATCTACGAAAAATCATGCACTTACAATCAGTCGATATTGTAGTTTTTGTAAGAGTACTTATTAATTTTGTGCGCGTAAAATGTTGACAGTCTTAAAAGAGTTAAAATCCAGTGGATATGTCGCAGGCAAATTGTATGATTCCGCATTTTACAAACGGCATCGTCAGTTTACAAACGCTCGCTGTTCTATGAAATGCCGAAATTGGTGACTCGTTCAATTGATAAAATTTCGACTATGATTGTTGCAATAGGGTGACCATCATAAAACACATGTTGGACAAATGAGACTTAATTTCAGAAATCAGGTAGGTATCTATTCAGGTAAGACAAACCTAAAATACTAGCTACTCCTAAAGTAATAAAAATATTTTCGTAATAAATACAACACTAAACTANCGCGGGGGGCGGGCCAGCCGCGGCCGCTGCTTGTGCGGCGCGTAGGAGCGCACCTTCGGGGTCTGGATGTAAGCGCTCATGTCCACTACTGCCAGACGAGGGGTCCTTACGCCTATGCCTGGAGAGAACATTTCATTCGTCAGTCAATATTTATAAATAACTGAAAAAATCGAACTGCTTGGCGAAAGGTCGTGGGTTCGATTCCCGCCTTAGGCAGTTCGATTTTTTCAAGTTATTTATATTTTAGTTTGAGAAGCGACTCTAATTGCTGGAAAATTTTGATAGCTACAGTCAATATTTATCCTCAAACACGCCGATAAATAATAATATGAATTTGTGTGAAAAGTGCTGTGCCTACAAAAGTATCTATTTCATACAGTAAAGCCGGGTCTGCAGCGCGTGTTTTGCCGTACACAATCAACAAAAACATCTCAACATTCAACAAAATTGTCTACTAATATTGTGTTCTATTATGACATCTGAACCCACTATATTTGATTGAGGTCATTTCAATTTTAACAATGACGGACCCTTTTTTAACTTGACCCTCTTTCCTTAACTGCAAAGAACGAAAAGAAAGCCAACAATACCAGGATTATTTACTTCAAGACGACTTTATTAACCCGGCGAGCGTAAGGTTGGGTGTGGTACACCCAGACCTTGAAAAATCGATTAATATTTTAATAACGAATTGTTGTTATGCTTCGTGCGCTTGAGTAGCTGCGCGGAGGGACATACGGAAGCGTCCCTTGCTACTGTTTCAGGCGACCGCCGCCCGGGGTATGCTGAGGACGAGGTTGAAGATGTCCGCGGGTGCGTGACACCCGCCTTACGCTACTTGTAACGAATTTGATCAAACACATTTTATTTTATTTTTATTGTTTTATGGATTTTTTTGGTTTTTCTTCAGGCTAAAGATCTAGAATGTCTTACGAAGATAATGAAATAGATTATCAGGTCTTTTCAAACAAATTGAAGTCAGTTCTTCCGACAAGTCTGGTAGTGACCAAAATATTGATAATGTCAACGAAAGAAATTTTGAAAGTGACACAGGAGTAGGAGATGTATGACGAAGGGCAGCATGAAGGATTGGTAGAGAATAATGGCGAAGGCAATGGTAGTTATTTGTTGGGAAAACATGGAACAAAATCGTTCACAGTACCAAAAATTCGTCTGTAAAAACTGCACAAAATCTCATAACGAATTAAGTATTTTTTTATTAGTTTTATTATCCATTTTTAGTGTTATTTTGTTCTTATGTTGAGTCTATTTAAAGAAAAAATAGTCTTTATTGTTTTTGTTTTCATATTTTTGACAAAAAATCATAAACATGTGCCATTACTAATAATTGTAACTTCTAATTGTCAATTTTCTTAATTTCTTAAATAAATAACATTGCTAAATTATTTACTGTAATTTGTTTCTTAAATAAGTTCAAAATATAACTAAATATCAGTTTAATATCAAAGAAAATAGATATTTAAAATAATAGTGTATAATAACCACACAATCACGATCTGGGTGTGCTACACCCACCTAGCGCTTTTTGTTACTTTTTCCAACCTTACGCTCGGCGGGTTAACAAGCCTTGCTGTTTCTAAAGAATGAATCCACCTCCCCAAAGGTTATCATAATAGATACTTAGGGAGTCTATTAAAATTGGATCATGGCCAACAGCACAGCTTTCATAACCCATTTTTAGAAAAGGTAAGTCTAGAACTGGCGCCAAAGTCTACGACTAATACCTAGGTCCTTTAAGTTTATTACTTTATTCGCACTGCATTCATCATCGAATACATAATTTTCAAATAGATTTTAGCCTATGGTCTCTTGACCAATGTAGTAATCAGTAAAAAATATTCTTTTAGCAGTTTACTACGTGGTATAAAGTTAGTGAAAGCTGAGTCGAACCAAGGACCTCTGGGTCGCCAGTCCAACTCTCACATCCGGTTTTATCAAGCCATATTTAACATAATGCAGGCCGACCCAAAGCTTGTTGCCAAGTGGAGGGGCGCGACTGAGTTGCAACCAAATGCAAGAGTAAATCTCGACTACCCAAAATGTTCCCTATTGAAAACAAAATAAAGGTCTACCTCTCGTTACCAGTCATGACAGGCAGCAGCAGCACGTTTTCATAGTCGGGCGTGGTGCGCGGTCGCCGCTTCATGGCGGTGCAGCACAATATGCACGGAAGAAGCGGCATAGCAACACGCTTGGTTTCTCAAAGTGAGTTCTCTACTCTACCGAAAATGCTTCCTATTGAATACAGCATAAGGTACATCTCGTTACCAGTTATGACAGGCAACACGTTGTCATACGCGGGCGTCGCTTCATGACTGTTTCAGTTTCAGTTTAGTCATCGAAATGATTAAGTTATTAACACCAAATTGTGCTCTATTCAAAACAAGATAAGGTGCACATCGTTACCAGATATGACAGCCAGCACGTTGTCATAGTCGGGCATGGTGCGCGGGCGCCGCTTCATGGCAGTGTGACGTGACATGCGCGGCAGCAGCGCGGGCAGCGGCGGTTGTCTCATCAAAGTGAGTTCTTTACCCAATATGCTCTCTATCCAAAACAGAATAAGGTGCACATCGTTACCAGTTATGACAGGCAGCACATTGTCGTAGTCGGGCATGGTGCGCGGCCGTCGCTTCATGGCGGTGTGACGTGACATGCGCGGCAGTAGCGCGCGCAGCGGCGGCGGCGACGCGGGCGGCAGCGGCGGAGACAGGATCCTCGGCCGGACGGCTCGTCGTTCGGGAGATGAGCTCGGAGATCTGCCAGGTATTTATGGCTTGAGAAACTGAACCATGATGTATTACAAATATATAATTACCTACTACGAAAAAATCAACTTCGTTTATTCCATTAACATATACTTGTTAATTTTGTTCGTCGATCAGCTTAATTGCTGTAAATATTCTCAAAGGCATCAGTGTGCGCCCTAAGCTCATAATAATTACCTCTCTCGTTCAATGACTGGCCTTCTCCGACGCCTGCGTCCTCTTGGGTCTTTTTTCTTATTCTTCCCAACCCTGGGAGGGATCACTCCTATGTGTCTGTAGTAATCGCATAGAGCTTTGCCCACCGACTTGCCTATTTTAGAGTCTGTTGTGAATGTTAAGAAAATCAATGCTAATTAGCTGAACAATAAGTAATATTGGGTAATAAGATAAAAAACTAGGGTCTAGTTTTGTTAAAAAAAGCTTCTTCCAGTTCTTACGAAAGAGTTGTTTGTTTTTGAATAGCCACCTTTTTATATTGTGCACACCTGGCTTTTGACCGAGGGCGATTTCAAGGCCATGAGCTTTATAAAACAGATGGCACTCGATAAATGAGATGTCGCGGTCTCAGGGCCACTATCTTGTAAAACGTGTAATAATAGAACAGTGCAAGATAATATGGGGAAGGGTTGCAGCAATCTCAGGGCTACTAAAAAAATCAAGCAGCGGTGGGTATCGTAATGTCGTTAGTCTAATTTCGAAACAATCATACTTACTTACACTTTGCTTAGTGTAGACCACTAGTCTAACGCCCGTATTCACAAACATAACTATGAGGTCTCACAGTGCGCGTGGACGTACAGGGTGACACATGAACCAATCACAGAGCTCTATTTAACGCGGTGCGTTCGATTTTCTGCTTCACGTAAGCAAGCATCTTTTGTGAATACGGGCGTAAATTAGGTAAGTAAAACTGTTTTTATCAATAAGACACTGGTGGCCAGGAAGGCACTACCTCATATAGCATACCCCTAATCCCTATCTAAGTGCGTGGTAGTGGAATGTTGCGACCTCACTTTCGAAGTACGATGCAAGATAAGGTAGAATTTGTAGAGACCGCTTCTACTAGTGAGTAGGTAGTTTTTTTAAGATAGGTACCTAGACTGCAACACACTTTTAAAGGATACAAGCATCCTCCGTGTAGTGTATGAATGGCCCACGAGGCGCGAGTCTGCGGCCGCCCAGTGATGCCAGTATGGAATAGGCGTCGATGCTGCCTGTTGGCAACGCGCGGCGAGCGGTGCCCACCATGAGAGGATCCGCGTTGTATAGGCAATAGTCCGGCTGCCACGCTTCCACCCGAGCTGCCAGGAACTTTGGGAGCACTGCGTGGCGTTCGAAACTGAAAATATGTATAAAACTGTGTAAAAAAAAACCAAGTGAATTGAGAATCTCCTTTTGTTGAAGTCTGTTAAAAACTCAGATCATAGATGATCTGAGGTTAAAAACCAATCGTTGCATAAAATACATAAGTCACATAAAATATGTTAAATGGCTTAGATATTAGGACCACCAAAAATGTTATTCGCGAGATTAAACACGCGTGTTAAGAAACTTGTAACTCACCGATAAACATCGTCGTATGAATTTCCACGCACAAAAACACCTTCGCTGCTAATATCTGCGTGCAGATCAATGATGAAATCCAACTGTACGGACTGAAATTTAAAAAAAGATATTTAAATAGAGCTGTTAACACCCTGCTTAAAATTAAAGATTTGCCTAACTAAGAGTAGGCGCACACCGTTGATTTTTAGTTGGCCGATAGTTGTGCCCGATTTTAAATTGTATGAAGAATCGGCCAACTCGAATCGGCGTAGTGTGCGCACTCCCATACATGCCCATACTGATCAACTGCCCGACTAAACTATCGGCCGACGAAAAACCAACGGTGTGCGCCTACTCTTAGGCTCTCCATATAATTCAGTTTTTAATTCTCAACTCTACCTTTTCAGAGTTGAGCTTGTTCAGCTGGTCCTTGACCGCGATCAGAGCGGGGTGTGCATAAGTGGTGGCGCGGTTCCAGCACCGGTTTGGATCCGAACCCAGGAGATCTGCTCGTTGATTGCCCAGAAACACACCATCGGGGTTTAGCATTGGCACCACCTTCAAAAGTAAGTACCTAAGTGTTATTTTTAAGTATAACAAACTCCGTAGAAGTGTAGGTACAGACTAATGCTGGATTTCTATATTAAATCCTAATCCAAATTATACGGATTTGGATTGTCAACTGTCAAATTTTAATATGTTTTTGGCCAAAATAACTGCGGTTTTTGATGTTTTTACATTTTTATATTGTTTATAAGACTATTTAAACAATATTAAAGTGTAAATGCATCGAAAATTTTGGAAATATAATCTAAAACTGAATTCAATTTGACAGTTGTAATCCGGATTTGGACAAGGATTGAATATGGGAATCGGGCGTAAGGCGGAGTTGCAACCACCTAACTTTAACGATAAAATCGGTGTTATTTGTTTGGAGTTTGACAATTTTTTGACGTTTGTTAAAGTTAAAGTAAAATGGTGCACCGTAGCCTTAGTAGGTAAGTATAGATGACCGTAAATTATAGTAGGGGAGAGTGGGGCAAGACGGGGTCCTTAACGTTTGATGGTAAATAAAATTGACCGTAGAGAGTTTTATTAATTTGTTTTATTCTTATAATCTTCTTCGATAATCAGTCTTCATTGTTCACGTGTAATTTGGCAGTCTAATCAACATAATAAAATTTAAAAAAACAAAAAGTAGAAATACACCCTTATCCCCATCATGCCCCACCCCTAGGGTAAGATGGGGTACCCCCGTGGGTAAGATGGGGTACCAATAAGAAGGCAAGATGGGGTATGGCAGCAAACGACTATTTACTTTTCACAATGTTCACAAGTGAACACGGTATCTGCATCTTTGTCATCGAAACCTGCACAGCTGCAGTAAACCCATTTGCCGCATGCTGAACAAGCAACCCAGCCTTCATTTGAGTCCAAATATAGGCCTTTACAATACAAAAAAGGTGTATTTTCAGTATTGTTGTCACTATTCTCGTGTAATGATCTATTCTTAGCCCCTTTTTTCTTCTTTGTTACTCTTTTCTCCTTAGTTGGAGATTTTTTTTTTGAGATTTTTAAGTTCCCTCAACTCTTTTTTTTCGCTGTATATCCTCTTCCACTTCTTTCTTTTTCTTAATCGTTTTTTTTTAATAATTTCTCACTATTCTGGAATAAAATAAATAGTAAAATTAGACATTTCTATGTCGCTTGCCTTCATACCCCATCTTGCCCCTTAACACCTACCCCATCATGCCCCCGTATGCCAAATAAAATTTAAAAAATAACTGAATAAAACCAGTACGCAGCAATGAGGAAAACAAGTTCTTACCTGTTAGTGTTGTTATTTTCACATTTGGTAACATTTAAATCAATTGCGAGGTGTTATTATTTACGGAAAATACACGCCCAGTATAATATAGAAAAATCACTAGCTATTTAGCAAAAAACAGTTTTTTCCAGAAAACAAATCAAAGGCGTAGTGTCGTTGTCCGCTCACTTCGATAACTGATTGCCGTAATGGTGGTGCGGCGTCAGGTGCTAAAACGATCTTGATTGGCTAATTCGTTTGCACTCAGGATCGGTCGCCCCGTCTTGCCCCCCACCCCGTCTTACCCCACTCTCCCCTACTTCCATTCATCTAATCAACATAAAAATTAATATGACTATGTTACCTGTATGACTATACCATTTCGTAGAGCTGCAGCTTTTTCAGATGAGCTCACCATGTAATCCAGTAGTCCTGAATAAAATAATTTGTTAGATTAATTCAGTAATGGACAATGATCATAATAAACAAGGAACTTAATAAATAAATGCTTACCTTGACAAATGAAAGACGCCGGTGGCTCGCCCCCATGTGCTCGGGCGATGATGAGGACAACCCTTTTCTTTGGCTCTACCACTTTACCTTTAACAGGTTGCTCCTCTTTAAGATCAGTCTCTTTGAACTCAAAATTTCCTATAGTCACTAAATCTATTCGACGCTTTTGCTGAAAGTAAAAATATAAATTGAAAGTACTTAAAGGGCGCGCGCAATATTACAAGGCGAAATTATGTTAACTATACTATGTAGATTTATTACCGTAGTCTCAGCTATGGACTCTCTCGTTGCAAAGGCCTGTGCTTTCTTCTCCCAAACCGCCAGGTACTTTTGGAGTCTGGAGTACGAGTAGGGCGCCGCTACAGTGAAATGGTACACGTCTTCTTCGCGGTCGAATGCGAAGGCAATGCTTAGGATCCTCCTTCCTCGATGTGCGAGGGAACGGTGGTAAAAGACCAAACGCCTGGGGATTCTTTGCCTGTCAACGGTCGTAGTTAATTTTATTTATGTGGTTGTGAATACCTACCAGTAATAATATAACATGCAAAGGCATGTTCTCTTCATTCCTTGGCTGACACACTTCATCTCACATACACAAAAATATTTATTCGAAATTGATAAATTAACATTACTTACTCCAATCAAATGAAAACTTTAGAACATAGCTACGATAACTACTATCGTAGGTCCATGCTTCGCTAGCTTGTCCTAAAATAAGTTCGCAGAAGCAATCAAGGTGTCTATACCCTCCGTTCACACAACCACAACACACCACGGTGACGTGGCCCAGCTGTCCGCTGCGCAATTCAAATTGCAGTTAATTGCCTTTGCATACGTTACACACTGCATAAACGTATTCACCGCAGCTTGCAAGTTTCATGAAGCATGAATATCAAAATACTATCATAGCAAGATGATAGCAAACATATCAAACCTGTTTAAGTTTTTGATACTTACCATTTGGGACGCGATGTAGAGCGCACCAATGGTGTCATGTCACCGTTGAATAAGGTGAGATCTTTGCCCAGATTTACCAGATTAAATATTACCCTCTGAAAATATATTTAACATCTAAAATTAACCTCAAAAGCACACAATCATTCCTGACTCGGTTATGAATGCACTGGCTAACTTAATTACCTGATCCTGCTTCACATTCTCAACGGTAAAGTTGAACCAGAACCTCGCTCTTGGCCTGCAGGTGTCAGGCCGCACGTACAGGTCATACTCCAACTCGCTGATGTGGTCGGCACGGCCCAAGTTTCCGCACTCGAAGGCTGCGTCGAAGCACAGCTGGCCTCGCTTGGCCTTCCCGCTCTGGCCAGGAGGCCTGATGATCTGCCTGCTTAGGTTACCGAGGCCTCCTTCTCCGTCACTTTCTTCGCTATCTGCATGAGTAAGGTTTATTAGACCCTTTTTATTACAATGAGACTCAACGTTTCCTTTTTGGTATTTAAGAACCTACTAACGGATGTAGTTTTTCTTTCTGAAAATGCCTTTTTTCACGAGATTTGACTGACTTGTTCTTCGGGTTAAGTTTTGTACGCTTTTACACATCAAGAAGAAGTTACCTATGTCACCAAAATTCTATTCCCTTTTGCCATACGATTATCTTCCACGCGATATGAATTTAACGGCGAAAACAATAACGTTTGATGTGTCGATATAACACGTTGCAAATAAAATGGTTTCCTCACATGAAATCAATTTGCAATGAGCAATCGATCGAGGTAAATTGAAATAGAAAACTTTTCAACAATCAAGACAAACGTAAACTATTGGCTGTTGTTTTTCATATAATTAACACTCTAAAATCCTCATATCACTAAGTAGTTCTAGTTGGTATTAACAGCAATTTGCACTCACTAAGTTAGCAGTTAGGTAGTTCGCTTACCTATTCTATGTACTTAGGATAGGTATATTTTAACAAAAGTATGTAAGATGATGGATTAAATTAAAGAGCTTTAATAAAATTTTGACGAAGTTTCAACGTAGCACAGAAAATCACAGACACTAGCATACCCTCTGGGCCCCGAACGTATATGGAGGTGTGCTCAAGATTGTCCGTATAAGCCGCCATCCCCTCAATACTCAATACTCAACGCCTGTTCCCACTATACTGAGAACACTACACTACCCCGACTACCCCCTAGTTAGATCGTGCAAAGATTGGGCCTCCTTCGATAAGTGCGATAGTCTAGGTGTAAGGCAAACCGTTTAGGTGAGCACGCCAACGATCTATCGTCTTATTTGGCATCCAATTGAAATGTTAACAACTTTTCAGTGCGATTGGTTCCCGCCATGCTAGTTGGTTTGGTGGGCGGACTGACAATTGGGTTCCGTGGGTTTACGAAAATTTCCTGAAATGAATTACTTACGAATCAAGTAAAATTGAGCATATTTTACCTAGTTTGTATCTTAAAACCCAAAAGTTATTAGGTGTTTATTGTTGTTATGAACCCATATTAATTACAACTTACTTTTACGACGTTAACGAACGTTAACCCTGTATTTAAAAAAAAGAACAAAGCAAAAAATACGCATATTTTATACCATATTGTTTTTTTTTAATATTCATTCGCAAACATTTTATTTTCAACGTAATTTGTTCGCACTACAATAAAAGTTGGAAAGGTCCCTGACGTTAGATAGCGCCTTCGTAGAGCACTACATGCATCATTCGACAATTGCCAAAATAAAGTGGAAACTTTGTAGTATATTGTTTCGGTTCCGGTATAAATCTGACACTTTACATATTATCTGTTATGTTGGTGAGAAATAAACATTACTTTACTTTATTACTTTACTTTACTACTTGCGTCTCGTGCCACACGTTTCTTCCGTACTCCTCAAGTGTTTATGGGAAGTTTAGTGTATTGCATCAAAAAGTAAGTACATCATATAGTACAGGACCGCATCGACGCGATTCTTTTTAATGTCGATAAATGAATGTGGACCGACGATCTGGTAAAGGTCGCGGGAAGTACCTGGATGCAAGCGGCGCAGGACCGGTCTTTGTGGAAATCCTTGGGGGAGGCCTTTGTCCAGCAGTGGACGTCTTTCGGCTGAAACGAACGAACGAACGAAATGAATGTGAAAAGTTCTTACAAATTAAATTGCCTGAAAATAAAAATCTAATAAGATTTCAGCAGTAAAACGTGTATTATTCATTTAAAGCTAGCAGATTATATGTTTGGTGGTCTTCATTAGACTGCAACGCCAATGGTCAGTGTCATGTGCACTATTTTTATCTATTGACCATTAAAATCTCTGTTAGTTTCAGGCTAGTTAATGCCCCCTTTGCTGCCCTCCTATTTGCGTGTTCCCGCCGACGGACAGGCACTTTACGGAGTGCTTCTCCTTCGGCGGTTGGGCGCAGCAACGTCAAGGGACCCGCTGAAAATCAGTGTCGAGGCATTCCCACGGCGTGCCCCGATTAATGCTGAGCGGGCCCCTATTTGACAGCAGGGCACAATGTTTTTCTTTTTGTAATTTGTGTAAATTTTAATGTGATGTCGCCCTTTTTGTCAAATAAAACATTTTATTATTATCTATATTTTCTACTTAAAGATTCTCGGAACTGGTTGTTCCGGTATTGCTAGAGAACCTCACGGGTTGTTAACCAAGTGATGGTCCTCTTGTAGGAATCGCCGTACAATTCGGCACGTATTGAGAATTGCAGCTTTCTGCATATTGTAAAAGGTATTAGTCGGTAGGTCTAACGTATTTAAACTATTTTTCAGTTGTTGAGGTATGACCCCTGTGCTAGAGAGCACAAGTGGTACAATTATTACTTTAGTTTGGTTCCATAGTCTTATTATTTCTTGCTTTAAATCTGTATATTTAGTCATTTTTTCTGTAATTGTTTTGTTTATATTGTGGCTATTGGGTATGGCAATGTCTATGATGTAGGTTGTTTTGTTCTTTTTGTCAGTTAATATGATATCCGGTTTATTGAAATGTATAGTTTTATCTGTAAGAATTGCTCTATCGAAATAAATTTTGTGATTGGAGTTCTCTAGCACTGGGTTTGGGTTATATTGATAGTAAGGTACTGATTTTTCTAATAATTTGTGTTTAACTGCTAACTTTTGGTGTATAACATGAGCTACTTGGTTGTGTCTGTATGTGTAGTCGTTTTGCGCTAAATTAGAACATGCCCCCGTGATGTGCTGTATTGTTTCAGGTGCTTTGTGGCATTTTCTACATAGGTCATTTCTCGCTGTAACGTCTTTCAATATGTGTTTTCTGTAGTTTTTGGTGTTGATGACTTGATCTTGTATAGCTATGGCAAAACCTTCTGTTTCTGGAAATAAGTAACCCAACTGTAGCCATTTGTTTGATGCTTCTGTATCTATATTTCCCTGCTCGATTTCTTTCAGATGTCTTCCATGCAACTCTTTCTGTCTCCACTTGTCAATTTTGTAACCTTCTCTTACTTCGCGCGTTACTGTCGGCCTGTGTTTGTTGTGTAAGTTTAATGGGGTGTAGTGTTTATCGGCTTCTACAATGGATAAATGTAAGTTACTCTCTTCTGCCTTTTGATAGAAATGTTTACGCAAGTTCGTTATTTGTGATTCATGCAGCGTATGTAAATCAATGAGACCTCTTCCTCCTATTTGTCTTCTTAAAGATATTCTCTCAATCGCAGATTTAGGGTGTGAATACCGGTGTTTTGTCAATAATGTCCTAGTTTTCATTTCCAATTTATTAATATCAGTCTTCGACCATTTAATTATTCCGAATGAGTATGTCAGTACTGGGATTGCAAATGTGTTATTATAATTATTATTAATAAGTGTGATTGTTGGGAAAAAAAATGAAACTAGAAAGTCTATAGATCAAGTTTTTGTGCTAAAAGACACTCAAGACCTTATTTACCAAAATGTAATGCAGCCCTGTATTCTACGAGTACCTACTACGAGTATAGAACGTCGTAGTCTGAAAGCACATTTACCTACTTGTTACCGAGTGTAATACGCTGCCCTAGCCCCTACAGAAGAAGCCGTAGCGGCTCGTAGCATTTCGTAGCAAGGAGGGTTTTCAGTGTGCCTACCATGAGTTTACGTTAGGTGTGCTCGCTAGCGACTGCGTAAAAAAATGACATTTAAATGTATGACATATTGTGCAGCGCCCCTAGCGGTTACTTTCAAGAAATAAAATCTTCATATAATTTTTTGACGTATTCGCTAGCGAGCTCACCTAACGTAAACTCATGGTAGGCACACAGCTTTTTTTTCAAGGTAAGTATTTAATGTGTTCTGTAAACTCTGTAGTACACAATAATGTTAGTGTTCGGTCTTTTGGTGAAAATCAAGTAAGAAACGATGATTACATGCTGAAAAACACTTTTCTAAGTAGGTAAAAGCTATAAATGTAAACTAATTCTTCAGTATCTTTATTCATTCTAATATAGCTAATCACAATTCAAAACACTAAATATGATTAATTAAAGTACTTTATACATACGTATTTATTCTTATAGTAAAAAATATTGAAGTAGTAGTAAAGATCAATGTGTTTTAATTGTACCGATATAGTAACATAGATGTAAACCAATTTGACTCGAAAATTAATTATTCGTTTAAGTATTATAGTTCTTGTAAGCGTATCTACTAAACTACATTAGATAATTATGTACCGAAGATTTGAGTTTTTAATCATTTGGTCTCAAGTCTCAACAATTACAATGGTTAAATCGGAAATAAACCTAAATATTAGAAGCATTAGGTATCCAAATCGAGTAGTAATTGTAGCATATTGCTACAACTAAATAATATAATAATACTCTCAATAAACTATGTTCTAAAATAGAAAAATAAAGGGAAACCAGATACTTTTAAATTGAGTCCACGGTTGCGTTGTTATATCTAATTGTTAATAATTGCAATAATAAATTCGCCGGATATCACTTTCAAAAGAATTGCATTGCGACTCTTGCATTAGTCCCATGAATTTGTTCAATATAAAAGCGGCTAGATTTTCCGTTTTGTCTTGAAACTAATACATATAAAAATGCGAAATTACCTGACATTTTCACACCATTGTTACTCCGTTGTCCATATGCGGTTACTCAACACCCACACAGCTCACCATTAGTTAATTAACGACCGAATGCAGTAACGTTTTGGAGTCGCTCGGCGTCCTTTGTGCCGATGCAGGGCTCGTTGCCACGTTACGCCGTAGTGCGACATTTCTACTTTCATAATAAATGCACAATAAAAATAAAATACAAACATTATGATTAGGATGCGTACAGCCGGGCAACCGTAGCTTAGCAACGCCGTGAGTTCCACGGTTGCGCTCTACCTTTGATTTTACTACAAGCTTTTACCCGCGGCTTCACCCGCATGAAATTTAGAATGTCACATATCGTCATAAATTATAGCCTATATGTTATTCTGGGTTATAAACAATAATACTGTAAGTAAAGTTTCATCAAAATTCGTTCAGTAGTTTTTGCGTGAAAGAGTAACAAACATCCAGACATCAAAACTTTCGCATTTAATATTAGTAGGATTAAGAAAGCGCTCACTTCCCTACTGTAACGACTGTTTTTTGTAACAAACTAATGAACTTACAAACATGCAAGACTTGAATCATTAATTACACTGGACCACAAAGAAAAAGGATCGCTTAGAAAATCTTCAATTATATCTTCAGAAGTACCTGATCTACCTTATAGACTAAACTAAAATAGAGATAGAGAACGTCACAACGCGACATTTTTATATGAAACTAAACTAAACTAATTCATGCGTTTTATTTTCAAAAAATGTAAAATAAATAATTGCATAGTTTTTCCAATGTGTTTTGTTTCACATAGCTAGGCGTTACGTAGGCTACTTTTGAAGATAATAGAAGATTTTCTAATTTTTTATTTGCGGTCCAGTGCATAATGCAAAATAGGCGATGTGCATAAAACAATTTTAAATTTATAAGACACGCTTTCCAAAATAAAAAAATTGCTTTGGGTATTCCCGTACTTACTGAGCGAATCAGCTGAGACGTACGTATCACGTGGGAAACTAATGCTTCGTCAATAATGTCAAATGTCCTTGACTATGTTATCGATGTATGAGTAATCTATGTTTGACATTTATATTTATCATTAAATGATAAAAAATTGGCCAAGTGCGTGTCGTGCCACGCGCAGTGTAGGGTTCCGTAGTTGTCCGTCGTTACCACAATATATTTCAGAAGCAAGCAATTACTTCATCTAAAGTCACTTTTCATATTTTCTTCTAAGGATTTTTTACTGGTTAATTTTTTTTATAATACATACATGAGTCAAATGACTATTATTTTCAAAGTAACTGATGTATCTTAACCATTATACTTTTCCTTGAAAGTTCATAAACAAGCAGTATTATTACGAATTTTCCCAGATTTTTCAAGGCAACAGTTTAGTTTTTAGAGTTGTGGGGACGGGACGCCCTACTCGAACAAAAATTGGCACTTCAAACTTTAATAATTTGCAAACAGATCCCTAAATGGAAAAATAGTATTACAAATCCTTTTCACTTAGGACACATCTCGTCACTCTGTCTGTAGACTGAAAAGATATTTACCTATTATTATTGTGTCTTATTTACTTGATTTTAATAATAAAATTAAATCACTTAGCTTTTTTAGTACAATAAAATCTGCTCATAGCGTGATGCGATGACACTTAGTACGGCTTGGAACGCACGCTAATTTATCAAACATCTCATCGGCTCTTTGAGATCAAACTAGCAACAACATATCTAAACAAAGACTAAAGCTAAGATGATAAGAATGATAAGATTAAGTTTAGGTTTAAGAAGACTATAAAACAATCCTATTGATGGATTAGCGCTATTTGTCGAAGCACTGAAGAAGATTGCTGGTACAAATGTCTTGCAAATTAATTTTTTTGTAAGAAGTTTGAAAAACTATTAATAAGATAATATATTGAATTGAATATTTACAGACGCGTGTTATTGTTTAACAGGTTCCTAGCACTTGTTTATGCCCATAGCAATGCTGTAAGTGTTCGCCAGAATGTACGAAAATTCCCCGATGGCTTCGCTTTCGGCGCAGCTACGGCTTCATATCAAGTTGAAGGCGCATGGAACGAAGATGGTGAGTTACGTTATTATTTTGCTATTTAAGGTACTGCTATTTAACTTACTCTCTTAATATGCATTGTTATTGTAACAGGAAAGTCAGAAAATATCTGGGACCACTTAACTCATTCGCAACCAAATCCCGTAAAAGATGGGTCTTCAGGAGATGTAGCAGCGAATTCTTATCACCTGTACAAAAGGGACGTGGAGATGATGAGGGAATTGGGCCTTCAGTTTTATAGATTCTCCCTTTCGTGGTCTCGGCTCTTACCAACTGGGTTCCCAGACGTCATCAATCAAGCGGGCGTGGATTACTATAACAATTTAATAGACGAGATGCTGAAATACAATATTCAGCCGATGATAACGTTGTATCACTGGGACTTGCCGCAGAAGCTCCAAGAGATGGGTGGATGGACTAACTCGCATATTGTCGATTGGTTCGGTGATTACGCGCAGGTGGCGTTCAAACTTTTTGGCGATAGAGTTAAAAGCTGGATTACTATCAATGAACCCCACTCAATTTGTTACTACGGCTATTCTATAGGACATTTTGCACCTAGAATCGATTCTTCAGGAGTATCAGAGTATATGTGCACTAAATATTTATTGTTAGCTCACGCAAGAGCTTACCATATTTATGATCAAGAATTTAGACCTTCCCAGAATGGCAATATCTTTATAGCATTAAGTGGGCAATGGTATCAATCTGAAACGGACGAATACCACGATGCCGCTGAAGACTATATTCAATTTACGGTATGCACCTTTTAAGTTCTTTTTAACCGACTTCAAAAAAAGGAGGAGGTTCTCAATTCGACTGTATGTTTTTTTGTATGAACTACATTTAGTCCCAAATAATTACTAATTACTTATTTATTAGGACGAATTAATATACCTACATAATTATACCATGATTGATACTTTTGGAGTCGATGACGGCAAACATGTGTTTTATAATCTTAGCATCGACTCCAAAAGTATTAATGAATCGCAACAGATTAAAGATATAGTTAGGATGATAACAGCTCCTGTCCTCATCTATAAACTCCATCCACAACCATACGTTTACGTACCCCGTTGCTTTCGACTTTAACTGAAATTTTCACATCTCATTTCAGGTGGGACAATACGCTCACCCGATATTCTCAACCACTGGCGATTGGCCGCCTGTCATGAAGGAGAGAATAGCAGCCAAAAGCGCCGAGCAAGGTTTCTTCAGGTCAAGGCTACCTGCATTCTCGCCCGAGGAAGTGGAATACATTCGAGGGTCTTCTGACTTTTTTGGATTAAATCATTACACAACATATTACGTGTACCGCAATGAATCGAGCACTAATTTTGCAGTACCTTCTTTTGAGGACGATATTGGCGCTGATAGGTATCAATTACAAGAATGGCATACACAAAAAGATGTAAAGTATATTGGGGTTAGTGTAATTCTTACCTTATCACAAATAACACACCTAGGTATTAAAAACTAAGTAAACTTTATATTTATTTCATATCAGCATGTACCATGGGGCTTCACCAAGTTATTGGTGAAAATAAAAGAGGACTACAATGACGTTCCAATCCAAATCACGGAAAATGGCTTCTCCACGCTTCCCGGGCTGGAAGACGACACGCGCGTGGCGTATTACTTCGACTACCAGTACCTCTAGTAGGAAAAACTTTCGAGTTCGTTTCGTTGCGTATTCAAAGTGTCATCGAAAAATTTTGTATGAAAAATTAAACAGCGCCCCCTATATTATAGCCGCCCTAGGGGGCGCTGTTTAATGTTTCATACAAAATTTTTCGATGACACTTTGAATACGCAACGAAACGAACTCGAAAGTTTTTCCTACTAGAGGTACTGAACGCGTTGCTGGACGCCGTCGAGAGCGGCGTCGACGTGCGGAGCTACGCCGCCTGGAGTCTCCTGGACAACTTCGAGTGGATAGAAGGATATGGGTAAGTTGTGTACTAACACAGTTGTGTAAGTTGTAACTAAGTACTCGAGGAGAAATCTTTATACTCTCGGGAACTGGATTTATTTGAGGTCACACAATTTCACACACCTATCACTTGAAATATTTATAAATCTATTCTATATATCTATTATACATATAAAAGAAAGTCGTGTTAGTTACTCCACTTATAACTCAAGAACGGCTGAACCGATTTAGCTGAAAATTGTCAGGGTGGTAGTTTAGAGCCAGGAGAAGGACATAGGATACTTTTTATCCCGTTCGAAATTAAAAAAAAAGTCTGCTTATTTATTGCCATTAAGGCGGAACAAAGTTCGCCCGTTCAGCTAGTTATTAATAAATATTACTCAGGGAACTGATTAACAATGGTTCAGAACAATAAAATATTTTCATTTCTTACAGCATACGTTTCGGGCTGTACGAAGTGGACTTTGAAGACGAGGCGCGCCCGCGCACGCCGCGCAAATCTGCCTTCTTATACAAAGAGATCGTGCGCACGCGCGCGCTCGACCCCAGCTTTGAGCCCGACGCCAGCGCTACCATGACCATTGACCAAGGACATTAGCAAACTACTAATATGCGAATAAAAATAAAATTAATGATATTAAATTCTTCCAAATAAATTATATTACAAAACTTAGTTCTAAGCACTTTTAGTTAGATATAGTAATTCCATGTATGAGTGTTTGTCTTGTTGGTTGTCCTAATAAATAAAATAAATAAATATTAAACAAATTATTTAGATTTTACGGTTTTGATTAAAAAAATCCTTATCTTATGTAAGACAAGGATTTTTTAAAGCAAAACCGTAGTCCTGCTGTAGAAGGGCTACGGCGCTACGTTTTTGCTACGAACTACGAGCCGTCTACGACGACTACGATACTGTTCGCTACGAGGCCTACGTGACCTTAAAAAATCTTGTGTTTATAACTTTGTAATTGTACGAATTATCTTCAAAAGGATGATTAGCCTTAAAGTTCAATGTCACGGGTGGCTTGGTTTAGTTTAAGACATCTTTCCACGGCATATTCCGAATAGTTTTGACGTCATAGAAATATCATGAAAGAAATATCATCTAAGAGGTAGAAAGAATGAACAATTAAGAACATTATTATTTATTCAATAAATAATATTGTGTCATTATTACAATAATAATCAGGGCATCACAACGCCGCTCTCGCCGCGAACATTGAATAAAGCTCAACGTAAGGCTGACCACTGACTTGACCTCACCACACACCTGTTATTGGAGCTAGCTGGCGCTGTGTGAAATTGTCCAAAGATTTATTTATTTATCAAAACTCAGGATTTGCGAACTGACACTTTCATTATGACACAAGTGCAAAATGCACTGGTGGTGGTGATATAAAAGGCCACTTTACGAGCAAGAATATTGAAAAGGTTTCATTTCATCAGAACTGTTTTCCCCATTGAATAACAACATGTGACCGTGTACAAGTCAGCGATCAGCTCTTATAAACCTAAACAAAAATGCACCTCACATGCACTTACAAAATGTTTATGCTCTACTATGTACAAAATCTTAAAACTAACACCCGTTATTAAATAGGGTACAAAACTAATAACAATTTCAACTATCATCGAAGACTAGAGAAAAGGTACACAACAATTATGTTTAGATAAAATTACAAAACGTAACAAAATGACACTATATACGACTGGTAAATAATTCAGTACTAACGCACTGAGTACAAAATATATGAATACTTATGACGGTTTTAAATACAAAATTATTGTTATTTCATGGTAACTGATTTGTCCGGCACGATATCTTTAACTAGTGATAAGAATATGAATCAAGAAACTACAACCATACTTTATAGTCTTTTTGAGTATTAAGATAGATAGCTAATTAGATTCTAAGTTAAGGTATTTTGCAATGATTATAGGGATGAGATACTCGTAGTGGATTTGGTATTTGTAGCACATCAGATACAGCTTGCATTGCTAAATCACCGATGATGTTAATTGCTCTATAAACGCTTCACGATTAGCGACCATTATACGAGTACAGTGTCCCAAAAAAATTTTTCGAGCAGAGCTCAGGTGATAGTGCCTACCTTACATCTTTTGAATAATTCTCATGCAAAATTCGAATAATCTCTGAAACGTGACAGTAACTTTCTGAAACACCCGGTCTGGTATTTATGCAGTCCTGGGTTAATTTATATGAGACTAAGAACACTCTTATAGTTCGAATGTTTCAATTGATAACTATTCTGCTAAAGAATAGTCAGCATACCGATAAATGGCGTTTATTTATTTATTTGACTACATACCTAAATGTAGGTATGTATTTGTTGCATTAATAAGCCTCCTTCCTAAGCACCTCATTTGAACTTTTGAAAAGTTTTGCAATATCTGATAACCTTTATCTAGAGAATTTATTGTTGTTTTGACATATTTTTTATAGAAATGATAAACTCATTCTTCAATCTTCGGATAGTAAGTCAGCTGATAACTGAAAAATTTACCCACTGTACTCGTAGAATCGAATAGATGATAGGTAGTTCATGTCTTAATTTCGGAAGTTAACGGTTTGCATTGAATTAGATTACTATACCCAAACTCCAAATGACATAGATTTTGTAATATTTATTGAAAAGAATAGTAATATGAATAGCAAGGACTTGTATAATTAGAAGTAACAAGCATAGTTTAGATAATATCGACAGCAACAACAACTTTCAGGATACACTCACCGATATTAAAGATCCTCTTTCTAAGTACAGGTATAAAATGTTACATCTTCTATGAATAGACAGACATACTTAGTAAATAAAATTATTGTACTAATATTTTTACACGTATGATTAGAAATCTTGTTACATAACGAACGCTCCAAATATATTTAACTATTAAGTATTCTAAACTCCCAATTTTATTAAATAAACAAATAGATTTTATTCAGCATAATTTTAAAGAGAACAAACTAAAATAATACGAGTCTTTAAATAACTGCAGTAGTCGTGCATTTAAGTCTTGATAGTTAACAAGGTATACAATAGGACGTCTCTGGATATAGACTGTTTGCCGAATCTTTCTACAAGAATTATATTGTGAGTGTATGTATTAAAAAGTAAATAGTTTAAGATGAAAATTCTTAGATAACTTGACGATATACTCGCACTTTAAAGTTTCAGCCAACACTTCTTACCTTCCTAGTCCTATCAACGTCAAGATACACGTTAAAGTTGAGTTTGTTTGCTGCCGTCATAACGCAAAAAGGCACATCTAATAATTTGTACATCTCTCGAATAAATTCAATAAGGATTAATTTATTTTTTTCTTACTATGAATATATTAACGTATTGTGCGCTATTATGATTTGTTTTATTATATTATTCTAAAGGCAGGTATTCATCGCTGTCACACGATATTTGATGTAGGCAGTGTCAAGGGTCCTAAAACGCTGGTCACATCACAATGTTTAGGGAACATGTCATAGAAAGTGATTTCCAACCCTTTCGTAACAGTTTGTGGGAGCAGGTCGAAATAGTTGTGCCCTTTTTCGTTAAGATAGCCGTATGAGTCGCATTTGAATACAAAACGACAACCTACTCTGTCCGCTCGCTCAACTGAGCTCCAGGAACGAGCGGTGATTTCAAATCCTTTACACCGAGTTAGAGTCTCGAGGTTCTCCCGCCGGTGAAATTTCACTAGTGATTTCGCCTCGCACGGGAGACGCACCTCTGTTTCGTTTCCTTTTAACACTGTCAAGTGGATGTAGATGATGGGCCCCCGCGGGCCCCGAGGCTCAGGCCTGCGTGTCGGCGTCGGTGTAGTGCGAGGGCCCCTCGGCCGAGCACACGGAGTCTTCGGGCGTGCGCGACACGTCGCCCGCCTCGCTGGCCTCCACCACGCTGGCGCTGCCGCCGCCCTTGCCTTTGCCGCCTCGCCGCGCCTGCAGCGCCTGAACACATTTTCAATTCATCAAATCATAATCAATATGATGTGGCTATCTGTATGAATTGAAACTTGTTGATTTATTTTCTTTTACTAGTCTGCAAAGCGTGGGTCGATGATGAACTCTGTATGAGTTCGAGTACACCCGCATGCAGCGTTACGCGTCCGAGTTGCCTCTTCGGCGCTGAATGCTTTCTATCATGTCATGCACGCTTTAAGAAAGCTGAACATTCCTGAAATTTCGCTTTACGGGTCAAAAGGCATATTTTATATTATAATTATGTAAAGTTTAGCATTTATTTATTATGTACTAAATCAACAGGCTTCATACATCTACTAACGAAACGTAATGCAAGAACTAAAGCAAAATATCGAATCAGATCGATCGTGACAGTAAAATATTTGAACACAGAGATTTCAGCAGAAAAGAAGCCGGTCGGCAGAATGTTAGCGATAGACGAAATCAGTTCCAACGTGCCGATTATAACTTGTGTGAACAATTAGAGTGAAACCAGCGACGACGTAACGTGCGCGTCGTCGAGCCGTCGTAGTCGTCGAACAGATAAAGCGACATCCGAAACATTGCAGTTGCGTACAGTAAGTTGCGGTGGTGGGCTTGGGTTCGGGTGTGCAGTATTTTTCATTCAATGCACTCGGACAAGCTGTTTCGAATCGGGTTCTTGTTTTGAATCGGATTCGGAATCGGTGTCCGAAGTGCTATGAACAGGGAGGGTCTCTCTAGGGGCGGACATCCACAGGGGTCATGCGGGTGCTCCACGTCAGTGCGCATGCGGTATAATCACACCTCCTTACCTTTTCGCGACTGCCCTTTTTCTAAAGTTGGGGCGGGATGGAAGATGAAACATTTAATTAATGAGAATGAAGATAGTACACCAACAAAAAGGATTGAAATATCACCTAACAGATTACATGTCTATGGAGTTACTATTGGTCCTCTAGGACAGTTAAGAATGATGATAAAATAATAAAATAATGTCAGTAAAAAATAATCGAAGTACAGTTGCGGCATTTTACGATCGGTTTGAGTAAAATGCCGCTTAACAGCCAAAAACTAAAGAATAAGTAAATCAGAGTTATTCTAACTCAACACAAAATGAACTAAATTTTAATTAGTAAGGAATATATTAATAAACTAACACCACAGAAATGCTATAATAAACCTAAACCTATAAACATTGAGTGTTATTATAAGTTATTGTAACATAAATACAAATAATAGTATCTAAATATACGAAAACTCTTTTATGAAATAACTACCTACCTACATAACATACTATATCGTTAATAATAATTAATAATAACAGGTATAGGTATCACCAGGGTTAATACACTAATAATAAAGATTTAAAATTTCATGACAATCGGGGAGTAATCAAACATTTACTTTGGATATTCAAACTCTGGGCTCTATGCATGTAGGTATCTATATGGACCTACTATCACGGTAATGATGGTTAAGTACTGAGTACATAGCACTCATTAAGTATATGTAGGAAGTTATTGATACAACCCGGTTGAGTTAACTGCGCACCTCGCTGGAATGCGACTCTACCTCGCCCCACCCGCGTTCGCCCCGTCCGTACCAGATCCGTATCCGTGGGAGAGCCACGCTTCGGCATGAATGGGCCGGCTCGACCGGAGTGATACCACGGCCTCACCAAAAACCGGCGTGAAGCAGCGCTTGCGCTGTGTTTCGCCGAGTGAGTGAGGATACCGGAGGCCCAATTGAGGGGGAATGGGATTTAAAAGGTTGGCAGCGCACTTGTGACTTCACTGATGTTGCGGGTGTACATGGGCGACGGCAATTGCTTACCATCAGGTGATCCGTCTGCTCGTTTGCCTCCTATTACATAAAAAAAAAAATCATCGACGTGACGTCACGGCTGCCAGGTGCGCAGTTAACTCGACCAGGTTGTAAAACTACAGTTCTCAAAGGTCCATGTCAGGATGTAACAATGTTGGTAGACCTAATAAATAAATAAATAAATAAATAAATGTTAGGTTCATAATACCTGTACCTAAACCCTTTGTTACCTGTAGCGAGAACCGCCTGTGCGGCGGTTTGCGGCCGCCGCGCCGCTTGCTTATGTGAGGGTTGTCTTGGCGCAGCGTCTTGCTGCGCATGATCTCGAGCTGCACGTATAAGCGCTTGAGTTCTGCGCGCACCTCTTCAGACGTCGCTTCCTCTTCGCCCTCCACGCCGAAGCCCTCAGACGGCCCACGACGGGACACCTGTAATTGTTGATGGTCTTTAAGAAAAGTTCGTACCAAGGTTGGTGCTTATTTATATCTATATAACGTGTCTTCTGTCTATTTTACGTCAGATATCGTTTTAGAGCCCTTTTACGATCATTTTACCCCATTCAGCGGGAGTGGGCAATTGGTTACTATTCAACCGTATTGGGCTTAGAAGGAAAAATGGTTCTAAGACTTTTTTGCAACCCTAAGGCTACATAAGGAACACGTCACATTTAAATATCACAATTCACAAACCTCCTGTGCCAGCGAGCGCGCGCGGTAGCCATGCCACAGGCGCGGCGCCAGGACGCAGACGCAGGCGAGCGCTCCGGCGCCTCGCCCCACAGCGCCGCATACGAGGTCTAGTTCACAATAAGTTCACAAACCTCCTGGGCCAGCGAGCGCGCGCGGTAGCCATGCCACAGGCGCGGCGCCAGGACGCACGCGCCGACGCGGCCAGCGGCGAGCGCTCCGGCGCCACGCCCCACAGCGCCGCACACGAGGTCTAGTCCACAATAAGTTCACGAACCTCCTGGGCCAGCGAGCGCGCGCGGTAGCCATGCCACAGGCGCGGCGCCAGGACGCACGCGCCGACGCGGCCAGCGGCGAGCGCTCCGGCGCCACGCCCCACAGCGCCGCACACGAGGTCTAGNGCCCCCGTGATGTGCTGTATTGTTTCAGGTGCTTTGTGGCATTTTCTACATAGGTCATTTCTCGCTGTAACGTCTTTCAATATGTGTTTTCTGTAGTTTTTGGTGTTGATGACTTGATCTTGTATAGCTATGGCAAAACCTTCTGTTTCTGGAAATAAGTAACCTAACTGTAGCCATTTGTTTGATGCTTCTGTATCTATATTTCCCTGCTCGATTTCTTTCAGATGTCTTCCATGCAACTCTTTCTGTCTCCACTTGTCAATTTTGTAACCTTCTCTTACTTCGCGCGTTACTGTCGGCCTCTGTTTGTTTTGTAAGTTTAATGGGGTGTAGTGTTTATCGGCTTCTACAATGGATAAATGTAAGTTACTCTCTTCTGCCTTTTGATAGAAATGTTTACGCAAGTTCGTTATTTGTGATTCATGTAGCGTATGTAAATCAATGAGACCTCTTCCTCCTATTTGTCTTCTTAAAGATATTCTCTCAATCGCAGATTTAGGGTGTGAATACCGGTGTTTTGTCAATAATGTCCTAGTTTTCATTTCCAATTTATTAATATCAGTCTTCGACCATTTAATTATTCCGAATGAGTATGTCAGTACTGGGATTGCAAATGTGTTCAGAGCTTTAAATAGGTTTTTGGATAATAAAGGTTTTTTGCATATTAAATTAACCCGCTTAATGTATTCTGCTTTTAAATTAGTTTTAATTGTTTTGTGATCTATGTTTCTTGACTGTTGTATACCTAAGTATTTATATAATTCTCCTTCCTCCATCGTGGCTATATTACAATCGTCGACAGTATTACTACTACAAGTCCGCTTGCCTTTTTTTACGTGTATAATTTTGCATTTATCTAATCCAAAGTTCATATTTATGTCACAACTGAATTTACTAGTTATTTTTATAAGCTCCTGCAGATTTTTTTCATTATTTGAATACAACTTAATGTCATCCATATACATAAGATGTGTGATGTTTGAGGTTTTAGAAATTTTGTAGCCGTTTAGTTGTGAGAGAAGACTTGACAAAGGGTTGAGGGCGAGACAAAACCACAAAGGGCTCAGAGAGTCTCCCTGAAAAATGCCATTATTTATCTGAATTTCAGATGTTGTGATGTTATTAGTTTTAGTTGTTAAATTTAACCTCGTAANCAATCAATCCAATGGTTTCTAAATCACTCACTCATCGCGAAATCTCAGAAACTACAAGTGCAGGAGTCTCCAATTTTGTATGGAGGTTCCTTTTAGAGCGTAGGAGCACATTAAGAACGGATTTTACGAAACTCTACCCCTAAAGGGGTAAAACGGGGTCCACGCGTACGAAGTCGTAACTTACTTTACAAAATCGTGGCTTTAATAAAATCTAACTTTACGAAACCTAAACTTTTTAACTACCACAAACTACCACATGATAATCTACCATTTTAAGACCCCAACTTCACGAAAACTTCAGTTCGAAAACATAACTTTTAGAAAACCTTACCTTACGTATCCTTTTCAAAAACCCAATTCACGACAATTACTACTTACCTACACGTATTTTGAAATGTAATGTCAAGAAATTAAACCTCCCGGTTCTAATTTCTTGACATCACATGATTTTATGAACTCTTGTCACACAATATCACACTTCATCGACCCTCTCCGCCCCTCTACATGTGACGTAATTTATAAGGATGGCTCCTTACCTGAAACGGCACATTTGCGTTCCTCGCAGCGTAGGCTATCCTTGCGCCCGCAGCCAGCAGCAGTAACTCTGCGGCGGCTGTGACGTGGTGCCAAGCGGCGCGCGCGCAACCGCTGCCGTCGCCGCACGCCGACGTCGCCGTGAACGCCGCAAGGTAGCACACCGCGCCGCAAATCATGGCGCCGACTACCCGCAACACCTTGAGAATAGAATTTTAGGATGTTAGCAGCATTTAAGTGCTTCGTTGATGGTGTTAGGAGTCAGGCTCCCGGGCCACGCATCGTTGCGTTTTGTACCCGCAGCACCTAGCATAGTCAGATCTAATGTCAACAACACTTGAACGCCGCGCGATAGGTTGGTCCGCCGCACCGAAAAACATCTTCCTTTCTTAGTTACTAACTTAGAGATTATGTGCAAAAAATGATTATCCTGTAATAAGGTCTAGGACTTGCGCGACTTACTTTAATTTTACAATCAGTCTAAACATAGGAGGATGTGGTTCGCAGAAAAATAAAACTTATGAATCACCTCAGAATCTCTGGGCGTCCACCGATGAGCTTTCCTCGTTCTGAACTCCGCTAGTAACACCCAAAGCCGCAGCACCACCGACCCGTAGCACGCCACGAAGCCGAGCTCGCGGAGCCACGCGCCCGCGACGCAACGCCACTGCGCCTCCGATATGTACTGACAGGCAGCCTACACAAGGAAATTCAGGTTTACATTTCTGAAAATATCAATCCTAGAAAAAGGTGTAGAACTGAAATATTTCTGTAATACTTACGGAGGCGTACATCAGCAGCGCCCCTAGCAGAACCACTTCTAAAACTGTCCACATTCCCATTGCGACTGCCTGAAACGTTGAAAAAGAAAAATTAACAAAACTAGTAGTGTAGCTTGACTTTTTTGTGACACTACGAGCAATGAGTACCTACCTATCATTAAAGCTCAAAGTTGTAATTAGTTAAAGTTATAGTCCAGCTAGAAGGTTAAAGAGGCCTAACTCACTTTGCATTTTCTCTTCTTAAAGATGATAAGTCCTATGACCAAGCAGATGAGCATCCCCGCGAGGTTTGCCGCTAGCAATGCAGCTCGGTATACATCAGCTAGACACGCCGCGGCGCCGCTGCCAACGCCGCACGGCGTGCATGAGAGCGCGGCGCCACTCGCTCGCAGAGACGCCTCGCCCACCCACTCGCTGCCCAGCGGGTGCCAGTGGCTGTCACGGCATTTGCAGCGGTACTGGAACACGTGGGTAAAAGAAATTGGATGTCAACAAACCCTTTTACAACCTGGGATTCAAGGTTCAGGATAAAAAAGTTGGAGTTATCTTTTGCTAACTTGGGCCATTAGGCCGACCGTGAATTTACCTCTAATTTCTTCGTAGTAGATCCATCAGTTGGTAAAGCTTCGCAAAGAGATGTTGCCGGGTCACAAAGTGGTGGACCACCGAACCACTCGTACATGGCTTCCTCGCACGGCAGCGAGGGCCACCGCCGGAATATAGCCGCGGCGGCTCGCGTAGGGCCGGCACCTCGAGCCGCCGCCACTCCGCCCCACCAGCCCAAGTCTGCCTTGTCACATGAAAACCACGCGTTTGACCACACGACTGTAGTGGCGTTCCACGCTGACGCCAGAGTCCTCCAGAATTGTCGGAGAGATAACGAGTTATTCTGTTGGAAGACTATGAGCCGGGGCGGTTCGGCGACGTAGAGTACTCCTAGATGCAGCTGCGGCGCGCCCAGGGCGACGGCTGCGGGGGGCGGCGAGAGGGGGGCGCGGGCGGCGGCGCGCGCCAGCGCTGCTGCGCGGGTCTCGTCCGCCGCGCCCAGCTCCACCAGCTCGGCCAGGGCGCGCGCCGTGTGCGCGGTGGCCGCTTCATACTCCCGCACGTTCTGCAATGATGACAAACGCACAAGCTAAAAGCTGCACCACCTTAACTTTAACCGTAACTTCATATAGGTAACTACTTAAATATCTTTGTTATTGTATTGAATTGTATTCCGTGGTTGTGCCTTTAAATAAATAAACTATGTATATCCGGGGTTTCTGTATGGACTTTTACAGACTTTTGGTATACCTTATTTTGGTGGTGCAAGCCAGGGTAAGACTGTCAAACAGAACACGTTCCTAACATCGTCATAGAATAACTAAGTTCTCTATGGAAAAGTCTAAGTTAGTTCTAGACCTAACATAGGATCGCGACCTCTGTGCGTTCGTTCGTTTCAGCCAAATGACGTCCACTGCTGAACAAAGGCCTCCCCCAAGGATTTCCACAATGACCGGTCTTGCGCTGCCCGCATCCAGGCTCTTCCCGCGACCTTTATCAGATCGTCGGTCCACCTAGGAGGCCTGCCCACGCTACGTCTTCCAGCCCGAGGCTGCCAATCGAGAACTTTTCTGCCCCAAACGGCGTGCCTCTGTGCGTTCATAAAGATCGATTTGACTCTATCACATGGCAATGGTGTCAAGCTGGACAGGTAGGATTCACTCACCGACGGCAAAGGCGGTTGGTTCTTCAAGTACAGCAGGTTGCAGGCGGGGAGTGCGGCGACCTGCGCGGCGGGCGCGGCGGAGGGCAGGCGCAGGTCGGCGGGCGCGGCCGCGGCGCACGCGCACCACGCGAGCCACGCCGCCCACCGCGCCCGCATCGCTCACCTGCCCAGCCACGTGCTCTGTTCACAAAAATAAACAAATAAGTACCTACTAAGTATATTTAATGGAACAGCCCGAATTTAATGAGACCATCATGACGTCGATATAATTTTGATGGAGCACAGGATTTTTCACCCGTTTCTTAAATGAAAAAGAAGTGTTTTATTAAAACAACATCGAAAAAAACAAACATAAAACTAAAACTAGATGAAATAATAAGCGTGTCACCCTAAGGGCATCCACTCAGCATCATGCCGAGGTGTCGCAATGATCACCACAACGCAATACATAATAACGAATAACGAATTTAATAAAACTTTAATGGTAAGAAAAAAATTCGCAAGAGAGTTACGAGTAAACACTTTGCAGATGAAATAATAACCGTGTCACCCAAAGGGCATCCACTCAGCATCATGCCGAGGTGTCGCGATGATCACCACGACGCAATCCATAATAACGAATAACGAATTTAATAAAACTTTAATGGTAAGAAAAACTTCGCAAGAGAGTTACGAGTAAACACTTTATATTCGAGAGAAGACAATTTATTTTGTTGAGTGTCGTCGACTCTACCCTACATGAAATTACAGCCATCAATATGTATACGTAACAGACTCTTATAATACTCGTAGAGCTGATAGAGCTTACCTACCTACGTAAAAAGTCAACCTTTTCCTAAACTTTGTGTTAAAATGACATTTAAATAAGGAAGTCGGATTTCAGTTCGGACGGCCTCAGCCGCTTATCAAGTTGAAGTGCTTGTAATACAATCTTTGAACTTTGACTTTTAATCTCATCTAAATTGAGGTTTTAGATCATTTTATTAGAATTGTCCGTTATTGCGCACAAATGAAATTAAAAAGTTACATTTGGTACTTAAATACTGAATAAATCAAGCAAGAAATAAAGTAGGTAGGTACAGTCACGGAATGAAAAGGTTCGTCAGTTTTCAAATTGATTCCTTCAACGAATCGCGAGCACATATTACCTTTTGAAACTATGTTACAGAATAATCTCGAGTTAGAGAAAATAATCTTTAACTGTTGCTTAGTAAAGTTCAAAATTATTCAGATCGAAGTTGTTTGACGATTTATCTTGTCAAGAAGATTATTATCTATATCTTCTATACNGGTACATAATAAACGATACATCACTTAGTGAGTTTATCTGTCGTTTCGTAATATATGAGCTAGTCCTCCTTAGACAAAGTGCACACCATAAGTACTGTAGCAGTGGCATAGCAATCTGCAAATATACTTAACGTAATCGCTTTGTATGTAGGTCACACTATTTTCAATGGACCGTGTGCTTGCAAAATGAAAAATGTTCTGTTGCCTCAGTCCAATTATTGTGCTTTACGAATAGTTGCCAATATTTTAAACCTGATTTTAGTTGGCTTGACTGAAAGTACAAACCTTTTCTGAGGTTACAATCTTGATACCCAACTTTATGGTCAGCAACAAGAGGTCTTAAGTGGGTAATTAAATACATGTTCGTGACATCGAACACAAAGATTTCATTGAGTATTCGAGTTCAAGTTAGAATTATTTTCAGGAGCATGAGATTAAATGGGAATAAAATTATGAATTTAAGTACCTCTACCACAGAATAATAATAAGTACTACGTCTCTACCTTCAAACCACCTGTTGTTCTTAAATCAATTTATTTGAAAACTATAAGAAAATGCCATTTTCAGTCTTGAAAAAGGAAAATTTGACACTCGTAACAATAACGATAGCTGCAATATTAGATGTGGGTAATCCGTGCAGACAAGGCCATGCTAACTTTGTGCCCGTGAGACCACATGACCATCCAGAAGGCTTTAGATATTAAAGAGTAGCTCGTTGCGCGTGCCCTAGTCAAGACTCGGCGCGTGTACTCGTACATATCGCATTTATGATAAGGGAGTTACAACGTCTCAATGCGAATCTGTATTTATTACCTAACTAAAAGTAGCACAAGAAGTTCATATCTAGAGACCGTAAAACTCTTCCTTACACGTGTCTGTTTGTTACTCTACATTGTACTTATTAATATACCACAGAAAGCAAAGAGTTAAGTAACTTACTGATATTTAAAGATTTTCTTACGATCGATATGCTCAGTATGTTATTTTGTAAAGATAAACGTTTCAGCTAAGTACGGCACAATATTCAATAATAGACGTAGCGTTGCCCCATAAGTATTATCTATACTTCATAGGTAAAAGCTTCTTCCGCTTGAGAAAGCTTTTTAGGTATTTGATATTCCGCACCCAAATGACGTTACGACAAAAGGATTTTCTCAAAAGCGTAAATATGGTTCATAATAGGCTTCTCCTATAACCATTTGGTGTAATTTTGAGGCTGATTTAACTCAAAGTTCTGGTTCATTAGTGAGCCATTGTGCGGCCGAGGCGCATGCCGCCGTTCAATAGTCGAATTTAATATGAAAATTTTAATTTAAAGTTTTGTCACTTTCATAATTAGTGGCTCTACGTTCCGACAACAACGATGTTAAATGTAGGGGAGAAGTACCAAATACTGGATATTTTTTGAAAACTTGAAATAAAACTAATATAAAATCAAAAATATATTCATTAATGGCACTTAAAATTATTGCGTATCATTGTACTTTAAATTAGTAAACCAAGCTAAGTCTTAACTCTTTTATTTATTTTTATAAATAAATATTTATCCAAAATGGCACAAATCAATCATGTAATTTTGTGTACCCTAATACTGGATAATGTATATTCCTAATATCGGATATCCCATATTAGGATAACTATTTAATATGGAAGCCTCTATGTTCAGTAGTCTCTATGTAGTAGTACGTCCTATGGCTGAGATGATGATGATGATGATCCAGTATTAGGGAACTGAACTATTTTGTTATTCGTTGCTAGTCGGAAAGCTAATTTGTGAATGTCGAAAGCTCTCGAGCCATAACAACTGTTGACCATCAGTAAACAGTACAGTCAACAAGCTCCTTTTCCATTTCAGGAGTAAAAGTAGCTTTTCGTCCTGGCATCGTTTCAATTTACTGGTCTATTGTTTTAGAACGGTTTTTCACAGCTTTACAATGTTGATCGAGCCACGCGAAAAGCTTTGGATGCTTTTAAATATCCCATTTCCTTCTTAATAATAGCTTTGTATGCATGCCACACTGTCAGAAAAATAATAAATGCTACACTTTATTTAGGTACCCTTATACTAGATACCCAGTATTGGGAATAGCCAGGTATCCAATATTGAGGTAACTACCTATTTTTACGAAAACCGTTATGAAATTTTTAACCTATTCCAATTATCGAGAAAACGCATTAAAATGTTTTAATAACTTTATGCCTAGCTAGTATGTACTATCACTATAAATAAAAACATCACTTATCATAGTTTTTTTGCCTCGTGAAGTCAATATCAAAAATAATATGATGAACGAAAAATGCACTTTTAAATATGATTGCCAAGTGATGAGAAATATGGCGATGCCGTCGAGGAAACCATCCCTAACATTGGATTGACCAACTGATTTTAAATATTTCATGAAGATAACGTTGTTACTTTTTCAGTAATTGAAGTATCCTGTATTGCGCACGTATCCAATATTCGGTTCCGCTCCCCTATAGTTATAAGTTCGGTTAGTTTCATCACATCTTCATAATCTGTTAACACCGTACGCGTTCAAGCCCGATCGATCCACAGCTTTTTTCCAATGGCTACTTCGATGACGTAGGCTGCAATCGCCACCATCCTCCATAGTGTATTGATAGACTGTATATGGAAAAAAATACTGAACTACTAACCGAAACCGAACTACCTTTTATTTATTTATTTATTTATTATACCTTACTGAAAACAATATAAACAAGATTCTCCCATGTGTCACACAACTACGAGCCCAAGATATGCTGTTTCAGGATTTCTATACAACTACACCGATCAAGGCCTTCGGACAAATGAACGCCAAGGACGCGCGTACACATTTATATCACACATCCAACAATTCACACGTCACTCTATTCCTTATCTTTTGGCACATTTTAGCAAAATCTTTACACAGCACGGGACGACCTACATTTTGCTCTCATTCACGTGTTGTGACTTGTGATAATAAAAAAACTGGTCAAGTACGATAAGAACACTCCGAGCGTAGAGTTCCGTACATATTCGTAAATATCCCTGAAAACGTTTAGTTTAACTAAAAAAATTGATTGAAGGCTAGGAAAATTGTTTCTTATCGAATAGACTTATAATTGAAACAAAACTATGTACCTATTCCAACAATATTTCCTTGAGTAAGATACATATAGTGAAGACGTCTTAATTGACAAAAAAATCAAGCGATATCCTTGTAGAGAAACAGAAATCTGGTTTCAGAACTAAGCGAAACATGTTCTAAGGCTTCCAAACGTACATATGCCTACCTCAATACGAGTAAGTACCTTTTAAGAGCTCCGTTAATGTAAACAAGGGGCACAGGTCGCCCGGTTCCGCCCTTTGATGAAGGACTCACGGAGACACGCGGAAATTACCCATCGAGCCGAAACGAGCTGCAGCATTGTACGCCCGGAAAACTCTTGTACGATATTATTCACGTCATAAATCAAAGACATTACTAGTTGTTGAGGGTACGCCTTTTGTTGACGACAAAAAGTTGCTCCGACACATAATGGCGTAGGGTGACCCGCGGTCACAAACTTTAAATGCCTATATAGGGTGGAAACGATAAGTGATCTCACTCGATTATTTCTAAACTATACAAGATATCAATAAACTAGTTACTGATCCTGAAAGTGCTTCATGAGCTCTATCAAACGGTATTAATAATAGGTTACAGAATAAACTGGATCTATCCGAAAATTCAATGTTTCCGGCTTCCATACATTTGGTAAAGTCACATTGTTTTAAAAACTACACATGATATCGTAAAACTGATTACTGATTCTAAAAGTGCTTCACAAGCTCTATCCAATGGTATCAATAATAGGTTACAGAATAAACTGGATCTATCCAAAAATTCAATGTTTCCTTCTTC